CGGATCTGCTACAACAAAAGTTTAAAAGGATTTAAAAACAGATGAAATGAATAAATAAAGATCATTTGCAGTTAGTCCAAATTAGTTATGGGGATGTGGGGGGTTGAATGGTGCTGTTGTGTTGAATGTTCTGATGGCCCAAGGGAAGAAGCTGTTGGAAAGTCTGGTGGTATGTGATTTAATTGACCTGAGGGCAACAGGTCGAACAGGCAGTGGACAGTGGGTTCTGGAGATGGCCTCAAGGGATGGTCAGGGTGCAGCCAATAATCTTCTGGATAAGGGTGAGAAAGGATAATTACAAGTAAAAGTAATTAAAAAACCATACAGTACAAAAGGTAAAAATACAAAAGCCAGGGTAAACGATGTTGAAAGATAGTAGATAAAAGTGAGTTTTCAGGCGAGACCTAAACTCCTGTAGAGAAAGAACTTGCTGCACTGCCAGAGGGAGCTCATTCCAGAGTGTAGGGGCCGTTACTGAGACGGCCCGGTCCCCCCTCGATCTGAGTTTACAGCGGGGCCTTCCAGCAACTCCTGCTCAGCAGAGCGAAGGCCTCGAGTGGGGACACGCCGCTGCAGCAGTTCAGCAAGATATGGGAGCACTGCCCTGCAGCACCCTGAAAACATGGAGGAAGATCTTAAATCTTGCCCGATAAAATACCGGGAGCCAGTGCAGAGAAACTAGCACTGGTGTGATGTAGTCTCTCCTTCTGCTCCCAGTCACAAATCTCGCAGCAGAGTTTTGGACTAGCTGGAGTCGTGCAGTAGAAGCTCGACTCAATTCAGCACACAACGCATTACAGTAGTCGATGCGGGACATGATGAAAGTGTGTACTACTGTTTCCATATGTACTCTGGACAGGAGAGGCTTTATCTTGGATAGCCGTCTTAGATTAAAAAAACATTAAAAGCTTACAAAAAATACAATCAAGAAAATAAGACACTGATGCCTGCAATTTGCTGGGTTCCTTATATAGGAAACATTTTACTGATTGGCTTAAAGAGCAAGGCACCCCCAAATCAACTTTTTGGCTGATAAACTATATAAGTGAATCGTGCTGTAGACACGTGTTGTCAATAATTTGGCACTTTAGTGCATCTTAATTAAAATTTAAATATTCTCCCTAAAACTGTCAGTGTTGCGCCCTCTTCAGGTAAAAGCTTGCACAACATTTGAATTGAAATCTGCCATCGCTAATGGCTAAGTGGTAGCCTATGACGTTAGCTGTTACATTATGTTGTCACATTGTCGCTATAAGCCTGCGTGTGGTTTTGTTAGTGGCTCCGCCCTCTTGGACTGCCAGACAACGCCTCCTTGTGGCGCTTTTGTCAAACAGGAAATGGTAGAGTAGTTAGACTCTGGTAGGGGGTGACTTGCTCTTTATTGAACTGAACTGTATTAGAATGTTTACTGTGGGAAGTGGCTTGGGATGACTTGTCGTGATTTGGCTCTATATAAATAAACTTAATTGAAAACACATTACAAACACCTTATAAAGTATTAAGTGTTAATTAATAATCCCTTATAAATCATTTAGTATAATCTTATTCTAAAGTTCTTTATTATTTACTTCTGAAATATTGTAACTGTGCAAATGTTGCATAACTTCAACGAAACTGTCATCTCAGATTACAGCTGACAGTTTACATTTATACAGTTATCAGCTGCCTGGTCCTGGACCAGTGGTGGTTTGGAGGTAAAACCTGGACAGGATCACTGGCACAAGGAGCTAGGCCAGGGGTTGACAATCCTGGTCCCGGAGGACCGCTATCCAGCATGTTTTAGCAGTTTTTCTGCTCTAACACGCCTGATTCCTGGATAAATCACCCGTTTCAGCAGCTCATCAGGCTCTGCAGCATCCTGTTAATCACCAGCAGATTCAAACCAGGTGTGTTTAGGCAGAGTAACAACCTGCTGGATAGCGGCCCTCGAGGACCAGGATTGCCCGCCCCTGAGCTAGGCTCATGAGAAAATGTTAAATGGGAATCAAAATCAACTTACCTCTGGGATTAATAAAGTATTTTTGAATTTGAATTGAATTGAATTGAAATGAGACTGACAGCTGCAGGGCGTTTGTCTCTAGAAGGACTTTTATCTGAAAGTTTTCCTTCTAAACTGAAAATGATGTCATCAGGTGGTTTCACTCCCTAATTAGTTGGCTGAGGAGGTCAGTTTCAATTCAAATTAAATCTGATTGGCTTGAACTCTCCCCAGTCACTCCGCAAACATTATTCCAGCCTTTTATTTGAGTATTCTAACTTTGTGCTCCAAAATGTCAGGAATCAGTTTCCAAACTGCAGCTTCAGACCACGATTCTGATAATTAAGTCTGCTCTTTATGTCTTCCTACAGGCTTTTATTTTGCAGGGGAGTCCTGCTTTGGCGTTTTATTTAGCATGTTTTACCATCAGGTTTATATTAGGAAGCCCCTTCACATGGTTGTCATTAGGAACCAGCTGGAAAGACAATAAAAATCATCGAGACAATGTTTTTAAACTGACTCCTGGAGCTAAATTTAATGAGAGTTGATAAAAATCTGTGTGTAGCAGATGTCGCTGTGGCTGGCAAAACCATACGTGCCAGTCTGCTCGTCAGTCTGCAGGATGCATCTTTCTGCAAATTACACTTTGAACAGCAAATGGAGTTAGTGTCATAAACAGTGCTGCTGATCATGGTTTCATATTGAAGCTGGAATTTGTGAAAATTAAATAAAACATTTTATTTAATTTTCACAAATTCAGGAAACCGATGAGATTAATCTTATTAATTAAGCAATTAATTATATATATAAAAAAGTCATCCAACAACTCTGTTTAGGTTTAGCCTTGGGTTACTAGCGAATAGTACAGAAAGTCTAATCCAAATCTAAACGTATTTAACGTAAAGTTAAAGAGACACTATGCAAGTTTTAAAATATTTTAAAACATTTTTCTTGAGCCAGTGTGCTAAAATGACCTTTACAAAGTTAATGAAAAGCCACCCAGCCCCTGTCGTCCCACTAGCCAGAATATTCCACTTGCAACTTTAAAGAGCAAGTCACCTCCTACGAGAAACTTGCTCTACTCCCACTTCATGTTTGAAAATTGCTACAAATGCCGTTGCCTGGCAGACCGAGAGGGCGGAGCCACTAACAAATACACACAGACAAGCTCACAACAGCATTGTGACGTCATAATGTACTAGCTAATGTCATTGTGTACCTCTTAGCCAATAGCGGTGGCAGATTTAAATTCAAATGTAGTGCAGAGTTTTTACCTGACGACAGCACAACATTGACAGTTTTAGAAAAAATATTTAAATTTGAACTAAAACGCACTAAAGTGCCAAATTATTGACTACAGGTGTCTACAGCATGATTAGACACTCATTTATATAGTTTAGCACCAAAAAAAGTAGAGTTGAGGGTGACTTGCTCTTTAAAGTTTCCGCCGGTCTGTTGGGCGCTGCAGTCTGATTCCAGCACGTTTCCTGCATGAACGCAGTTGATTTGTTTCATTTAGTGAATCACTCCTGCAGACACGAAGGAAGGCTGAGGAGACATTTCAGCTATTACATTAAGGTGCTAAAAAGATGAATGCACAACTAGGAGACATAGTTTTGCTATCGGTTCTATTAAATGGACACTAGGGGATGCTAAAAACAAGCCAAAATTGCCTAGTCTCCCTTTAAAGCGCTCACTCGTTGTTTGCTGCGGTCTCTAGTATAAATAAATACCTTCGTCCATAATTTCTCGCTCTCCTGTTTCAGGGGGTAGAATGGTGACAGAGGAGTGGGGGGTGAACAATGGTAGAATTTTGAAATGCACTCATTAATAATCATGATATGCAGATCTCTCACCTCTGATTGGCTAACAGCAATGCAACTCTTTCGCTGCCTTCGTTAACAAAATAATATTTAAAGAAGGATATGTTCTTGGGTAAAGAAATCCAAAGTTTCCACAAATAGCACAAACCTGAACATGTTGTGGAGTTTCAAATGCTAATGGTTAGCTTCCACTAGCCGAGACGTGCTCTGCTCTCTCCTGGCTGCAAAAACCAACCCAGCCTTAGCTGTCGCAAACAAAGGAGCCCCCAGAAAATGTTCATAGAGGTTGCCAGTTGGGTGTGCTACAGCCAAATTTATTGGGATTGGCACACCAGATTTGTCCTCATGGTAAGTCTGGGAGAGTTTAGCCTGTGGCGATACTTTGCATGCTGCTTTATTCTTTTTCATTAAAAAAAAACCATATGCATCCAACACATCTACCTCAAAATTTAAGAACAAAGTTTTCATAAAAAGACAATTGAAACAGTTATTTGTAATGCAATTTTAAAATATATTTGTATATTTTAGAACACTTTAATTCATCTTTTGTTGTTTTCACAAAAACCTCCAGAAAAACTATAGATTTAAACTTTTTTTGAAAAAGTTGAGCAGGAGAGACATACGTACATTTTTAAAAACCTGATTATTTACTCATTACTTGTATATTTTTCATTGGGTTTTACATTTAGGTCTGATTAAATAATATGATTTTATAGTTTGTGTGAACATTAATATGATTCATTAAAGAACTTTGGTCTCCTCTGTGTCCAATGGGGTGGCCACACCCCCTTTGGGGGTGCCACTGTCTGTGGCTAATGCAGACAATAGGGGTTGAAGGGAATTTTTGCAACTTTTGTAGTACAGCATGTGTGTACTTGTTAAGGAGCTGTAGTATCCAGTTTGATGGAATCAAGTGGAATGGAGAAAATTCCAGTCATTGTGAAATGTGTATTTGTGTTGGTGGCTACTGTTTTATCTGCTGTAAATAGCTTCCTGAGCAGCCTCTGTTCAGAGATTCAGAGATTATGTTCTACAGAACTGAAGAGCTAAAAGCTAATCCTAATTTATAGCATTGTGTGTGTTTGGACTATAGCCATTAGCTTCCTGGAGGGTCTTACCATCCTTTAGCCCAAAACCTTCTTGGACACTTTTGTTGAATGTAACAAACATAAATTTCAGTGTGTCTGTCTGGGGTTTAGGCAAACGCCGCTGTGGTCAGCAGGGTTGATGTGGAAAGAGTGACAACATTAACAAAGCCATATGAGGATGCCTTGAAGAGCCTGTGGAGCGACCCAGGGATTCAGGAATGTCACAGTCGGAGGAGGGAATACCAGCTCTCAGACTCAGCCAAATAGTGAGTTTAAACAGACCAATAACTCTTCCAACACTGTCAAATAGTTTACAGGAACCTACCAGCCGTCTCTTAAATGCACTCATAAAAACAAAGCTCTGTAATTATTCTGTTTAAGGTTGTTCATAAACATCTTAGAGGAAAAAAAAAAACAGTTGAGATTTAATCCTGAGATTTTTTTCCCCGTAGCTATCTAGATGATTTGGCCCGAATTGCTGATAGTGCTTATTTGCCAAGCCAACAAGACGTCCTGAGGGTACGAGTGCCCACAACGGGTATACTAGAGTACCCATTTGACCTGGAGAAAGCGGTGTTCAGGTGAGCATTTTCACTGTTTTTACTGTGGGTAGTAAATATGTGGTTTTTGTTGTTTAGATTTTGGAGACTAAATTAAAAAATGATAAATGACCCACACTTGTGACGCCTTTCAGAGTCAGAAGACTCCAAAATGCTTCACACTACAGTGCATATAACATTATTACACACACGCATGCTACAGATGGACCGTAGAACAATAAAACTAAAGGGGGCTTGTTTAGTGTCTTCCTACAAAGTTCTAACAGATAAAAATGAAGGTATTAAATCTGAACAGTAACATGAAATTTAAAAAACACTGAATTTGTTGTTAGCTAGGAGCAATTGTGACCCTGACTAGCCTTTATCTTATCAATACATTCGACACTGTTTAAAATCAAATATATCTTGATTTAATGGATTCCTTCTCAACATTGTGTTTTTTTACGTTATTCATCTAGGGCTGGACGATAATTCAGTAGTTCAATATATCTATCGATAGAAAAAAAATGGGTTGACAAAACTTTGATAAAAAAGTTTCCTTTTTTCATTATAACCTACCAGGTAGCAGCACACTAGACTCACTACTTCCTCCTAACAATCAAAACCACAGACTCGGGCACTCTACGTCACCAGGCCCTCCTCTCTCAAACCAAAACAGAGCATGAGGCTGCAAGATGTCGCAGCGAGAAGAGACGGAGAAAAAATAAAATACCAAAAATAAAATGGCCAGGGCTGCACGTAAAATACATTTTCTACAAATTTTTAAAATATTTTTCTATAATTATTGATGTCGATCAATATAAATTTATTTTTTATCGATATACTTTTTGTCTTTATCGTCCAGCCCTAGATTAATTTAATGTGTAATCTTATAGTCCCAATCCACCTTGATGAGTGAAAAGACTTAACCGCTGTCCTTTTTGTGTTGCTGTTGTTGGAAAGAAGCCCTTGCTTTGTCCGACATTTGATCTTGCATTAATGGCGTTCAGGGACAAAGTGCTAGCTTCTTCTCAAGTCAAGTGTCCTATTGTGAATGGAAATGAAGACATGGATGTCTTCGATTTTCATTGAGCTACTTCAAAAATTATAATTTGCTGCCAGTTGCGGAACTTTCATTAGGCCTGTTATCAGTTCTCTGAGAAAAGAAACGGTCGATGCACAAAAAAAGAAAATAAAAACGACTAGTTCATATAATAGTTTTGTTTTAGAAAACATTAGTTTTACAAAACATTGTTATTATTATTATTATTATTATTATTATTATTATTATTATTATTATCATTATTATTATTATTATTATATTTAAAATGCAGAAACCTCAGAATTTGATGGTGTTCCTGTAGGAAGTGCTTTAGCTAAATGCTGCTGTAACACAGCCCGTTGCACAAATATTTGTAGAATTCTATGCAAGTAATTATTTGATGTGAAATCGATGGCAAGTAAAGAGTTTTTGATGTAAAATTTCCACCAACTGCTAAAAATCCTTTGAATGTTGAGCCTTAAGGACATCAACTGTCTATTTCAGCATTAGCCCTGCTCAGGCTAGCCTTTAGCTCATCAATCCAATCAGAACTAAACATTATTTCTACAAATTGAAGTCATTCAAAGAGGAACTTGCAACAAGTCAGTAATAAAATCCCCATCCCCAGTCAGTGCCATGTTTTTACAAATATAATCAATTTTGTCATATCTGAGATTGAGAAATTAAAACTTTTTAAAATAAGTTAAGTGTAAAGATGTGATATTAGGAACAGATTTGACGTTATTCCTAATTAATCTGACTATAAAATACCCGAATACAGCCAGCGACTGTACAAAACGCATTTTCACAGTTTAACATAATTATAACAGAGAGAATGTTTCACTGACTTCTGTGGCAAAGAGATTTTCATTTAGATATTAAATGAAGCTTTGAAGCTCTGGGAGATAATAAAAAAAAATCCAACTACTTTTCCAACTCTTTTCATAGCAGTCACTGAGACACTCCTGAGTAGTTTCACTCAATTCTGAATCTTCCTGCAGGAAAATACTTTTATTTTCCCTTCTCTTCAACCTTTTTCCCAAAAAATTCCTCCCTTTTTCCTAAACACCTATTTTGTCTTAAAATGATCCTAAAGTGGGGTTTATGGTGTTCTCCTTTTCAAATCATATCTTTGGCCTCAGGATGGTGGACGTGGGCGGCCAGCGATCTGAGAGGAGGAAGTGGATCCACTGTTTTGAAAAAGTCACGTCCATCATGTTCTTGGTGGCGCTCAGCGAGTATGATCAGGTCCTCGCTGAGTCCAGCAATGAGGTGAGAAGCAGGCCGCTGCCCACAAAATAAACTGATCTATTCCTTTTCTACAGCATCTTATTATTTCCATGCATGGGATGAGAAAGAGGCTCGCTTTGGGGTGATAAAAAAATATCCCAGCAAGGGGCACAAAGAGAGATTGTTTCTTTTGTTCAAAGCCAAACGCATTAGGTGGAAATGATGACCCAGATTTCTGCAGAATCCAGCCTCAGCTCGATGTCTCCCCCCCCCCCCCCCCCCCCCTTAAAAGACTCATCTCTATCTTCCTTTTTGGCAGTGCACACGGTACACCTGCAGGGGGAGCTCTTTAGTCACCCTGCTCTTCTCAGGAAGGCTTGGTCCCTTGAAGACATGAAAGCCATTTGAATTCATTCTCACAGCGACTGCTAAATTACTGCTTTCAGTGTCTTATTTGACATTTCTGCTTTTGTTTGTGTGTTTTCCAAAGAATCGAATGGAGGAAAGCATGGCTTTGTTCAAGACGATCATAACCTACAAGTGGTTTGAAAAGTCCTCAATCATCTTGTTCCTCAACAAGATGGATCTGTTGGAGGAAAAAATCATGCACTCGCATTTGGTTGACTACTTTCCTGAGTACGATGGTAAGGGACAACAGTATGAATGAATGCCTCAGGAGAAGAGCTTGATCCTATTTGTGCGGCTCGTTTATTCAGATTGAGTCAAAGTCACTCAAACTCTGACGTTTTACCGAACTACTGGAAACACTGCAGGACATGCAGGTTTGATCTCTGCTGTCTTCTTCCAGGTCCCCAGCGGGATGTCCAAGCAGGAAAAAAATTCATCCTGGACATGTTTTTCAGCCTGAACCCGGATGAGGACAAACTCATCTACTCCCACTTCACGTGCGCCACGGACACGGACAACATTCGATTTGTCTTCTGCGCGGTGAAGCACCACATCTTGCAGATCAACCTGGAAGAACAAAACTTGGTTTAAACTCCGATGTTGCCTTCTGTAATTTAATCGTCTGCTTGCAGCTGGCGGTCGGGCGGACCCTGCGCCGCCGCTGCTCTGCTCTATAATCCAAAACAGGAAATTGAGAAGCTTCAGAGCTTGCCATCAAATGACTGTACTACTGATGCATTTCAAATTTTCTTGTTAAGAATCCGTAAATGGATGTCTCCAGCTATTATTATGAAGTGTGACCTGCCAATTAAAGTGCTGCCTCTTGGAGGAGACTGATATAGCTGGCGTTCTGAAATTCATGGAGCTCTTTGTGGACGTTTTTTGAGCAGCGTGAATGAACACTGGCTGATTAATTGGAGGGGAGAGTAGTGAAGTGGCCTCAAATGCCTCGGAGAACTCGAGATGGGCTAGATCTTCTCCTTCAGAGTAACTGTGGGGTTGAGCGTGGACTACACACACCGCAACATCTCACATCATTAAGCCAACTTGTTCGGTTTTCCTTTTGAGTCAGAAACCCGTTTGGATTGCTTTCTTTGTGTCCTGACTGAAGGAGAACTTGTCATAATCGACACAAATGGAACACTTCATGTAAAACATTTCATGCATTTATTTTAGCATGTGTGATCACTTTTGCCACTGAGTTTCACTCGATCCAGTTACTTGTGTGGACATCACCAGTATGGTTTTAGTGGATTTTAAAGGAACGGTCACAAACCTGTAGATTCATTTCTTTCAAGGACTGTTTGCTTTTAAAGACCAAGTTCACTAATTTTTTCAACACATTTGCAGTGGTCTCTAGGGTAAATACATTCTTTGTGAGACGATTGCTGAGGTAAAATAAAAGCTCTGGTGCTCCTGTTTCAGGAACTAGAAGTGAGCTGGAGCTTCAAGGAGCAGCAGATGGTTGGTTTTGAAGTCTAATTTCCTGATGATTAGACATTTTGCCTCTGATTGGCTAACAGCAAACAAACTACCACTGTTTTTGTTTTCTTTCCAATGTTGGTGTTTTATCTCCACATTAACACAAGCCTGGAGGGGTTCTGTCATGTTGTAGAAGTGCTAATGCTAGTGGTTAGCTTCTACTAGCTGGGACGCTCTCTGCTCTCCCCTTGATGCTAAATCAACAACAGCATTCCCCGTCACGAGCCAAGATGAGTGAGGCCATGAATGCTAACTTGACATTATGACGTGCAATTTGTTATGTCCGGCCGTTGCACCAGGAAGTGGTAGGAATTGGCAGAATTCCTTTTCCAACCATTATTTAACCTGCATCACATTTAGCAGTCAGACATCCATGTTTATGGCCCAATCTCAATACTTTCACTGCGCCCTGCCATCTTCAGCAAAGTGTACTTGGAGAAAGTGCACAGTAAGGCTTCGAGTGTGTGCTACACAAGTGTGCAAATAATTGCTGAATTGAGACAGGGAGCATTGTGTCATCCATCGCGATGCGTGCCGAGATGCTGGTCGCTGTGAAACAAAAAAAAAACTTAACTTTCAAACAATTATTTGAAATTATTTTACATAAGTTTCTACTTTGTCTAAAGGTTTTAGAGCATCAACTAATTGTCCTAAAATGAACTACTTTCACTAGAAAATACATATGTTCAGAAAGGGAACTTGAGCCTTTTCTCCCGCAGCAATGGATTGTAATACACTTCACCCAAATCCGCATCAATGCAGACCTGGGTGAAGGGTGAATCGAGGGTGCAAGAGGGGCGTAAACAACTTCCACACTTGAGAATCGGGACACCCTACGCACTCGCACCCCCGGTCGGGATCGTGCAATTGAAGGGCGCAAGTGTGGAAGTGCGAGAATTGAGATTGGGCACTTGTCTCTCTCTCTCTCTCTCTCTCTCTCTCTCTCTCTCTCTCTCTCTCTCTCTCTCTCTCTCTCTCTCTCTCTCTCTCTCTCGTCTACTTCTTTGATCCTATCCTGCCCCCTAGTGGTAGACGTACTGCAATTGTCTCAGGCTTTTGTAATCTAAGCATTTTTCCATCTATTTTCTATTGGTGGCTAATGCAGGAAATATGGGTAGAAGTTCATTTTCATGTTCAGCCTGCACGTGAAACTCAAAGTGACTGATCATATATTTTAAAAATATCAAGTAAACAAATGTTTCTCAGTGAACTTGGCCTTTAAGAATTTATATGCGAATGACTTATTGGAAACTATCCCAGTGAACATTGCTTACCTGAACAGTGTATCAGCTGTGGATTTATTATTATTTGTATTTGCATTAATGTCTGTATTAAGAGGAAAAATATTAAATATCTAACAGGGAAAAATAGTTTACTCTTACCTTATTGAGAATTGTTTAGGGGTATCACCTGCACTAATAAATGCTAAAAAGAGCAAATCCACCTCACTCTTTCTTGCATGTCCCTTTTTCTTCTTGTTGAAATGATTTACAATCTAAATTCTGGGTATTTTTCGTGGCGCTGCAGTCTTGAGTGTTCTGGATAGACATGATCAGTTAAGTTAACTGTTTGTTCACTTGCTCATTCTGAAAGTGGAGCTCATAAAATATAGACTCAAAACCTACATTTAGCACAGCTGAGGTGAAACTGCGCTTTTGGGAAGCATCTAAAATGTGCTGCTTTGTAGCCAATGGAAGCACATCCATCGACTACAATGGTGGCTAGTTGCTGCGTACTATGCTTTGCAGATGTTACGTAATGCCTTGGCCTGGTTAGCTGATCACAGTCTCATCTGTTAATGGCTTGACAGACATGCTGATGTGTGTAGAGTCCATTATTGTCTGGACCATCTTTTTCTGCACATGCAGGTCACTTCAGGGTTGTTGACTGCTCACCCTGGACTCTGATGGTGGTAGTTAGCACTGGCTCTTGCAACTAGATCGTTCCTGGCTCAGTTAAGGCCTTTCTGTATGGGGGTTTCATGTCCAAACTGTGTGAAGGTTTGTCCCAGGTACTACCTCTTGCTGTCTCAAACTACACAGTTTATTTAGTGATTCTAAATTGAGAACGTATGCTGGAGCATGGTGGTCTGTCTTGTGTCTTGTGTTGGATGTCTGATGAATGGCAACCCGGTGTCCAGGATGTACTCCACCATTGCTGCCTCCAACAAGCTGCTGCCTTCTCCCATACAGAACAGGAGAACACAGGAAATAAAATCCCAAGGGAATGATGGACCGATGGATGGGGTTATGGCCAAGTGCAAATTTTCCAATGTTCAAGAAATAAATAAGCAATAAAATTTTATGTTTATCTTATACTTGGCTGTCAAATGGGTTTCCTTCTGTGTTACACAACTGTTTCAAAGAGCAGATGCCTATAACTTTTATACTCATTAACAGTGCTTTTACTGCCTCCTGTTTTTTCATCACAGCCACTTGAAGTAACATAAGAACATCCCATCCTGCAGGGTTGAAATTAGGAAAAACAATAGAAATGTGAAATTTAGAAGTTATGTGCATTCCAAAGTGAGGATTGACAACTGTTTAACACTGAAATTAAAATCTGCCATCATTTATACCTCTGATCACAAACATGTTAGGTTTATTTAGGGTGGAAAAAACAATCAGATGTTCATGAGGGTTTGGTCCTGAAAGCAGTTAGTCATGTCATAGTGTTGCAGTTTGATCCCGCCTTCTTTACAATAACGATGTGGAATGCACCCAAACTGGATCCCACGAGGAAGAACGGGTGTAGAGATTCACCCAAAACTCACCTGTTCCTGGATGTGGACGTACCTGCCGGGTGGAACGGGAAAATCACTTTTGCATTCATTTAACTCATCCCTGTTGGTTGGGACACATCTTGGAGAACAGCGGCCACAGACAAGCATGAACAACTGCTGTAAATTGTCTCCTGAGGACCAGGAAAGGAAAAGGATCCACAGAGAAATAGAGAGACAACTTCGCCGCGACAAACAAAACCTTAAGAAGGAGTTGAAGCTTCTGCTTTTAGGTGGGAACTCTTTAACATCTACTTAGTAAAAGTGTGTTTTAATAAGGAAATCAGCAACAAAATGTTTGCTGCTTTTGATTGATTTTGATGATTTTTAATGTTCGTTTTTCGTCAACTGTTGCTGAGGGCTTTGATGGAGTGATTAATTCAACAACCCAGTAAATAAATGTATCTGGCTCAATGAAAGGCAGCTCGTTGGTATGTACTCAGGAATCCTTTAACATTCCTCCCTCAGCTGCAGGTCTGATGAGTCAACTTGACAATATTCTTCCTCGATGAGACAAAAGTACAGAGGGTTGCTGCGTGTCCTCATATAAATGAAACGTGTTTGCTCCAAGCAGACATTGTGATTCCTCCCTAAGTGACTGTGGGTCAGTTAATGGTCGGCTGACTGCATCAGTGACTAATATTGGTGTTAAACTGGATCTTAGTTTTGACACCCATGTCAATGGAGTGATCTCCTCCCTTTTCCACCTTCGTCGGCTGGCAAAGATCAAACCTTTCTTGTCACGACATGACCTTGAGACGGTAGTCCATGCTTTTATCACGGTGCGACTGGACTACTGTTTTATTCGGTGTGAGCAAGGGCTCAATATCCAGGTTGCAAATGGTGCAGAATGCTGCTGCCAGATTTTTAGAGGGCAGGCGCAAGTATGACCACATTACTCCTGTCCTGGCTGCGCTTCATTGGCTGCCCATTGGTGTAAGGATTCGTTTTAAAATACTTTTGCTGGTTTTTAAAACGTGAAATGGTCTGGGCCCTCCTTACTTGGTGTCACTGCTTCAACCGTACACCCCTGCACGGTCACTCCGCTCGGAGAACCTCTTGCTCCTCTCAGTCCCAAGATCGCGCCTAAAAACATGTGGTGATAGGGCCTTTGCTGTGGCAGGTCCTAAGCCTTCTAATTAGTTTTTATTGTTTTACTTATAGCGATTTGTGCACTCACTGTATTTTGATCTGTATCTTGTGATACAATGTGTTTATTTTCTGGATTTAATGTTTTATGTTTTTACTTGATCTGTGTAGCGCCTTGGTGGCATCTTTTTGCCTGTAAGGCGCGATTTATAAATAAAGTAGAGTTGAGAAATGAAACGTGTTTGTGGGAAAATGCATATACTGTAGGTAAACGAGACTGATTCAGGCATATATCTGGCAACTCGAAAAATACATTAACAAATAAATCTCTAAAATATAAATGTTGCTCTATAAAAGATTAGATGGATTTTCAAAAGAATATCTTGAAAGGCAAAGGGAAAACTTAATCGAAACCCATCTTCTAAGTCTAAAATATTTTAAAGTGTATTTTTTCTACTTGCCACCCAATACAGAATATGATATAAAATATATTTATAAACATTATGAACATGGTTAAATGTAGGTATTAGTTTTTATATCATACTTTACTGCTGGCACATCAACGCATAAAGGTAAAGTTTTGGTTTGCACTTTGCTTTAAGAGTAAACTTGAACTTACTTTATTAACTTGTTGCAGCTCAGTAATAAGCCACCAGATTTTGCATCTATTTGAAGCATTTCTGTATGACGTCTGCAGCTGATCCAGTTTTCTTCACTAAACCCAGAAAAAGATTCATGTTGGACTTAAGCCTGAGCAGTTGCATGCTTGTGTTTTTGTCTCTTATCACGGACAGAAAATCTGTTTTATTACAAAAATCTAATTTAACTGTTGCATATTTAAACTGGTGTAATTTTGCAATAAAATAACATTTGTTTACCAGTGATATTTTATCAACTTATCAATTGTTTTCTTCTCATTTAATTTTTAATTTTTAATTTTTTACAGGGACAGGAGAAAGCGGGAAGAGCACCTTCATCAAACAGATGAGGATCATCCATGGCCAAGGGTACAATGAAAAAGACAGACGAGGATTCACCAGGGTGGTGTTTCAGAATATCATCAAAGCAATCCAGGACCTTATTGATGCCATGAAGCTTCTAGAGCTTGACTATGTTGATGACCAGAACATTGTGAGAAACTTTACGCACTTTTATGAAAGTCAAATTCTTTTTAGCCTTTAAAGAGATACTGGGCAATTTGGCTTGCTTTTAGCACCCCCTAGTGTCCATTATTAACTCACTGTGGATCAACCGAAAAAGAAACCTATCTCCTCCCTGGGAGTTTGTCTTTTTAACACAGTAATCTAACAGCTGAAATGTCTCCTCAGGCCTTACTAGTTTATAGAGGAGTGGTTCATCACTAAATCAAACAAATCAGCTGTGTTCATGATCTAAAACATGCAGGAAACATGCTGGAAGCAGAATGCAGCTCCAGAAATGGCAACTCTGAAGTTGCAAGTGTGGCATTCTGGGTGACATTTCTTTAACCTTGTAAAAGGTCATTGTAGCACATACTGGCTCAAGAAAATGCTTTAAAATATGAAAAGGTTTCATAGTATCCATTTAAAGCCTGAAATATTGAATAATCAATCAAACACAGAACTATTTGTCAGCAACTTTATTATAGAAGTTTTTATCTTAGTATTTAATTAAATAGCAATTAAAAGGAAAATTTGCCCTTGCCTGTTGTAGATGTGATCCTCCATCAGACGGCAGTAGACATGTGTAGGCCTGGACATGGTTACTAATCCCAATAATCCATCTGGCTGATTTAAAACCAGAAGTGTTCTGATGGGATGTTGCAACATTAGTTTATAATGGGCTGACCCGCAAAAATGCAGAAAAATGACAGATCACCTGACCATCTTATTCTACTTTTAGTTTATATTTCCCAAGGCAACCAATCATGCTGAATGTTGATCCTTTGCAACTTAAATTAACAACACATAGTACAATTTAGTGTTTATTTTATTTTCAACCTATGCCACTAAAGCAATGTCTGAATCATGCTGAAAGGAAGATTACACTGAAATGAATTTCATTCTCAGCCCGGCTAGGGGGTTGTCAGTTTTTCTCCTTTAGACAAAGGGACGTTGTAACTGTTTACAATAAGTGAGTTTGTGAGGTTGCTGAATCTGCAGTGAGCTAATGCAGCAGCGCAATCATTTGTAATTCAACACCGACAGATACAAAGCTCCGGAGTTGTTTAAAGAACAAAAGCCAGTCAACAGGAGAGACCCAGAAGTTAATACATGTAACCTTAAGAAGCCACGGCCTCATTTTATTTTACTCTAATTTTTGGTGAAGCAGGGTAGAGGCTAACGTTAAGCTAACAATGCTAATGGTGAATTTGAAGCAAATAGTAATCTCTAACAATATCTCAAGATACTTTTTCAATCACTCGAGTTAAGAAGCATTGTGTCCCATGCAAAGAAAAGAAGACCATTACCGAAAGACAGTACAAAACCTGTTGAATTGTGCTGAGTATCTTTGTCCACGAGCTAGTGACAAAAACGGTTTGTTCTTGAGTTTTCTGGTAAAATGACCTATATGGTAACTTTATTGTGTGTGTGTGTGTGTGTGTGTGTGTGTGTGTGTGTGTGCGTGCGTGCGTGTGTGTGTGTGTGTGTGTGTGTGTGTGTGTGTGTGTGTGTGTGTGTGTGTGAAGCGCCTCGTGATTTTTATCTTGAGAGGCGCTATAGAAACGATATTTTCTTCGTCTTGTGTGTGTCTTAGAGTCAAGCACAGAAGCTTAGTGAAGTGGAATTGAATTCAGTGTCTAATATTGAGCCGTGGCAGGTGAATGCCATTAAGCAAGTCTGGAATGACCACGGTGTGCAAAAGTGTTACGACCGCAGGAGGGAGTTCCAGTTGTCAGACTCTGCCAAATAGTAAGTCACTTTCATTGGTCTTATTACCACAAACAAATACATTTTAAGTGGATGTGAGTGCCAGCTGTTATAAAAGCTTCCAGCTGGATTTGTGTGCCGAAATTAAACCTGGTGTGTTTTTAATATTTCAGCTATTTAAGTGACATGGACAGAATCACAGATCCAGGATACATTCCCACTGTGCAGGACATCTTGAGGGTCAGGGTCTCCACCACGGGCATCATAGAGTACATGTTTGATATGTCAAAAGTTATCTTCAGGTATGCTGCTTTTGTTTTCCAGGCTTTAAGAACTAAAACTTTAAAGGCCAAGTTCACTTAAAAAACATTTGTTACTTGTTATTTTTAAACTGGCCATGCAGCCTAAATGTGAAAATAGTTTTCTACCCCATTTCCTGCATTAGCTGTGGATACAAAATACAGCTGGAAGCATTCAGATTAACAAAGCAAGTCAGATCTATGTCACAGAAAATTTGCATTTATGGACTCAACCATCTTTGCTTGTGAAAGGGAAGGTTGTTATTGATTTAGCATCCAGGAGAGAGCAGAGCACGGCTAGTAGAAGCTAACCATTAGGATTAGCAACTTCACCACATGACAGAACTCCTTCAGGCTTGTGTTAGGATATAACATCAATGTTGCAAAGCAACAAACTTGCAAAGCAAAAATCTAAAAGCAAAAGCTTTTAAATCAGTAAAGGGTAGAATTCCTACTCCAGGTCAGGAACGAGGTCCTGCCTCAAGTGGAGGAGTTTAAGTATCTCAGGGTCTTGTTCACGTGTGAGGGAAAGATGGAGCGTGAGGTCGATAGGTGGATTGGTGCTGTGTCTGCAGTGATGTAGGTGTTGTACTGATCTGTCGTGGTGAAGAGAGAGCTGAGCCTGAAGGCAAAGTTCTCGATTTAATGGTCGATCTGCGTTCCTACCCTCACCTATGGTCATGAGCTTTGGGTAGTGACCGAAAGAACGAGATTGTGGATACAAGCGGTCAAAATGAGTTTTATCCGCAGCGTGGTTGGGCTCTCCCTTAAAGATAGGGTGAGAAGCTCGGTCATCCAGAAGGGGCCCGGAGTAGACCTGCTGCTCCTCCTCATCAAGAGGAGCCAGTTGAGGTGGCTCGGGCATCTGGTTAGGCTGCCTTCTGGATGCCTCCCTGGTGAGGTTTTCCAGGAGGAGACCCAAGGGAAGACCCAGGACACGCTGAAGGGACTATGTCTCTTGGCTGGCCAGGGAACGCCTTGGGATTCCCCCGGAAGAGCTGGCCCAAGTAGCTGGGGAGAGGGAAGTCTGAACATCTCGGCTTAGGCTGATGCCCCCACGACCCAACCCTGGATAAGTGGCTGAAAATGGATGGAAGGATGTATGTTGCAAAGCAAATGGAGTCAGTGGTAAACTCACATTTCTGTTAGCCAAACAGATGCTAGATGCCTGAATATCAGGAAGCACAACTCCAGATCCTACCTTCTGCTGCTCCCCTCTCATCTGACTCAATTTTAGTTCCTGAAACAGGAGCGCCAGAGCTTTTTACACACAGAGATCGACTCACAGGGCATTGATTTATACTAGACACCACTGCAAATGTGTTGAAAAAAAAAAGAGTGAATATGGTATTGTTTCTCAGTTCAATGAAATAGATGGAGCTTGAAAGAGTCTTGGTGGATCCTGTAATGCTAAAAAATTGTGAAACAAACCCATTGTATTATTACAGTATTATTTTTGTAAGGTTTTCAAAAGTCCAGGAGGAGAACAAATTAATACCCAACTAATAGTAATTTGACATTAAAATAAATGACATTATGATGCGTATGCATTAGCAGACTTGATTAGTATGTGTTGGAAGACAAATCACTTACCTAACTTTTATAACAAAAAAGGAAAAAAAAAACCACAAGGTGTACAAATATTTCATAATTCTGTATTCATGTCTTCAGGATGGTGGACGTGGGCGGACAGCGCTCTGAGAGGAAGAAATGGATCCACTGTTTTGAAAATGTCACTTCCATCATCTTCTTGACCGCCCTCAGTGAATATGACCAAATCCTGTATGAAACCGGAAAAGATGTAGGTCCTACCTAAATGTGGCAATGATCAGATACCCTTTGTTCTGTAGAAAGGTTACGATTATTTTTTATTATTTTATTTATTTATTTATTTATTTATTTTTACCTGTTTATAGCTCTTTGAAAGGCCTCAGCCTGAAGAATGATCATTTATTTTAACAAGATTGACAAACTACATCAAGTTACACTGGAGTCAAAATTACAAGCCTCTTAAAGCGCCCCTTATTTCTGAAGTATAGTGTCAGTTTATCCAAAGTTCAGTGTGGAGCCTCATGAGGTCTGTGTCGATAAAGAACTGATAAAAAGTAGACGCTGCAAATTTGGCCTCTAGTAGTGGTTGATTACACTGGTGCTCTTCTCAGTCCTTACACCCCCAGCAGGTCCCTGAGGTCCAGTGACCAAAGCCTACTGGTTGTGCAGCACCAGGCTAAAGACCAAAGGTGACAGATCATTTGCTGCTGTGGCCCCCAGACTCTGGAACTCCCTCCCCCTGAGCCTGAGATCAGTGGACTCAGTTTAAAACGAAACGTTCCCAACACTGGTTACTATTATTTATCCTCGTGTTTTTATCTTAGTTCTGCTGTATTTTTGTGTGTTTCTCTTCCTTCCTCTCTCTCTTTCTGCAGGTCTACAAGTGGATTCCTGTACCCTTTGTTTTGTATCTTTTTGTACCACTTTTCTTCCGTTCTTATTCCTTATTTCTCTTTCAATTCTGTCTTTGTGTCAATTGGGATTAAAAATAACCAAATTAGTTGTTATTTTGGATGGGGCATTAACGCTGAAGCTTGTTTTTGGCATGCTGACATCAATTCTGATTGCTTTAGAGCAGGACAGGGTGTGTGGGCGTGAGGAGTGGGGGGTGTAAAAGTTTATCCTATGAACTTTTCATTTTGCAAAACACAGCTAATTACATACATACATTTTCTGTGGTTATTGACATTGAGAATTAATAAGGTGTGTTCCTGGTCCAGAATGTAGCACGATCCTGCAGAAACTACAAAATAAACCCAAGACAAAACAGAAATTTGTGTTTGATCAAATACTTCTTTATAGTACCAATACATATTGACTAAAGCAACAGAAAAACAAGTTAAACAAGTTGTATTTGGTACTAAACATGACTAATTATCCCAGGAACCATTGTTACAACAACACAAATCAAGATTTTATCCCCATTTCTATTTTTCCAAAACCGTTTTTATAATTCTGTTTTAGAATCGCCTGGTTGAGAGCCTCGCCCTTTTCCTGACCATCATCTCATCCCAGTGGTTTGAGGAGTCCTCCACCATCCTTTTTCTGAATAAAAAAGATCTGCTAGAGGAGAAAATCCAACACTCACATTTGGAGACCTACTTTCCAGACTTCACGGGTAAATTTAATTCAGAGCAGTCTTGTTTGTCTGTTTTGATTAAGTTCATTAGCCGATTGTTTTCTGCTCATGAGAATGTTTATGAAACTGGTGTAAAACAACACCGATGTGTCTACCAGGTGCTCTTGTGTGTTTCCACATTCTGATCTTTATCATGATGTGCTTTCAAGGTAAATTTAAGTTCTAATTGATGCAGCTTGTGTCACATTTGTTTTCTTGGCACTCATCCCCGCAGGGCCTAAAGGTGATGCTGATGCTGCAAAAAAGTTCATCCAGAAAAAGTTTGTGGAACTCCACAAGAATCATCACAAACCTCTTTACCCACACTTCACCTGTGCCACGGACACAGAAAACATCCGGATCGTCTTCAAATCTGTCAAAGACACAATTTTCTTAGAGAACATGGACAGGTTAAACGTTGTTTAAGACATTCGAGTGACCAGTTTCAGCTGGTTTGGAAACATAAAGAACATCAAACACAAAGTCAAGCAATTTTATCCTGCTCGGATACAAATTTCTTGTCATCGCAACATTATACGGAGGGGGATTAGGGCTACAGGAAAAAAAAAGTAAAGAAAGAGAATTCTGACGTTTCTCCCCAGAATTCTGACTTTAATTTTAGAATTCTGACTTTAATTTTAGAATTCTGACTTTAATTTTAGAATTCTGACTTTAATTTTAGAATTCTGACTTTAATTTTAGAATTCTAACTTTTTTTCTCAGAATCCTGACTTTAATCAGAGAATTCAGACCTTTTTTCTTAGAATTTTGACTTTTTTCAGCAATTATTAAAGTCAGAGCTCTGAGAAAAAGTCAGAATTCTCTTTCTTTACGTTTTTTGTTTCAGTGGCCCCTAATCCTCTTCCGTACTTTAAAGTAAATGACAAAAGTCCATATTGCTCTAAAAAATAAATGGAATACTATGTTACAGTGTGTTTTTTCCTCTTTAGAATTCTGTTCCTCCCCTTTAGAAGTACGGGTCAGACCGGTTTGGAAAAATGCAAAAAGGAAATAAAGGCAACGCAGGGCCTGGTTTATTACAGTGGAGTGATAAAACTACACCATGGAATTAGAAATCTGTATTTGAGCCGTCTTTCTTCTAATGTAACAAAAGCTTTTATTTACTGACATAAAATATTTGTAAATAGATAGTAATACATCAGTATTTAATGATTGATTCATGGTATGAAAATGGATGCAGTCCATATAATTTTATGTATGAGCTTCATTTTTTCCATTAAATTATCTGATAAAAAAAACTGTGTGTTTGTTGCTATTTTAGCTTTCAGAAAAGAACAGACAGAATCACGACTCTGGTAAAGGTTTTCACCCTGCAGGACATCCTGGGGGTCAGGGTTCCCACTGCAGGCATCTCAGAGGACATCCTCATACCCATCCTGAAGCAACTGTTGGCACCATTGTGTTGTAGAAAATAAAGTCACAATTGAAATAGCAAAAGTAAGTTAAGAAAAGTAACTACTGCCAGTCAAAAAATGGTTATTAATTATGAATCAAAAGAAACAAAAACAACAGAAAACTAAAAACAATATGACCACAGAAACACAATCAATCAAGGTGCGTCCTGTATTTTGTATAAGAAGTGTTTTCAGTCCTGTAATCGGGGAGTCTAAGGTGTTAAATGTCTAAATAAGCAGATGATAAGCTGATGAACGTGAGTTACGTGACACATTCACAACCTGCAGTAGGCAAGTAACCAGTAAGGGGGGTGGGGTGGGGGTGACAAAATGAGCAAGACACACTCGCCATCCCTGGTTTAGAGGTCTGACATGCTACTACGATACCGCTGCTGTCTTTTTTCTGTTGTGATCTCAAAATTAACTGTTAGCTGATCTCTTCTATCGACGCCATGTTTGTTTTGTTTGAACCTTACAAACCCATCACTGTCTGGTCTGAGTTCTGTACAGTGTTCTCTGGTGGAATACTCCAGTACTACATGCAGTGCAGCAGCAGGGATGAAAACAAAACCCAGTCTGCTCCCTGCAGCGTGAAGTGACAAGGTCTGCATATTCCAGCGGCTCTACTCCGAGTCTCTTCAATGTTAGAGCTTTTCACTCCCTCTCTATGAGGGACCCCCCCCCCCCCCCCCAGGCACAAAGTGCTTAGCCCCCTCCTTCCTCCTCTTGTCTCCTGTCTCCTTCCTCCTCTTGTCTCCTGTTTCCTTCCTCGTCTTGTCTCCTTTCTCCTTCCTCCTCTTGACTCCTGGCTCCTTCCTCCTCTTTTTGTTTCCTCTTGTTGGTCTCCTCTCTTGCCTTCAGAAAAACTCCTTTCTATTAGTAAATTCATTTACAATGTCATCAAAGTCCAGATTCCTGACAAGCTGAGATTCAGTTGCCAACAGTGACATTGAGGCGCTGTTGAGTTTGTGTTGTTTCTCAGTTCATTTTTTATTCTTGCCCTTTGTGAGAATGATCGTTCCCCTTCAAAATTTGTAACTGGTAGAGTTAGAAAAATCCGCAGGGCCACAAACACATTAGGGAAGATGGACTGTAGACTATTTTTTAGCCTGGAAACGATCCTGGTTCTACTTATATTACATTATCTATGTGGAGTCTCTGGGGACTATTTAGAGCTAAGAGGCGCACGCTCTGATCGTTGATGCGCTCCAGACAGATGTGTCCTGAGCACGGCCGCAGTAACATTCTCAAAGTGTCGCCACCTCACAAACCAAGTTAACATATGATTTTTTATGTCGGCTCATATCCTTTCATGCTTTCTGTCTTTTATTCGTGCCTGATGCGTTTCGCTGCTGAGGAGCGGAGCGCATCACCTGTTTCGTCCTCCGGTGACTTCACCTTACCGGTGCAGCCGGCACACACTCCGCTGTTTTTGTGGTTGATGCAGTTTAAAGGTCACTCATAAGGTGAAAAAATATGAAGCCAGGAATTTTTCTTTAGGATTGAAAGGAGATGCAGGAAGATAATAGAGACAAGACAGAAAAATAGTCGAATAAAAACAAGTTTGTTTTTGTACCTGGTGGATGCAACAAACAGACACCACTGAAAATAATCAGAAGTGAGGAACAGAAAATGAAATGATTCTTTCAATGTTTAGACCAGCAGGAACTCTGAGAGGCTGCAGGCGCATCAGTGAGATTGCGGCCGCTGCGCAGGGGGAGAAGGGAGCGGGATGAAGCAGCTGGGGAACAGTAAAGATGCAAAAACTACCGTTGTTAAAAGAATTGTGTGTTCACTTAGAAAATGTAGGCACAATTTTAATTACTTGTCAACTTTTTTCTCCAACATTAAGACTGCTGCCCAAAAAAGAAAAAAAAAAAGATTGCTGCTCGCGTGGGCCCCTGGGCCTGTGCCCAGTTTGCCCGTATTATAATCCGGCCTTGGCCCGGACACCCGATGGAAGAAACTCACTTTGGCCACTTGTATTTGTCACCATAGGTCCTGATCCAGGCATAAAAACATGTGATGGCTAACCAATCAGGTCTGAGGTGACCAGGTTCAGGGAAAACAACCTGGTGCTAAATGCACAGAAGACAGCAGAGGTTGTTGTGGACACAGCGCCACTTCCCCCATAACCCTGTCTCACACACCCATCATGTCAGTGGACTTATGTCGCTTCCTGGGCACCACCATCACCCAGGACCTCAAGTGGGAGCCTACCATCACCTCCATCATAAAAAAGGCCCAGCAGAGGATGAACTTCCTGAGGCAGCTGAAGAAATTCAACCTATTGGTACAGTCGATGAGGCAGTTCTACACCGCAGTCATCAGCCTCTTTTATCAGACAGACCATCGCGTCATTACAGAGTGGGTCTCGTAAATGTGGCAAGGAGCAAAGGGGAAAGGTGATAAAACTCGATTCTGACGTGCTTAGCCTCATAGTAATATTGCCGCATGAGCCCCTCGCCTCTGACGGCCAAATGCGTGTCAGTCCCGCTAATCCCTTTGGAGCGACTGTGGGAGGCCTCCCCGCAAAAGAGGGTGGTCGCGTTAGTGAAGTATGCTGCGCGCCAAGTGCCGGCCGGAAGGGATATGAACACAGATAAACATGGCCTCTCACTAGTATCTTTCAACCACCTACAACATGGCAAACTGGACGGACGCGGAGACCATGGAGCTTTTGGCCATGTGAGTGGACGAACAGATTAGTCGCCTTTTTATGGGGACGGTGAGAGACAGCCAGCTGTTCAACAGAGTGGTGAAAACATTGGCTGAGCGGGGCGTCGAGAGGGACAAAAAGCAGGTCACATCACAGCTAAAGGTCCTGAAAAAGAAATGTCATCAGTCTGACGTGTCTTCCGTCTGACGCTGAATGCGCGACCCTGTACGTCACATGCAGCGACATCTCTTTATCCTGTGTTGGTTTGAGAGGTGCCTAACGGCAGTTTATTCTAACTTCAGCTTTCCTACTATAAATGCCAAAATTCTCACTAGGGAGCCGTGTCAAATCCCGTTTTGCAAACGCTATGGTCCTGTAAAAACAGCCATCAAGTCCATCCTCACCTCTTCAATCACCGTGTGGTACACTGGAGCTACCAGCAGGGACAAGAAGAAGCTGCGCTCTGCTGAGAAGGTCATTGGCTGCTAACTCCCCTCCATACAGGACCTGTACACCTCCAGGATATTGAGGCGAGCCGGTCGGATCACAGCTGGCCCGTCTCACCCCGAACACAGTTTCTTCGACTTGCTCCCACTTGGCAGGAGGTTCCAATCGATTAGGACCAGAACCTCTCGCCACAAAAACAGTTTCTTCCCCTCCATGTTCGTACTCATGAACGACAATTGTAGACCTGCCCACTCCAGCTGCTTTGTTTCAGTCACATGACCCTATTGTTGTGTTTGCACCTGAACTGACTCGCTCTGACCAGTATCTACACTGACTTGTACAAAGTAGCTGATTCTCTAATTATTGATTCCCCATATTATTATCATTTCATTGTGTTTATTTCTTAATTCTAATTTTGCTTATCATTTATTTTTTCTTGCACCAGGTGCCGCAGCCATTTCCTAACTTCAATTCAATTCAGTTCAATTCAATTCAAGTTTATTTATATAGCGCCAAATCACGACAAGAGTCGTCTCAAGGCACTTCACATAATAAACATTCCAATTAGGACAGTTCATTAAGCCAATCAGAAATAATTTTTCCTATATAAGGAACCCAGCAAATTGCATCAAGTTACTGACACTAACGTTGTGATTCTCACGCCTATGGCAATAAAACCTGTCTGATTCTGATCTGATTCGGATTCTAAAATCTGTTCTGTTTTCATTTGCGTTTACATGCTAAAGCCAATAGATCTCCAGCCAGGGCTTGCTTTCTGCACCACAGGAACGTGGAATGTACCTTAGCTGGATTGCACAGCAATGGCTGCAGAAGTGTGCTGACAGGAACAGGTTTATCTGGCAGGACAAGAAAACATAGTTTTGTGACTGATCCTTCTGAGTGAAAGAGAAACTGGTCCGCTTGGTGTGAAGTGAACAAGCATTCCAACATGTCTCTTGAGGAAAAAGACAGAAAGAGTGGTTTTAAAGAAATAAAAAACAACTTCATTGTGAGGATTTAAGTCTCAAAGGGCGGCTGAAGATCCTGTTATTAGGTAAGAGTTTAGAAAGTACTCCATGTTTACTTAGTGGGTGCCTTTGTGTTTTAGAAAACTTTGTCCTCTTAAACTTAAAATTAAATAAGTACATATCTTTTGATGTGCACATTTTTTTTCTGTAAGTTATGAGCCAACAGAAAATGTATTTTAAGATAATCTGAGAGTTGCTAAGCAGCGGCTGAATGATTCTGATACTGTCAAAAAGAAATGTACTGCAGCGTGTACAATTAAAGAATCTTATCAGACAAAATTAAACCTCAAATCAGCTCTGTTCATTGCAATTTGGATTTTTGTTAGGACCAATGACATGTCACTACAAAAAAAAAAAAAAACAGATTTTGGTGGTTTTATTTTATGTCCTCGACTGAGAAAGCCCACATAGCTGCAACCAATCTGCTGCCATAAATTAATTAATCAAAGAACTCTATTTTAATAAAGCTAATCTATCAACATGTTAGTCAATATAATAAGATGTGACCGACCTGTCAAATCAAAATATTAATTACTTTATTATGACCCTATAGAAATAATAAGTACTGTGACTTTAAGTGTTCCAACAGGACTAATTTCACGTAGTGTTAAAAGGACATAACACATTCCTTTCACTGATCCAATCAGAATCTTACAGATCTGACAGAGGTGTGCTTCTGACGGTGTTTGGTAATTTTCATTCGACAATAAACCATAACATCCGAGGTATAAAACTACGCCACGTCAGCTCTAACGCCAGTTCAAACCGTTCCAAAGCAAGCGACGGAGTGGCCAATCCTGATCTTTTAACTCTTTAACCGAAAGAACCGAGGACAAGCTGAATAATCCAGTCGCTATAACAACCAGCGGTAACAACAGCTCCTTTCAGAATAAAAGCTCCATCCACCGACCCAGGCTTGGGTCTGACCAGACGCCAATAAAAGTGTCATGTGCCGGAAGTAACTCAAGACGGGTTTGATCAGAACCGCGGCTTCTCCTGGCTGGCTCGCCATTTTGTAATGAAATGAGATTATTACATTTTAATTAATGAGCCATAAGGCGTGGGATTCGATAGGAAATATAGAATCCACCTTATGGATCGAAGGGTTATTTAAACCAGAAGATTGGATCTTTTTATTGCAGAGATTAGATAACCGTTATGTATTCACTCAGAGACAACAGAATAGAGGGAGTCAAGTTTACAAGTTAAGAATTTTATTACTAACAAATTAAACTAGACTGACTTTAAAACTAAATGCATCTACAGAGGACTTCCACCGAAGGCAAGGTAGGCCGACACGATGGGGTCTCATGCTTTTTCTGAAGCTAACCAAAGCTTAATGCGAAACATCATCCTCAGTTCCCGTCAGAACTAATCGCTTCTTCAGATCTGTAAGATTCTGATTGGATCAGTGAAAGGAATGTGTTATTTCCTTTTAACACTACGTGAAATGAGTCCTGTTGGAACACTTAAAGTCACGGTACTTATTATATTCTATAGGATCATAATAAAGTAATTAATATTTTGATTTCACAGGTCGGTCACATATTATTATATTGACTAACACTTTGATGGCTTAGCTTAATTAAAATAGAGTTCTTTGATTAATAAAAAGAAAAGAGTTCATTCTTCGTTCTTCTGTTGAGCTGAAAATAAGCAGGTTAGAAGGAACGCATGAGACCTTGAGACTATCTCTCATGCAGACCTGTTCTGAGCAAAGAAGGGAAAAATAAGAGTCATTCGTTCCGTTACAGATGTAAATTCACCAGTGTGTGATGACTAATGGGAACTAAACCACAGCAGATGGCTTTACAGTTTTTTTCAATTGCTAAAACTCAAAAAGCAAAAACGAGGCACAATTTTCAAAACCTCTACTTCTGTTCCCAATTGCTTGACTCAGTTTATCACTACTTAAGATTTCCTTATCATATTAGAACTCTGAATTTCCTCCTTTACACTCTGATGTCAATTTCACATTACCTTGCTGTCAAAACACAGCACACAATTTTCAGGTTTACACACACTTTCCACATAAATTCTCAAAGCTTCAATCAACAACACACAAATATTCAAATCTCTAAACTTTCGGGTCTGGCGAGCAATTTGCAATCAGGGACTGCAGCGTAAAAGTAAGTTTCCACAAGGCTACCCAGGTGTATGAGTGGTTTCAGGACCACCCACGGTTTTCCATTTTATACCTTCCACCTTATTCCCCCTTCCTCAATCCCACTGAGGAGTTTTTCTCAGTCTGGAGGTGGAAGGTGTACGAAAGGAATCCACAGAGCAAGGTCCCACTGCTTCAAGCCATGGAGGAGGCTTGTAGAGATGTGGCCTTTGAGGCCTGTCAGGGCTTCATGAGGCACTCGAGGCGGTACTTCCAGCGCTGTTTGGACTAGGAGGATGTTGATGAGGCCCTCTGGCCAGACAGAGACCGGAGGCATGATGCCCCATGATTATGCTTGAATGGGAGGGTGGGGGGGTGGGGGGGTGGGGGGGGGTGACTGTAAAAATAAAATGTTTTGTCTCAAAATCTGTGTGATGTCTAATGTTTGTCTCAGAGAAAAGGAGGCACTGTCATACATTCAGTGTGTAATTCATTGTGTTCCCTTTAGACAATTTTGTTTTCAGTTTTGCTCTTCAGTGTTCTTTCCATGCTTGGTAGTGTTCACCCAAAGGCTACTTGTGTTTAAGCAATGAATGGTATGTGTGTGTCATGTGAAAATGTGGCTGTGTTTACCAAATGAAAACACGTGTTTCATTTTGGGAAAATGTTACAATATGTGATGGCAGGGTTTTGTTGCAAAGGGAAGCCACGGTTTAAGAATTTGTGTGTTATGTTTGGGGTTTTGTGTGTGCAGTTTTGAAAGAAACGTGTTTTAGCAATCGAAAAAAAAACTGTAAAATTGTACATTTAGGAATTAGCTCTATGTGTTTTTAAGGCCTCCATACTGCTTAGTGACCCCGTTTTGATTAGATGCAAGTTTAGAAAGATTTCTTGTAAAATAGCTTAAGTGTGATTAAATTAGAACTGCATTTTACTTCTGCAATGGAGCAAATGTGTTCTTTTGATTGTTGTGCAAAAGCAGAACTTCCTCTAAGCAAACACTGTTATTGTAACACCTCATCAAACCAGTTTCAGGTCAAATGTTAAACAGTTGTATCGAATTTTTTATTTGAATTTTTTTGTCAGGGACTGGAGAAAGTGGAAAGAGCACCTTAATCAAACAGATGAGGGTCGTCCTTGGCCGCGGTTACAGTGATGCTGACAGGAAGAGTTTCACCATGCTGGTGTTTCAGAACGTAATTGGAGCCCTTCAACAGCTAATTGATGCCATGAAGACTCTACAGATTGACTACACTGACGACCAGAATATTGTGAGAAGTCATATAAAGTTTGTCTAGAAGTCGACTTTTCATACTTATTTGTTTCATGGAAAATTTTCTTGATAATTTTTATGGGATCTTGCGTTAAAAAATAAACAAAAACAAGTTCATTAAAAAAAGGACATCCCCCCCCCCGTGAATTCATGCAAAACGTCTGCAAATCCTAAAAGTAGACGTCTATTTAACGTGTCACCTAAACCTCACGTAGCTGCTGCTAAATGGAAACGTGCACTTGACAAATATTACAAATACGTGATTTTATTTTTCTGTTTTGTGTCAGAACCATGCACAGAAGCTTAGTGAATGTTCTTTACAAGAGGTGACCTCTCTGGAGTCCTGGCAGGTAAACGCCATTACGCGAGTGTGGAATGACCACGGCGTGCAAAAGTGTTACTGCCATCGCACGTAATTTCCCTTATTAGACTCAGCCAAATAGTGAGTCTCTATATGTTTTTCATGTCAGAAATGTTTTTAGTGCTTCATCTTGTGCTGACAAATTCTGTTTAGCAGAACACGTGCAGCAGGTGCTATTTTTGGTTGTTAATATTTCGGTTATCTGAGTGACCTGAACAGAATCACGGCTCCAGGATACGTTCCCACTGAGCAGGACATCTTGAGGAGCAGGGTCCCCACCACAGGCATCATAGAGTACATGTTTGACACTCCGAAAATCTCCTTCAAGTACGATTCCACTCTTACCTTTGCTCCCTTTGCTGTCACTTTTAATGATTAGAAAATATTTTAGCATGGCCTCTATGGGTGAAAGTGATAAGTAATGGATAATCACATCATTTGCTACCTAAAACTCAACAGTGACATCATTTTGTTTTCCAGCTTTCAACGACAAAAACAAAACTCTTATGATGTGCCTTTAGGATGGTGGACGTTGGTGGTATGCGCTCCAAGAGAAGAAAATGGGTCTTTGCTTTTGAACATGTCACCTCCATCATATTCTTGGTAGCCATCAGTGAATATGATCAAGTCATGTTTGAAACTGACAGTGTTGTACGTACAACCTCAGCGTAATCACAGTTTGTTTTCCAGTTTCAAAAACATTAAAGGTGAACTGATCGAAAAGTTTGTTCCTTCATTAGAACCGTCTGGTTGAGAGTCTCCACCTGTTCCAGACCATCATTTCCTCCACGTGGTTGGAGGAGGCCTCCACCATCCTCTTTCTGAATAAAACAGACCTGCTAGAGGAGAAAATCACTCATTCACATTTGGTAACCTACTTTCCAGACTACAACGGTAAATTATGCTCTCTTGTTGCTTCAAATATTTCAATATTTTTCCTAATCTGTTCGTAAAAAACAGTTTATAACAAACAGAAGAGTCTGTCTTGAAAATGAACCCTTCATCTGCTCTTGATATCATGAAAGAAAATAAAAAGAATCAGACCAGAACGTTGTCAGTCATGATGATGCGTCATCATAACATCATGCTTTTTCAAATACTTTTCATGCCTTCGTCTTCGTCTTCGTCTTCCTCCGCTTATCCGGGTCCGGGTCGCGGGAGCAGCATCCCAATTAGGGAGCTCCAGGCCGTCCTCTCCCCGGCCTTGTCCACCAGCTCCTCCGGCAGGACCCCAAGGCGTTCCCGGACCAGATTGGAGATGTAACCTCTCCAACGTGTCCTGGGTCGACCCGGGGGCCTTCTGCCGGCAGGACATGCCCGAAACACCTCCCCGGGGAGGCGTCCAGGAGGCATCCTGACCAGATGCCCAAACCACCTCAACTGGCTCCTTTCGATCCGGAGGAGCAGCGGTTCTACTCCGAGTCCCTCCCGAATGTCCGAGCTCCTCACCCTATCTCTAAGGCTGAGCCCGGCCACCCTACGGAGGAAACTCATTTCGGCCGCTTGTATCCGCGATCTCGTTCTTTCGGTCATTACCCAAAGCTCATGACCATAGGTGAGGATTGGGACGTAGATCGACCGGTAAATCGAGAGCCTGGCTTTCTGGCTCAGCTCCCTCTTCCCCACGACAGATCGGCTCAGCGTCCGCATCACTGCAGACGCCGAACCAATCCGCCTGTCGATCTCCCGATCCCTCCTACCCTCACTCGTGAACAAGACCCCGAGATACTTAAACTCCTCCACTTGAGGTAGGACCTCTCCCCCAACCCGGAGGTGGCAAGCCACCCTTTTCCGGTCGAGAACCATGGTCTCAGATTTGGAGGTGCTGATCCTCATCCCAGCCGCTTCACATTCGGCTGCGAACCTACCCAGCAAGAGCTGAAGGTCAGAGCTGGATGAAGCTAGGAGGACCACATCATCCACAAAAAGCAGAGACGAGATTCTCCTGCCACCAAACTCGACACACTCCACACCACGGCTGCGTCTAGAAATTCTGTCCATAAAAGTGATGAACAGAACCGGTGACAAAGGGCAGCCCTGGCGGAGTCCAACCCTCACTGGGAACAGGTCCGACTTACTACCGGCTATGCGGACCAAACTCACGCTCCTCTGGTAAAGGGACTGAATGGCCCTTAACAGAAAGCCACCCACCCCATACTCCTGGAGCGTCCCCCACAGGGTGCCCCTGGGGACACGGTCATAAGCCTTCTCCAAATCCACAAAGCACATGTGGATTGGTTGGGCAAACTCCCATGCCCCCTCCATCACCCTTGCAAGGGTATAGAGCTGGTCCACAGTTCCACGGCCAGGACGAAAACCACATTGCTCCTCCTCTATCTGAGATTCAACTATCGATCGGACCCTCCTCTCCAGTACCTTGGCGTAGACCTTTCCAGGGAGGCTGAGGAGTGTGATCCCCCTATAGTTGGAACACACCCTCAGGTCACCCTTCTTAAAGATGGGGACCACCACCCCGGTCTGCCACTCCCTAGGAACTGCCCCCGATGACCACGCAATGTTGTAGAGACGTGTCAACCATGACAGCCCTACAACATCCATAGCCTTGAGATACCCAGGACGAACCTCATCTGCCCCCGGGGCTCCGCCGCTGTGTAGTTGTTTGACTACCTCAGCAACTTCTGCCCCCGAGATCGGACAGTCCATCCCCAGGCCTCCCAGCTCTGGTTCCTCCTCGGAATGCGCATTGGTGGGATTGAGGAGCTCCTCAAAGTATTCCTTCCACCGTCCGACTATAGCCTCAGTTGACGTCAGCAGCTCCCCATCCCCACTGTAAACAGTGTGAGCGAGTTGCTGCCTTCCTCTCCTGAGGCGCCGGACAGTTTGCCAGAACCTCTTTGGAGCCGATCGATAGTCTTTCTCCATGGCCTCACCAAACTCCTCCCACGCCCGAGATTTTGCCTCGGCAACTGCCACTGCTGCACCCCGCTTGGCTATCCGGTACCTGTCTGCTGCCTCCGGAGACCCACAGACCAGCCACGCCCTGTAGGCCTCCTTCTTCAGCCTGACGGCTCCCCGAACCTCTGGTGTCCACCAGCGGGTACGGGGGGTGCCACCACGACTGGCACCGGCCACCTTACGACCACAGCTAGCAACAGCCGCCTCGACAATCGCAGAGTGGAACAAGGCCCACTCGGACTCAATGTCCCCCACTGCTCTCGGGACGTGGTCAAAGCTCTGCCGGAGGTGGGAGTTGAAGACCGTCTTGACAGGTTCTTCTGCCAGGCGTTCCCAGCAGACCCTCACTATGCGTTTGGGTCTGCCAGGTCTACGCGGCATGTTCCCTTGCCATCTGATCCAACTCACCACCAGGTGGTGATCAGTTGACAGCTCCGCCCCTCTCTTCACTCGGGTGTCCAAAACATACGGCCGCAGGTCAGATGATACGACTACAAAATCTATCATCGACCTGTGACCTAGGCTGCCCTGGTACCAAGTGTACCGGTGGGCATCCTTATGTTCGAACATGGTGTTCGTTATTGCCAAACTGCGGCTTGCACAGAAGTCCAATAACAAAACACCGCTCGAGTTCAGATTAGGTGGGCCGTTCCTCCCAATCACACCCCTCCAGGTCAAGCTGTCATTGCCCACGTGAGCATTGAAGTCCCCCAGCAGGACAATGGAGTCCCCTGATGGAGCACTATCTAGCACTCGTCCCAGGGACTCCAAAAAGGGTGGGTACTCTGAACTGATATTTGGCCCATAAGCACAAACAACAGTCAGGACCCGTTCCCCGACCCGAAGGCGCAAGGAAGCTACCCTCTTGTCCCCCGGGGTAAACCCCAACACACAGGCAGAGAGTCTCGGGGCTAACAAAAAGCCAACCCCAGCCCTCCGCCTCTCACCCGGAGCAACTCCAGCAAAGTAGAGTGTCCAACCCCTCTCCAGGTCTCGGGTTCCAGAGCCAATGCAATGTGTCGAGGTGAGTCCGACTATATCTAGCCGGTACCGCTCAACCTCTGCCACAAGCTCCGGCTCCTTCCCCGCCAGCGAGGTGACGTTCCATGTCCCAAAAACTAGTTTTCTTGTCCGGGGATTGGACCGCCAAGGCTCCCGCCTTGGTCTGCCACCCGATTCGCATTGCACCGGACCCTTCATGTTCCTCCTGCGGGTGGTGGGTCCACAGTTGGACGAGCCCATGTATCCGGTTCGGGCTGGGCCCGGCCGGGCCCCATGGGCGAAAGCCCGGCCACCAGGCGCTCGCTCACGGGCCCCAACCCCAGGCCTGGCTCCAGGGTGGGACCCCGGTAACCCTCCGGGCCGGGTACTCCGACTCTTCGTTTTAACCGCCATGAAAGATCCTTCCAACCGTTCTTTGTCTCACCCTTCACCTAAGACCAATTTGTCATGGGAGACCCTACCAGGGGCACTAAGTGCCCCAGACAACATAGCTCCTAGGATCATTAGGGCACTCAAACTCCTCCACCACGATAAGGTGACGGTTCAAGGAGGAGACTTTTCATGCCGCCATTCTTAAAATAAATTGTAGTTTAATTTTTTTGTGTTTTACTGATTATTTCATGTGAGTGTGTAAATCTAATGCAGCAGTAGCTCAGGTGGTAGAGCGGATAGCCTCATGATCGGAGGGTCATTGGCCCGATTCCAGCTCCCGCCAGGGTTATCCTGCTGCCGTGTCCTTGGGCAAGACACCTCACCCAACTTGCCTGTGTTAGTGGTGGTCAGAGGGGCCGATGGCGCCAAATGGCAGCCTCGTCTCTGTCAGACCTCCCCAGGGCGGCTGTGGCTACAAGTAGCTTACCATCACTAGCAGTGTGTAAATGTGAGAGTGTGTGAAAGCGTCTTTGGGTGTCTAGAAAAGCGCTATATAGGTTCAATGCATTATTATTATTATTAATGCCAAGTTTCTTGATTATGATATTTCAAATCAAAAATTTTAAAGGTGTGAAACACTGAAAATCGTTTTGTGATAGCAATTGGTCACTTTCTCCATGCAGGCTGAACATGGACGTGGAGGGGTGCTTCTGCATTAGCTTCTGATGGGAAATAGAAGGTGAAACTCTAAGATTTCAAAAGCCTGACAGATCTACGTCACACTGACTGCAAACAGAGTCAGTGGTAGCCCTGTAGTTGTTAGCCAATCAGAAGCGAGATGTCCAAATATCAGAAAATAAAACTTCAAGTCCTGCTGCCTGAAGCTGCTCTCTTCTCCAGCTGAATTCTTTGTGCTGAAAAAGGTGCACCAGAGCTTTTTTTCCCCCAGAGCCCTCCACGTACGACTCACAAGGCATTCATCCCTAAGCAGAGACCAAAGCAGATATTTTTTTAATCTACTAAATCCATCGCTTAACTGTCAGTTAAGAATGTTAGAATGTGTGCAAACATTGATTTATCATTCTGACCTCTCCTCGGCACAAGTTAAAGTTTAAGATGCGGAACGTTACAGTAACCTTCACCCCTCTCACTTCCACAGGGCCTCCAGGTGACGCTGAGTCAGCAAAAAAATTCATCCACAAAAAGTTTGTTGATGCCCACACCGGTCATCATAAACCTCTCCACATGCACTTCACCTGCACCACAGACACGGACAACATCCGGGTCGTCTTCAGAGCCGTCAGACCTGCTCTCATCCACCATTCACTTGAGAAGTTCAGAGTCGAATGAGAGCAGACCGAGGGCTGATTTGCAGGATATGGATACATGGAGGCAATTCTTTTTAAACGTTGTAATAAGGAAAGTTTCATTGGTTAAATGTTGAGTTTCAGTTGCTGCATTCAGATCATTTCTGTCATGTTGAGATTTGATTTATGATATAATAGTTGACACTTTTGTTGCGTTACACAACATTTTATTTACACTTACAACTTTAGTAAAACAGTCTTGAGCTACTGATTTAAATAAGCCAGTTTTGAAGCACTTCCACTTGGATTTGAGCAGTAACGACCTTTGTACCAATGACAACTGACAAGCTGATCCTCCTGATCCTCCTGTCTAACTGTTGGGCCTCAGCACGGTGAGTAAAAAAACAAATCAAAACAAAAAAATAGATACATTTTCAAGGAGCTTGCACTTGTAGATTTCTCGCCGACAAAGAGGAAGCCTGTCAAGGCTCTCTTGATTTGTTCTGCTTTATGGTTATGGTTTATTTAGTCAAGGGTTGAAAAGTTCAGTGCAAACAGGAAATAACATCCTAGATTCAGCTGCATCTACGGCAGGATGATAAGCTGCAGGTGTTTGCTTTTGGATTAGTCTTTATTGCTTTGCAGTGTGTATGAAAGCTTGTGATCTACACATGAATCTGTGACGGTGTTCTCGTTAGAGCCTCCTCTCTTCCTAAGGGCTAATAACATCTTGCAGCTGCACAGCCAAATGCTAAAATGAAAAGAAAAAACCTCACCCGTTTCAGCTAGGTAGTAATAACATTGCTGTGCAAACACACTCAGAGATGATCCCCCCCAGTCAAAGATAATGTAAAAACCCACAAGTAAAACCCACCCTCCTATAGATACACACACAGCAGCTCAGTAGCACCGCCTGAAGTGTAGCTGCTCTGCTGAGAGCTGCTGTAGCAGGTGATGCCCTTATTTGGTGCTGGCCCAGATCATGTGATCATAAAATGGTGGAAGCTGTGAGCTGTTTATAAGCTGAGCATCTCCATCGAGAGGCTTGAAGCAGGAAACAGGGAGTCCATCCATGCTCTAAGACGCAGTGTAGCTGAGATTCCTGAGCCCCAGCAGTGGTGAGTAATCTGCTGTTATTTAGTGAAGATAAAGGGAGGAGAAAGAGGTATGTGTTGTGGTTTTTTCTCTCTCTCTCTCACTGCCAGCAGACAGGAAGTGAGAGTGAGGGAGGGGCTGCTGTCATCAGCACGGTGGTCTTGTGCTCTGATGTGGAAGTGGATCTGAAGCAGCTCAGCATCCTCCTCAAAGGATGCACAGAGCACGCTGTTTTTATTATCCTGCAGCATGTATCAATTTGGAAATAAATCCAGGTGTCTGTCTGTGTGTGTATGTGTGTGTGTGTATGTGTGTCATATTGCATTATATAGACACACACACACTCATCCTCATGATTGTCTTGTGGATTGTAAAGGAATCTCTTCAATATTCAGCATTCTCCCACGGTTTCTGCTGCCAGTGTAATCACATTTCCGCTGTTCCACAGAAAGCCCAGCGTGGAGGAACAAGGATGTTTCTTTTACATGTGAATGAGCACACGTCACGTGACTCGCTGTGAATTTGCATCTCAGCCCAATATGTGCTCAGGCAAGCGTGCAGGCTTTTCCATTTGAATCAGCAGAAGGCAGCAAGGAAAGCTTGTCATGATGCAACGATCTGCTTCCTCTTTCCTCAAACCACCACCCCTCCCTCACTTTAAGTAATAGCATCATTATTATTATGAATTGAAAATTACCTTTTATCCAAATAAATTTCATCCATTTTCCACCCATGAACACTGGGAACCATTTCTGTTTTACCAGTAAAATCAATACATCGGTGTCTGAGGTGTGTGTGGGTTTGTTTACTAATATAGCCAGGTTGGATTTTTAGCAATACTGATGTGAATTTTAGAGGATCAGGTAAAAACTAAAACTGGTAGACTCTTAACACCAGAGGCTTTTTTAAGGGGCAGGAGAATTTAAAACCACACTTACCTTGTAGATTAATATAGGCAGCTTGGGTGGTCAAGTATGGCATGATAAAAAAGTCAGAGTTGCTTCTCATGCAAATGATTCATCTTGAAAAGGCGAGGGGGGAGCGGTTCGTTCTAGGAAAAGCTGGTTATAATGCATAATGAGCAGCCATTCCTGCTTACATCTTCATGTTCTAGCCAAGGGGCAAACTCCACCTGGACAAAGTGAGGCCAACACGGAGGTGACAAAAATAAGTTCTCCTCTCATCCACTAGGGGATGGCTCCAGAAAGGAGCACGTTCCCATTGACTTCCATGTTAAAAATGCCAATGTCACATCTATTTAGCTTCATGACGACTCTGAGGAGGTGACTTGTATTTTTCAACTCATTCATTTAGGTGTAATTAAAGCTTGAAGTGCGGAATACCTAGGGTAGTGTCTACTGGATTGGCAGGTGTCAGATGAGATGTCAATGCTAGCGCTAACAGTTTACCCCCCTGCTTGCTCCAGGGAAGGCCTCAGCCTCGATCTCATGTTAAAATTATTACAGCCTAGAAAGCAGAAGCTAACAGAGTCACTGAACGTGGTTTTCTCACTAAGAGCCCCTGCCAACCTCCAATTCATTTGGCTAGCTCATTTAGCTTGTAGCTACATCATCTAAAAGTTTGTTGGGGGTCAATCATCTGCCCCCACCCTCACAGCCCCGCTCTCAGCTTCATTTTTGCATTTCCTGGGAGTGATGAGATGTGGCCATGATGGTGGGAGTCGCTCAATTCAGCTCTTCTGAAACGCCACAGAGGGTTTATACATCTTATTATTAAAGTCACTGAATCCAGCTCACTTAAGTTTCAGCAATATATAAACAATGTCTGCTTTATGTTTATTATGTTTATGTTTATTTATTTAGCAGATGCTTTTATCCAAAGCGACTTACAATTCATAACCTATAGGGCATGTTGTGATCTGTGGGGGAAACCGGAGTACCCGGAGGAAACCCACGCATGCATGGGGAGAACACGCAACTCCACGCAGAAAGGCCACAGCCGAGTTTCGAACCTGCAACCTTCATGCTGCGAGGCAACAGTGCTAACCACTGTGCCACCATGCTTTAATGATAATCACAAACACGGAGCACCTTACTGATCTAGACCATCAACTACCTCACCAACAGGCCACAGTACGTGAGGCTGCACAACTGTACATCTGAGGTGGTTGTGGGTAGTACTGGAGCTCCACAGAATACAGTGCTTTCTCCCTTTCTCTCCACCTTCTACACCTCGGACTTCACCTACAACACCAGCAGCTGTCACCTCCAGAAGTTCTCTGATGACTGGGTCATTGTCGGCTGTGTGTCTGAGGGGAATGACCTGGAGTACAGGTCAGTCATCGTGGACTTTGTGGACTGGTGTGAGTGTAACCACCTTCACTTGAACACCAGTAATTCAAAGAAAAGGGTGATTGACTTCCAGAAAAGCACTCCTCCTCCTCACTCACCAGTAAACATCCAGGAAGTAGACACTGAGGTGGTGAATACCTTTAAGTACCTGGGTGTTCACCTCAACAATAAACTGAACTGGACCAACAACAAAGATGCTCTGTATAAGAAGGGCCAAAGCTGCCTCCACCTCCTGAGGAGGCTGAGGTCCTTTGGAGTTAATTTTCAGCTGCTAAAATCCTTTTATCACTCTCTTGTTGGCTCTATTATCCACTCTGCTGGGGTCTGTTGGGGTGCAGGCAACTCTGACCGAGATAGGAAGAGAATTAGCAAGTTAGTTCACAAAGCTAGCTCGGTTCTGAGGTACCCACTGGATACAGTTGAGGAGACGTGTGAAAGGAGGATGCTGGGGAAGATGCCCACCATCTTAAAAATACCCTCCCACCCACTGCATTCCACTGTGGAGACCATGGACAGCTCCTTCAGAAGCGGACTGAGATCCCAGATGTAAAACAAAACGCTGTAATAGATCTTTCATCCCCTCTGCAGTAAGAGTGTATAACTCAAGTGTAAGCTGCACTGGCATTATCCTGTTACACAATAACACCAATGCAATATTCAGTATGTGTTCAGTACCTGTGCAATACCGGGTTTACATAGTATGTCCTTGTCTCTTGCAGTATGCTGCGTAGTATTGGAACCCAAGTTTTTTCCTTTCTAATTTGTGGTTTTTAGTGGTTGAACATTACAATACTAGACTACTGCTAATGTGCATGTACATGTACCTTTGTTATTATTTTTCTTCAAATTATCCTCTTAAGTGTTGGTGCTGTAACAAGTGAATTTCCCCACTGTGGGACCAGTAAAGTCTATTCTATTCTTCTGTATTCTATTCTGCTTAAGTCGCTTTCAAAAGACACATTGTGGCGGCAAATCAGGGTAAAACTACTGCCATGGTAAGTCTTTTGAATGCATTGTGGCGACATGGCAAGACAAGAATATTGTGGCATTTTTGTCGCTGAGCTTGGTAGTAATAATACTGTAATGTCGGACTGAAGATTGTGGCAGACAGTCATGTCATGATCGGGTGTGGAATGTCCGCCGAGCCCTGGCCGGCATCCATATTGAAAGAAAACATGAGGAGCCCTTTTCACATTTGTAAACGGTATCAGCTGAGGTGGAAAACTGGAGCGATGCAGTAATCTGGGAGTTTCGGGTTGTTAGAGCTGAAGAGCAAATTTCCAGACAGTCCACAGGGACTGTGAAGGTCAGCCACCTTTTGGAGCGGCTGGCAAAAAAAAACTTAAGCAGCAAGTCACCCACTCACGAGCCAAAACAAAACAATACGGCTCAGAGCTCGCTCCTATCAAAAATATGTCCCCTTCCCTTTCTTCTAGTGAACGAGGTGGACAGGGAATTCTACAGCTCACTGCTGTTTCTGTCTGCACCTCTGACTGAGCCGTGTGTGTGTGTGTGTGTGTGTGTGTGTGTGTGTGTGTGTGTGTGTGTGTGTGTGTGTGTGTGTGTGTGTGTGTGTGTGTGTGTGTGTGTGTGTGTGGGTGTGTGTGTGTGTGGGTGTGTGAGGTGGGGTGGGGTTGCTGTCAGTCACTGTCTCTTTTGGTCCACCTGGCAATGCTTCCTTTTGCCACATTCTTCAAACAGGAAGTGTGGGTGGAGTAAAACCAGCTCACTGGCCTAGTGGTAAAGCGTCCGCCCTGGGACTGGAAGATCGGAGTTCAAAGATCAGTCGAGTCAAATAAAAATGGGACCCAATGCCTCCCTGCTTGGCAATAAGCTTCGAGGGGTTGGACTGTGGGGTTAAACCACCAAATAGTCCACAAGCACAGCGGTGTCTGCAGCTCACCGCTCCCCACGGGGATGGACCACAATTTTCACCTCATCACAGCAGTGTGTGTGTGACAATTATCGGACTTTAATTGGGATAAGAAACACAATATGTCTAAGCTGAAGCCCCCCCCGTACGGCCAAACAGCATGCAGCTCAACATTCATGTCCTGTTCGAGTGGGCGGGAAAACCAGTCTTTTCATTGCAGGCCTAATTTATGGGGTTGAGTTTGACCATTTTCATTCTTCCACCAATTGCAGCAGCCTGGTGATAGACAACATAATTAAATGTTTTATAATAAAACCATTTGTTTTGTCATAGGTCCTCCTGTGGATGGACCTGGCATCAGAGAGTACAATGAGTTCAGAACGGGATGATGGCAGACCAGGTGAGTGTGAGTGAAATACTCTAAAAATATTGAAAATGTGTTATTAATAACTGTTTGAATGGACTTCCATCCACAGCACCTCCTACCTCTCTACCTCTTGAAGGAGGTCCCTCTCAGAGAAAGAAACTTTCAGCGCCTCGAATCAGCTTGTCACTGGACCAGAGCGAGGATGACTTGGGGGAGACACCGGATGATCTCGACATTAACGTTGATGAACTCGACACTCCAGACGAAGGGGACTACCTCGACTACACAGACCACGAAATGGACTGGGAAGGTGAGTTGTATTTAAATCACGCAAAAAGGGATTTTGCTGCAGCTTTTCTTGCACAGTTGATTATGAAACAATTTCTATTTGGTTTTAAAAAAGCAAGACAGTTGCTGAAGTCAAGATCACGTAGTTTCCTTGCATTTTAAAAGTTCTCCTCATCGCATTGCTGAAAAACAAACAAATCGTTGGGGCATCTCAATCATTTAATTTTCCAAATCTCCAGATCCCAATGCAGCCAACAGGAGCAGTACCAATGACTCCTACAACACTATTCCAACATACAGCGCTGAGGAGGAGCGCCAAGATGTCAAACTGTGGAGGACAGTCGTCATCGGCGAGCAGGAACATCGCATCAACATGAAGATCATCGAGCCCTACATGAGAGTCATCTCTCATGGAGGTGATTCTATTATTACCTTTTTTAACACATGACCAGCTCAATGACCTATGGTATGAGTGCCTGCCCTGAGGCTGGGAGATTGTGGGTTCAAATCCACATGCCAAAAACCTTAAAAATGGGACCCAATGCTTCCCCGTTTGGCAGCATTAAGGGGTTCGATTGGCGAGTTAAACCACCAAATGGTTCTCAAGCATGAAGCTCACCTCTTCCCCAGAAGTATTTACGTAGAAGAAGGAAGTTATGTGATTTAGCCCATTTGGCTAAAAGTGACAATTGTTGTTATTTTTCCTTTCATTTCCCCCATTTATCAGAACCCTAATTCAGATTTGTGAAAGCCAGCCCTCTGAAAGCCTCGCATCCAAAGACGGGAGAAGCCAAAGGCCTGATAAGATTGGGCATGTTTGATTAATGCTTTAAAACACGAGGACATGTGATCTGGGAGTTTTGCGGCTGAACATTTCTCCCTCTGCTCATTGCTCCGGGCCCAACTAAAACCCAGCTGCTCCGTGTAAACAGAGATGTCTGTCACGGAAAAGTCAGAATCAGAAGCTCTGTCATCCAGAGAAAAGACCTTCTGTCTGAATGACACCAAAGCTGCTGATGAATAGGCTCGTGAATAAAAGGAAATTACATTAATCTCAGATGTAGTGAGAGGGGATGGGACGAGGAGACAGACAGACAAAGAACCTGAGACTGGCAGATTAATAGAATGAAATAAAGGGGGAAGTAGGAGCAATCAAGTTTTCACCAACAAAAAACATGCTCAAGTTGACTCGTACTACTTTTATTTTAGTGGCCTTATTTTTTTCTTTTTCAGGTTACTATGGCAACGGAGTGAATGCCATCATAGTGTTTGCTGCTTGTTTCCTGCCAGACAGCAATCGAGAGGACTACCATGAAATAATGGAGAACCTGTTCCTGTGAGTTCTAAGCATCAAACAGACACTTTACACAGCTCAGTGACTTTTATTACTGTTACTACGCTTTAACTAAGCCCCACCATACTCCTTTATCAGCCTCAGTTTGGAGCATTTATTCTGATCGAACCAATGAGAAAATGTCTGATTGGGGCCAAGATCAAAGTGAGTTACTGCTGTCTCTAAAAAACTTTGCTTTCCCATAAATCATATGCTTATCCAGAGTCTAGTTGCAGGGGCAGCAGCCTAAACTAAGAGGCCCAGACTTCCTTCTCCCCAGCTTCTTAAGCCAGCTCTTCTGGGGGAATCCCAAGGGGTTCCCTGGCCAGCTGAGAGACATAGTCCCTCCAACGTGTCCTGGGTCTTCCCTTGGGTCTCCTCCCAGTTGGAAGCCCAGAAAATTTCACCATGGAGGAGTCCAGGAGGCATCCTGACCAGAGGCCCGAGCCACCTCAACAGGTTCCTCTTGACCTGGAGGAGCAGCAGATCTACTTCAAGCCCCTCCCGGATGGCCAAACTTCTCACCCTATCTCTAAGGAAGAGCCAGGCTACCCTGCAGAGAAAACTAATTTCAGCTGCTTGTATTAGTGATCTCGTTCTTTGGGTCACTACCCAAAGCTCGTGACCATAGGTGATGGCAGGACTGTAGATCAACCAGTAAATCAAGAGCTTTGCCTCCTGGCTCAGCTCTCCTTTCACTATGACAGACTGGAAGAATGCCCACATCACTGCAGATGCAGCACCACCGCCGGGGGGATGGGGGGTGGGGGGCTGGCCTATCTGGCACTGTCCCCGGTGGGCCGCTTAGCCAAAGGGGGCCGCTCCAGAGACACAGATATTTGACAATCCAACTGACCCTCCTCTGCAGCACCCCTGAATAGACTTTACTAGAGAGGCTCAGAGTGTGATCCCTCTGTAGTTGGAACAGACTCTGCGGTCCCCCTTTTTAAATAGGGGAACCATCACCCCGGTCTGCTAGTCCAGTGTAACTGCCCCCGATGAATTGCAGAGCCCTGTCGGCCAACGCAACCCTACAACATCCAGAGCTTTAAGAGACTCCAGACGGCTCTCATCCAACCCTGGGGACTTGCCACTGAGGAGTTTTTTGACCACCTCAGTGACCTCACTCCCAGAGATTGGAAAGTCCACCCCAAAGTCCCCAGACTCCACTTCTGCACTGGAAGGGATTGAGGAGGTCTTCCGCCCACCATCCTGTGTAGAGGTCAGCAGTGGTAGCATACTGCTTTCCCCTCCTGAGACGTCGGATGGTGGACCAAAATCTTCTTGAACCCATACAGAAGTTTTGTTCCTTGGTCTCATTGAACTCCCTTCCATGTCCGTTTTTTTGCCTCTTTGACCTCCTGAGCTGGAATTTGCTTGGACAGCCACTACCCAACAGCTGCCTCTGCAGTCCCACAGGCCAAAAAAGACCCGGTAGGACTTCTTCTGTCTATATCACAACATTTAAGGCAATTACAAACCTTTACAAGACCTCACATCTCATATCATATAATAAAGATAATTCCCCTAGTAGGGTCCACTGGTCTACAGGTAGTTCAGAGTGTAACACTTTACTTCCTTAAAGGAAAGCAAACAAAAGAGAAATGTCAAGAAAGCTCTTCAGTACCTGCAGATACCCTGGGCCTTTGTGAAATCAATAAAGAAGTCTGGAAAATAATCCACAGCAGCAACCATTAAAGAAAAGGACAACAGGCACAAAAGCACCATCATCCCATACGTGGCAGGAGACTCAGAGAAACTTAGAAGAATCTTCTCCAAACACAACATCCCGATAAACTTTGAACTTAACAACACCCTCAGACAGAAACTGATCCATCCAAAAGACAAAGCACCCAAACAGAAGCTCAGTGGGGTCGTTTATGCAGTCCAATGTTATGAGGACTGTCCAGATCTTTACTTTGGGGATAATAAACAACAATTACACGAGTGTATGGTACAACACTGGAGAGCCACATCTTCAGGTCAAGACTCGAAGTCCACCTACACCTGAAGGGACACACTTTTGAAGAAGCAGCAAAACATCTTCAAGAAACCAAAGAATTCCAGGTGCCTTCATTTGATTCCTTTCGGATTACCTGGAATACTGAGAACCTTCACCAGCATAAAATGTAAAGTTACCAGTTTACAGGTTAAATGACGATTTTATGCATTTTTTATTATTATTTACAGACCCTGGATTCTCATGTCAGTTCTCTTGTTCGCTCTTCCTTCTTCCATCTCAGGAACATTGCTAAGCTGAGTCCCATTCTGTCCCGCTCTGAACTTGAGACAGTTCTCTACTCCTTCATCTCCTCACGCTTAGACTACTGTAACTCCACGTGTCTGAGCAGAACCTCCCTGAACCGTCTGCAGGTGGTTCAGAATGCCTGTGCTCGGCTTCTGACCAAGTCCTCCAAACACACCCACATCACCCCGCTTCTCCTCCAGCTTCACTGGCTGCCAGTCAACTTCGGGGTTCATTTCAAGATCCTGGTTCTGGTCTATAGGGCCTTACATGGACGAGCACCATCTTACATTGGTGATCTTCTTAGTCCTTACACCCCCAGCAGGTCCTTGAGGTCCAGTGACCAAAGCCTACTGGTTGTGCAGCACCATGCTAAAGACCAAAGGTGACAGATCATTTGCTGCTGTGGCCCCCAGACTCTGGACCTCTCTCCCCCTGAGCCTGAGATCAGTGGACTCAGTGGTCTCCTTTAAAAAGCAGATGAAGACTCACCTGTTCAGGCTGGCTTTTGCATGACCTTCATCATAACCCTCTCCTTACTCAGCTCTTTCTACAAGTTCCACCTTTTCTGCGATCCACTGACACCTCTTTCTTATCATTTTCTCTTTCCCTTTCAAGCAAATTATTTTCTCGTTTTCATGTTTTTAAAATCATTTTTAATCACTTTTTCTTATTTAAAAAAAAATTGTTCTTGTGAAGCACTGCCCGATTTTTATCTTGAGAGACGCTATATAAAAGATTGTTTTTTTTTCTTTCTTCTTTCTATTAGTGCAATTTATTGTTGATAGCAACACACTGTAGTTCTGGCCCCGTTTGCCCATGAGGTCACAGCTATAATCCGTTTCTCCAGAGTGACAAACGCACGCTCAGGTTCAGGATGTTGCCCAAGGCCACTAGGTGTCATCATGACAGCCTGTGCAAAATACAAAGTATAAATTGATTTTTTCCAATCAGTGGTGGACACTACGTGTTGTATTTTCCCTTTAGCCAGTTAAACGTAGCTGTTCTCCACAGTCAGCATTTTGTAAATCTAAAATCTTGATAATTATCTAGCAACTGATTTTTTTCCATAGACATGCCAACGTTCTCACGTATAAAAAGACTTAATTTTGTACCAAATTTTTAAGAAACCATAGACCAGTTGTCATGCTGATCTTTCTATTTGAAGTTCTACATAATTGTTATGAATGATAATTAATTTTAACAACTGCTAGTCTGGTTTGAGAAAATGTCATAAAGTAACTGATGACCTACTACTAAATATTGATGGAGACAGCTCAGTTTGAGTTATTTTAGGCTGCTGTTGATACCATCCATTACAAATCCAGTGAGTCATTTCCTATTCTCAATGGCTCTGCTGAATTGTGGTGTTCCACAAGGACCAGTCTTCGGTTTTCTTGAACTTTTAAAGGGCCTTACTGGTCTAACATCTCATATCCTCCTTGGACCCTGGGTCCTCTAAAGGGACTGTTGGCTTCTTTTTTATTATTTGATTATTTAGAGTGACCTGATTTTAATTTAAATTTGACCCTTTCATCTTTTTTAATTGTTTGTTTCAAGGAAAACTAAATTAAACTTGGGTTTAATACAAAAAGCACCAACATTTATTTATAGTCTAGGTTTTGATACACAATTCAACATTTAAAATATCAGTTAAGGGGATAAAATTGGGAGTTGCCAGTTGAAAGAAAGAAATCAAATCAAACTAAATAAAATCTCCAAAGCAAAATCAAATCACTTTAACTGAAGTGATGTAAATAAAATGTGTTTGCTGGGACTTGCTGAGTTTGAGCTCCCATGTTGTCTTGGCAGTTTACCTTTATGCCTGGACAGTGTGGTGAGGATCCCACGGGCTGTTCTGTGACCGATTTAGAGAAAGCTGGCATGTCCAAAAGTTTTGGATACAAATGAGAGAGAATCAAATTTGGTGTCTGCATTTTCCGATGCCAGATGGCCTGAAGTCTAAGTCCATGTGAAGAGGAGTAACTGTGGCTTTGTGGACAACAGTATGCAGTATGTCAGTAGGAGATGATCTTAATAGTCGTGAAACCGAGCTAATCAGCAGTGCTGGACTGCTAGTTGGAAAGTGACATTTGATGAGACGGCGAGGACGGTAAGAATGAGATGAAAGTCAGAGGATTCTGAAGAGTTATTGAGGAAAATAGCTGACAACTTTTTAAACTTTATTTTCAAAGGAAGCCACAAAGTTCCCTGCTGGCTGAAAGGATGGAGAGGAGGAGAGAGGGTAAAGAGATAACAAGTCCTTGTGACTTGAATCAGAGAATTTGATTCCAGAAAGAGTCAGAATGATGAAGGAATTCAAAACGGTCTATGAAGCAACACTTGTACAAATTTCTTATAGGTGACATCAGACGAGAAACATTTTAGCACATTGCTGGCTGACTTTTTCAGGTTTACAGTATGGCTTGTCTTCTTTCTTTAGTTTTCAGACTGAAATACAAACAGGTTTTATGTGTCATAGATGTTTACTGGATTTTAGGATGATGTTGGACTTTGGCTGTCATGTAGCGTCTCTGGCTCAAACCGTTTTAGCAAATTTCACTTTAAAGAGAGAATGTGTAGTTTTTACCATTGATCTCTGGAAGTATCAGTCCAAATGTTGAAAAAGAGTATAATGATGCCCAGTTGTTGAAAAATATTGGCGGGTTTGTAACATATAGCCATAAAAATCGGGTCTAAAATACATGGGGGCGGGTCTAAGTCTCTGGGCGACGCCATATTAGACACCATGGCTGTTTCTCAATACTCAAGGAGGACGCTAGTATGTTCTTGTGTACTAGACAAGTATGTTCTTGGCAAGGACACCAGAAAGTCTGTTCTACCAAGTACGAGAGGACAAGGACGGCATTTGGAACAGAACCATACTCCATTGTGTCCTGGCAACAAGCCTGATTCTTGCTACATTTAAAAAATGGCCTGACATAAAAAAAGTCTGGTTTGTTCCTTAAATAACAATATAACAACAAAAACATATTATTTGTATTATATTTGGCCCCCTTTTGATAAAAAATAATAAAACACTAGCATTTCCTGCTCTTTAATGAATAAAAAAAGTGTATTTTTCATCAGAACAGAGTTACAGTGCTTTTATTTTGATAGTGGGTTAGATACTTAGCATTCTGAAGGATTGTGAATAGTGAAACCCTAACATACACAGCAAAATTTACAGTTTACATATGATTATTTACAATAACAGACAACTTTATATTATTTTATTTGGATTGCTAATATAAAACATTACAGTTATTAGCTTTTTCCTCTGGCAGTCAGAGTTTAACGATTTGTGACGCAATGCATTATGGGAAACTTTGCTGTCCCAAGTCTGCAGAAGGATGTATCGATGCATCCTCGATACAATGCGTGGAGCAAGAACACATCCAGGAACATTTAGCGAACTTGCCATTAAGCATTAGGATTGGAACAGTCCTTGAACCATCATTGGTGATATTTCACAAGGACACGAGCACACAAGTTCGGACAAGTATATTGAGAGACAGCCCATGTTTCCTTCTACAGGACCCCGTGTGGACATAACGCATTTACTGATTTGTAACAGGCAGTTATAAAACTTTTACTATTCATAATTGTTGTTGTTTTACCCATTTGCCCCTTCACTCATTGCCAGGGATGAAAGGCAGTCTGATGTGCTCGATATTTAGCTTGAGGTTGCGCTCCCGTGGATTTTTGACCCTAATGGCTATCTGTTGATTAGATTTTACTTGAACACAAACCACTGCTTGTTTGCAATGATTTAGGTATGTACTGCCCCCTATTGCCAGGGAAAATACACACTGTCACTTGAAGCACTAAAAATACACTGAAGCTAAAACAACTTGTTTAATACTGTTGACTAGTTGCACACAAACCTAGTATCTGACTGTGAGGGAAAATCTTTCAACAGAATGTGATAGACAGTTCCTTATCAGTCAGGATTTTATTTCTTGTTGCAACAGGAGATAATGTAACAACAGCAAAAGTCTGATAAAACGCTCTAAAATCCAAATGTAGCATAATCATTCATACATAACACCTCTCCCACATTGGGATCTGTGTCCTACCCCCAGCTAGGCTAAGCAGCCTGCTTCACCCTGTCTCAGTGGTGCCAAAGGCAAAACATCCTGCAGGTTGGACAGAAGTTAGACTAAACCTGCATCAAGAACAGCCAGCTGCACAAAGCTGTGTTGCACAAATGCCAAGCTTTAAACTATTGTCTCTTTTTCTCCAAAACACTGATATAAAATTATTTGCCTGATTGTAATTTAGTGCAAACAATACTCAAGTTGATACTTAAAATGCAAAGCTTGAATTAATAATAGCACTCCAGCTTTAAACATGCAGTTTGCTCTGTGTTCATATTAGCATGCTATTGTTAGCATGAATTTGAAAGCACAAATAGCTGTGAATATTAAAATATTTTTTATTTGAGCTTTCAACTATCAACAGTGAGCTCGACAGTCATTTTCCAGCCTTGAAAGTACTTCGTTTTTAAGGAGAATGTGTTTTGTTCCTAAGATGATGAGTATGGAACTCTTACCCCAAAATTCCACTATCTCCGCTCCACTCCGGCACGAACTACGCAGCAAAAACGGTCCCGTTGTAGTCAATCAGAGCTGTTCCACTACTGCGGCTGTGCAGCGCAGTGCGCCGCCCGCCGTTCCGCCATCCGGATAAAATAGGATTGATTCTATTTTTGCCGGATGCCGGAGCACCTCCGCAGTCAATGGACAGAAATCACAACCGCCCATCAGGAAAGGGAGCAAGCACAACTTCCGTTATTTCACAATAAATCGATAAAAAAAGTGTTTTTTTTGTTTCATATGCACAGGTTTAACAACTTTTAACAACTATCAATGGCGGCTGAACTTTAAATGCACAAAAATAAGCCATGAATACAGTTTCCACTAACAGAGTAGTCACCCTTTGTTGATCCAAACACTGCTGATCTCTCAACACAAATGATGGGCAGATTAAACAGTTCATTTTGATGCTTCTCCCACACAACGGGTGGATCTAACTTACGCATTTATTGCTCGGACTGTATCGCAAGATCTCGAAAATCCCACGCATGCCTGTTTGCGCACCTCAGGTCTCCACACCGGAGCGGAGCCGTTGTAGAGCGGGTATAGTATAATTTGAGTTCGGAAGCGAGCGGCAGCGGAAAGCGGGGGCAGAGCGGAGCGGAGATAGTGGAATTTTGGGGTTAAAGAGGGACTGCACACCATCAGAAAATGTAACTCCACCCCTAGTCAAAATTTGAAAAATGCCATGAAAGTGGGTGTTGCCAGGAGGCACAGAGTGGCATGGCCAAGTGTGGGGAATTTCCATCCTGGGAGGGAGGGGGAGTGGGACGAGACTGTACCGATGAAGTGAAATTGTTCCAGCCCCAGTCAATCACAAGTTCAAAAAGCAGTAGCCGCTGTTTTTCTCCCCAGAAGAAGCTACAATGATGTTCTCCTGAGCTGTGTTGGCCTCATGGAGGGGGCCATCGTCTAGCACACTGCTGCTAACCACTTACACATTCTCCCTCTCCTGATAATAGCTTTTTGTTTTCCTTGACGTTGGATGTGCTACTACTAGTTTACCCGTTTAAAAATAGATTCACTAAATACAATAAAGTTTATATCTTGCCAAATAGAATATTTACTAAGAAATCACAATGTAACCATAGAAGCATTACTTGGTGTGTGTGTGTGTGTGTGTGTGTGTGTGTGTGTGTGTGTGTGTGTGTGTGTGTGTGTGTGTGTGTGTGTGTGTCTGCTCTGTCTTCTCGACAGGAAGGCTGCTTATACAGAGCCAGGATCCTCTGGAGGTTTCTTCCTGTTAAAAGGGAGTTTTCCTCTCCACTGTCGCTCTATGCTTGCTTAGTATGAGGATTGCTGTAAAGTCACTGACACTAGTCAGTGACTTGATGCAATTTGCTGGGTTTCTTATATAGGAAACTTTTTTATGTTTGGCTTAATGAACTGACCTGAAATGGAATGTTTATTTCGTGAAGTGCCTTGAGACAACTCTTGTCGTGATTTGGCGCTATATAAATAAAATTGAATTGAATTGTTCTGCCACAGGGGGCAGCACTAGGACGTTTTTAGACCTAGATTCTAGATTTAATCGTTTACACAAACATGTAAAAAATACACAGAAACAGAAAGATTGCATTTGTAAAAGCCCAATTATACAGTTTATAAGCAAAAAAAAAAAACAAGTTATTTTAGAGTTTAGTTACTCTTTAAAGAGCAAGTCACTCCCAAATCAACACTTTTTTCAGATAAACTATATAAATGCGTGTCTAATCGTGCTGCAGACACGTGTACTAAATAGTTTTGCACTTTAGTGCATTTTATTTAAAAATTTAATTTTCTGCCTGAAACTGTCAGTGTTGTGCCGTTGTCAGGTAAAAACTCTGCACTGCATTTGAATTTAAATCTGCCATCGCTATTGGCTAAGAGGTACCCTAGAACGTTAGCTGATACCATATGATGTCACAATGTTGTTGTGAGCTTGTGTGTATGTGTATTTGTTAGTGGCTCCGCCCTCTCGGTCTACTAGGCAACAGAATTTGTAGCATTTTTTAAACAGGAAGTGGTAGTTAAGAAAGAATCTGGTAGGGGGTGACTTGCTCTTTAATTTTAGCTCAAAGCTAATTGACAGCTTGTGCATGCATTAAGAAATGTTAAAAGCACTGGAAGACTGATTCAACATGAAATGACAATGCACATGCTTTTGAGTTTAGTCAATTTAATCTCTTTTGGGAATCCGATTAGCAGTTAGGGCAAGGAAAAAGGATACCCCTGAAGAAAATCAAAGATATATTTTTATGAATTTAACAAATCCAATTCAATAATTTTATTTATATAGCACCAATTCACAACAAGAGTAATCTCAAGGCATATCACAAAGTAATTTTCCAATTGAACCTACTTATAGTAAGTAAGTACATTTTTTTATATAGCACTTATCACAGACATAGAATCACAAAGTGCTTCACATAGATCAAAATAAAACAGTCATAAAATCATAAATAGATTAACATCATAAAATCAAAATGCTCTCAAAACAGAATTATATTAACATTAGAAAAAATAAAGTCATGAAATTATAAATTTTCATAAACAGATGAAAGATTTAAAATTCGAGTTAAAAATAAGAAAATAAAAGGTTTAGTTAAAAGCAGCTTTAAATAAAAGGGTCTTTGGCAGTTTTTTTAAAACCATATGTTATACTATATATGTATATATATATATATATATATATATATATATATATATATATATATATATATATATATATATATATATATATATATATACGATTATTACATTTCGTTCATTATACTAGTTAGTGACACATGTAAGGAAACCTAGCAGATTGCATGGAGTCATCAACTTGTGTTAACAACTTTATCCAACACAGTTTTATCGCAATGTGGCGGCAGTGGAGGGGAAAACTCCCCTTTAACAGGTAGAAACCTCCAGCAGAACCTAGCTCAGTACGAGCAGCCATCCGCCATGACAACTATAATTTATCTTCATATGAACTCTGAAGTATTTTTGTGTTTTCAGATATGTGATCAGCACATTAGAGCTGATGGTGGCAGAAGACTACATGATTGTGTATCTGAATGGCGCCACGCCCCACAGGAGGATGCCCGGCTTTGGTTGGTTAAAGAAATGCTACCAGATGATCGACAGAAGGTGAGTCCGGTTATCTTTCCATCCAGTATTTAATCTTGAGATGACATTTTTATGAATTGTGTAGTTTTCAGGATTATAAGTAAAACCTGTTTTATGGTCGCACCAAACATGTGACTCATAATGTGTTGTGTTCAGGCTCAGGAAGAACTTGAAATCTTTCATCATTCTTCATCCATCGTGGTTTATAAGGACTTTTCTAGCCATTACCAAGCCCTTCATCAGGTATTTGACACATCAGCTGCCCTGCCAGTGTTCTGACTTCTGCAAATCTGTTAATGTTAAATTTTGTTGAAGCAAAGATTCAATGGAATTATCTTAAAAAGCTTAAAATTAGTTTAAAAATGTATGTATATTCATTTTTAGAGGGTTTACATTAATGATGCAAGAGTTGAAAACATTAAAAATCTGGACTTTCTGAAAGAAAATCTTAGTTTGAAAACAAGTAGAAGACGTCCCTGAACCACTCCTCTATTTAATCCCAAATATGAGCACTTTTCTTTTGGAGTAGACACACTTGGGTGAGAAAATCTTTTGAATTAAATCCCGTCCTTGTGAGCACATAGTGTTCCTGAACACAGACCTGACCCACCCAAGTAACAACAGATCATAACAGTGCACCTCGTGATCATGTGAGGCTCACACCCTGATGCACTCGTCACTCTGGGAAAAGGGTCAATTTGGACTCATCAGACCACATATTCTTAATCTAAATTCACAATGTCCTCCCATCAAATAGTCTCACAGAAATGTTCTTCTTCAACATTCAGTCATACTATAAAATTAGAAAGATTTATTAGAAACTTTTACTTTATCATTGTTTCTTCTGATTAGGAATAACACACTGATTACCGTAAATCCTCTAATACAGGCCCGGGCCTGTATTTGACTCAAGCTCATCAAGCTCAGGCCTTTATTGGAAGGAGGGCCAGAATTAGAGGAAGGCCTCAATTTCTATTAGAGCAAAATGAACTAATGGTTCGCTGGAGTTTTTGACAATTAAAATTTCGCCCACATTTTCAAAGTTAAACACATTTCTTTTAACAACGGTAGTTTCTGCTTCAGCCCTCTCCCCCCTCCCCCTGCGCAGCGGCCGCAAACTCACTGATGCACCTGCTGCCTCTCGGAGTTCCTGCTGCTCTAAACATTAAAATAATTATTTCATTTTCTGTTCCTCACTTCTGATTACCTTCAATGGTGTCTGTTTGTTGCAACCACCAGGTACAAAAACTAACTTGTTTTTATTTGACTATTTTTCTGTCCTGTCTGTTTATTATCTTCCTGCATCTCCTCTCAATCCTAAAGACAAACTGCTACCTGGGTTCATATATATTCACCTTATGAGCTACCTTTGAACTGCAGTTCTAAAAGATCTACCGACCGCAAAAACAGCGGAGTGCGCGCTGCTCGCCGGCCGCATCAGTGATCGGTGCGTCACCGAGGACAAAACAGGTGATGCGCCCTGATCCACAGCAGCGAAACGCATCAGGCACAAATAAAAGAATAAAAGACAGAAAACATAAAAGGAAATGAGCCGACATGAACGATCGCGTGTTAAATTTGTTTTTGAGGTGGCGACATCTGATTTGATAATGTTACTGTGGCCGTGCTCAGGACGCAGATGTCTGGAGCACGTCAACAATCAGAGCTCTGCATGTGCAAGCTGGTTAAGGTTAGGATGGGGGTGAGGGGAAGGTTAAATTGCAAGAGGGTAAATGTCACAATTTGGTTAAATGTCCGTTTTACGGCGGGTGTCGGTACCGACGCTCTGGCACAGCGCGTTGCCTCCCGACGCGCAGGAGCTCGTCACCTGCTGACAGCAGGCTGCTGTCTTTTCCGAGGACTGCATCTTGCCGGTCATTATCACGTGACAGCGACTAGTCGATGACAGGCATAACAAGTCACTATAGAGCGGTGAAGTCCACTAGTGACTAGTTCATACAACCCCTGCTACTGCTCCCCAGAGTGTTCTGCAGCATAATCGGCACGTTCTCTTTGAACTTGATATCAAATTTTCGCCTCCACTTCGTCTCCGCACGGTTAAAGTTACCCTCGCGGTCTATCACTGGCAAATCAAAAGTGAGACGGATGACACAACCGTCCCCCGTACTTGCTTGTTACCACATTCCACCCGGCCACAATAAAAAACAGCCATTATTCACCTCCGCCGACTCCGACACCAGCCAAAATGTGATACCCGGCCGTTAATTGAATACAGGCTAATATTAGAGTATTTACGGTACTAAACACTGTGCCTAAAAAAGGAAGTTTGAAAAAAGATGAATAATTTCACAGAAAAAGTGGTTGAAAACAGAACATCCTGTGACATTTGCAAAGTCCACAGCAAGAACCAGGGCCAACATGTGTCTTTCATTGCACTTTAATGAATGTGTCCATGTTTTTCTTTTGTTTCAGTGCCAAGTTTAGCAGTAAAATTAAGTATGTGCACAGCTTGGATGAACTGCAGGAAATTATTCCAATGGATTGCATCCAAATCCCAGAATGCATCATTAAGTGAGTCCCTAACACCATCCTCATCTTTTAAAACCTCACTCCTAATGATTTCATACCCATCTCGCTGTTTGAACTCCCACCTCCAGACTCGACAAAGAGCTGAAGGAAGCAGCAGAAAACTCAAAGTAAGCCTTGACTTTTCCATCTCTCTTTGACTCGGTTTTATCCTCAGCTGGGGTGCTCGTTTATCAGATGGTTCACTTTAAGATCAGAGACTCCTTTTGGATGAGGACCAATTTGACTTGGCTCTGGTTCCAATTACAGTGGAGAGATAGAAAGAAAAAAAGTTGCTAAGGATGCTAAATGCAACACTTTCATCTAATTTATCATCACAGTGAAATAAATGAGCCACTCCTTATTCCACAGAGATCTATTACACTGATAATAAATGTAAAACTAAAGCTGCGGACTTCACACACCAATCACCGACGGACTAATTGTGCCGTGAATCATAAATTGCACAAGCCTTCGAGTTTTGCATGCGTGAAAGCATTTTATGACAGTAAATCCTCCTCTAACAATGTTTCAATTTGTCTCTCCTGTTCTAGAATGAGTAGTTTCCTGCAGGGGGCCGAGCTGACAAGCAGAATGGAGTAAGTCCAAAAAGATGTAAAAAGTTCACATATAGAAGACAAACAGCCGCGTGTCCACAGTCTGTCACTGAAACATAAACACACCCGTCCTGAACGCTTGGCTTTGTGTTTTCATCCTCACAGACAAGACCGAGCCGGTGCCAGCGGCTCATAAACTTCAACACCCTGGATTAATGGGACACCTCGGCACTCAAAAGCCACCGTAATGAATGGGACAAGCAGAAAAGTGGCGCTTCTGTGCGTGTGTATGTGTGTGTGTGTGTGTGTGTGTGTGTGTGTGTATGGTGTTTGTCACTTACACTGGAGTTTAATCCAAATACAGCCTAGCATAGTCCCTGTTAAAACTCAGTTGTAAATGCTGCTGTAGCATTTGTCATGCTGAGAACACTCGCCGTTATGAGAACCATATAATCAGGTGTGGAACCTTCCAGCATCAACAGAGTAGCATTGACGTTCACTTTAGGGGCAGAAAATGCAATTACACACCTAACAACGCACCACACAGATCCACTTCTAGAGACTATCGTCGTTATTTGTGTGCATGAGAATCGGTGAAGCAATAACATTACCTCCTCTTCTGGCTGCTCGCTGTTTCTGAGCAAACATTTTGTGTCGGAGGAACGGACGATGCGTCGCCAGTAAAACAACCTTGTGCCATAGTTTATGATCAGACGTGCGTTGAAGCAGTCTAACACTCAATCTTAACCTGAATAAACCTACAAATAGATGTTTTAACTTTATGGCATCAGTCTGAAGCAAAGCAGGAGTGAGTTAAATATGAAATCAAGCTGTCAGTGCGATGTCACAGCAGATTTTTGTAGCCTTTTTCTGCAGGTGTGTGTGTGTGTGTGTGTGTGTTTGCTGTGATAAAGTGAGAAATATTTCTTTGATTCTTGTTGGATCATCAGGGGGAACCTCAGAAGAGCCCAAAGAAGGAATCTCAATAAAGCACATCTTTAGTGTGTGTGTGTGTGTGTGTGTGTGTGTGTGTGTGTGTCCATGTGCATGTCTGTGAATGTCCATCAGTGCATGTCTACTCACTAGATAACTTTAATGCGAGTGTTCTGTGGATTATTGAGAATGTGCAAAAGAAATTACTGATTGATGTGTATTACTTCAATTCAAGTCAATTAAAATTTATTGTGAGTTATAAATTAACCACTGTGTTTGTATCAGTCCGATCCAGTCTGATAAATCCATGGCTTAATCCATTCAGATGGTTTTCTTTATTATTATCATTTTTGCAGAGTAACACAAATTCACAAGAAAAGCAATAACAAATGGATGAGAATGTGCAGTACACGAGCAAAACAATCAATAATAACTGAACAAAATCAAAAGAATTGTCAATCTTTCAAATTGTAGCATAGGAACAGAAAAAAGGATGGTGTGGAAGAAAGAGAAGGAAAAGCTAATGATGAATGGTATATGCCTGGGTTACTTCATCTAAAGCCTAAATGCAGTAAAGTTGTTTAATCCTCTGGAGGCAGGCGTTGCAGGTTTGCAACATTTAAACCTGCCTACCTGGTTACTCCACATATGTGTTTCATGAGCATTTTTTACCCAGAAGTACCCCTGAAGGGTTTAGTTGTTTGTCCTTTTATCAAAACTTAGATCCTGAGAGGGTTAAAAGCTGATGGGGGACAAATTTTCTGTCCTATATTAATATTTTACAGATATGTTAAAAAGTTATTCTCTGGTTCTGACTTTTCTTTTAGATACACATGCTAAGGGGCTTTCCAGTATGTATATTTTAAAGAACTAAAAATATTAAATTACTTGAAGGAATTCATTCAGCACTTTTCATGCCGGCTTTTTGAATCAACTTCATGTGTTGTTGAGACATTGAGTTATTGCCATTTTTGTCCAATCCAGAGGATGAAATTATGCACAAATACAGGATATTGACTCCAGAAGTGACTCGTTTGTAGATGTGCAACCAGCGGTAACTACTTAAAGGTTTAATCAAAATCCATGAAATTGTTCAGGAGATATTTAGCTATCAAACACACATAGACACAGGCAAAAACATTACTGTCTGTCACCAAAAAGATGGCTTCTCATTTTGGTCAGCTATGGGAGAGCAGGTTGTCTGAGGATCATCTCACAGTTTCGTAACAAAAATCTGAAGTTAAATCAGAAATAAGGGCTTTGTGTCCTTTTGAAAGGCTGAGCTCATTCTTTTCATTTTATTTTTTTACAAATTTGCAGTGGTATTGAGTTTGAATTAATACTTTGTGAGTTGTTCTCTGTAATACAAAAGCTCTGGTGCTCTTGTTTCCGGCAGCAGAAGTTAGTCGTGGGCAGGAAATGGCAGGATTTGGAGTCTTACGAATATTCCTGATATTTGTACATCTCACATCTGATTGGATGACATCAATGCAATTGTTTGCTCTAACATCGCTGTTTTATCTCCACAAATGACAAAAAGCTGAAGGTGTTCTGCCTTCTGGTGGAGCTGCTAATGCTAACAGTTAGCTGAGACGTTCTCTGTTGTTTCCTGGATGCTAAATCAGCAACAGCCTTTCCTGTCACGAGTCAAGGTGGGTGCGTCCGTGAGCGTTAAGAGATAAATGTGGATTTTAGATCTCGTTTTTAGCCGAATGGGTAACGGGTTTTAAATGCAGCTTAGTTTAAATAGCTTCTCTGTTTGAACTAAATCAGTGAAGGATAAATTTTCCCCTTAGGGCAGAGGGAGATGAACGGCACAGGTGACAGAATGAAAAAGGGAAAAAATAACAACTAAAATGGAAGGCTCATCTGAACCTGTAGCTCTCATCATCATACTCTAGCTCATCCTCATCCTCCCCCAGCTGTCCATAGCGGAACTTCCTGTACACCGTGCCATCCTGGCCCATGTACACAATGTCCTCATCATCATCATCATCGTCGTCCTCATCTTCTTTTGTCACTGAGCGATGCCCAGAGATGTCGACCAGCTCGGCCTCCTGGAATCGGCCTCCAGCGGAGCTGGTGTAGCCGCTGTGGGAAGCAGAAGACGAAGATGTGTAGCCGCCATATTTGCTGCTGCTTCCAAATCCCCCGGCAGAACCGAGCTTCGTGTAGCCCCGAGGGGGGAGGTCTGATTGGGCTCCCTTTGAGCGGGAGTGTTTGATGAGGAAGAAAACCACCACAAGGCCCAACACCAACAGGACAGAGGCGATGATGAAGATTGTCAGGTTACCTCTTGCCTCCTCTTCCTCCTCCTTCCTGAATGGTAAGTTAGTGCTGAGGATGCACTGTCCTGCAGGGGTGAAATATCAGCAGTTAGACAGAGATGCTGTCTAAAGAGGACAATGAAGTGCTCACGTGATTCAAAGGGCACACTTCCAGTTTCACACAGGCTGTTCAGTTTGAGCACTTTAAACCCTTCTTGGAAGAAACGTTTGCAATAAAAAAAATCAAATGTCTGCATGGTGGAGCAGTTGGAAGCGCTGTTGCCTTACTGTGAAAGGTCGCAAGTTCAAACTCTTCTGACTTTCTGCATGGAGTGAGCATGTTATCCTCATGCACGCAAGGGTTTTCTCTAGTTTCAGTCCAAGACAGGGTGATTGGAAACCCTACATTAACCCTAGGAGTGAGCGAGTGAGATTGAGTGAGAGAGTGAGTCGGTATTCCAAGTGCTATTAAAGACACTTTGAGATGAAAAATACTAATTTCATGGTTTGAAACAACATGAATCTAACTCATCAAGAGATGACTGCAGGCTGTTAGACGGAACTCAGAGATGTGCTTCGTGTTTTTGTGTGAGAAAATAATTTCATTAAAAGTTTCAAGGTTATCTTCAACCAGGAAATTTTCAAGCACAAGAAAAGCTACTTTTATATTTATAATGCCACAAAATTACCCAATTATAGAACTTCTCTTCCAGACTGTTGCTGATCAAATTCAGGTCTATTATCCAGTCTGAGTAAACAGCAAACAGTGGGATAAAAAAGTATTTAGTCAACATCCAACTGTGCAAGTTCTCCCACTTAGAAAGATGAGAGAAGCCTGTAATTTCCATCATAGATATACCTCAACTATGAAAGACAAAATGAGCAAAAAAAAATCCAGAAAATCACATTGTCTGATTTTTAAAGAATGTTTTTGCTAATTATGGCTGAAAATAAGTATTTGGTCAACAACAAAAGTCAATCTCAGTGATTTATTTTATACCCTTTGTTGGCAATGCCAGAGGTCAAACGTTTTTTGGAAGTCTTGACAAGGCTTTCATACACTGCTGCTGGTATTTTGGCCGAATCCACCATGCAGATGTCCTCTAGAGAAATGATGTTTTGGGGCTGTTGCTGGGCAACACAAACTTTCAACTCCCTCCAAAGATTTTCTATGGGGTTGAGCTCTGGAGACTGGCTAGGCTCTACATGCTCTACATGTTTCAGCACCATGGTCAGCTGCTGAACCGAAGGAGAATGGCTCTCCTGCTCAATGGGTTTCAGCACAACGCTAAGTTTTCAAACATTTCACGAATCTAGCCGTTGCTTGGAGGCTTTCCATGCTGTGCATCTGTGCTTTTGTGTTGTTGGAAGGCCAAATCATAGAAACATGTTTTGTAGGATACTGAACCACTTGTGTACAGGGCCTCCGTTTTAATACTTTATACACAAAGCAATCAAAAACAGTAACTGTTGACAAAATTGAAATTGAAATAGATTTATCATAATTGAAAAGATTAATCTGGTGTGCTTTTCAGTGACACGATATGTAGACTTCCTGTTGCTTACGCAGTCATACCTCTACTGTTTATACTTGTTTTACCAGAGATAGATTCCTGCAGCTAACCTCGAGTCTCAGTGCAGTTACAACAGTCCTGCTGCGGTGTTGCAAAGTCCTCATCCTCTTCAGGATGACAGCACAGCAGACAACGCCCCCCAGCTTCCAGGATGGCCTGAGCAGGACACACTGTGCAGTTGGAGGGACCGAGCCCCCGACACTCCAGACAAGAGCTATCACACTCTTGACAAGCAATGCCTGAACCCTGCAGAGAGTATGAGCAACTTGACACACCGCTGCAGCTTTTACATTTATTTTTACATTAATCATTTACTCCCACACATTTTTTTTCAGGCTGAATAAAGCTGACAAACAGTCTCTGCACACCGTCTATTAACATGCATGTGTATCTGTCAGTCTCAATCAGCTAGCTCGCAGAAGGAGCAGCAAGATTTATTTAGAAAATGACTCACTGAAATAAATTTCACTCTGCTGTTTGAGACTGCTTCAGCTGCAGTAATAAGTCAGTCTGAATTACATTATATGATACCGGAGGCCTAAAACTTTTAGCAATTATGCTGGTGGGAGACTAGGTACATTTATTTTTAATACTAAAAACTGGTAATGGTTGTGAAATTAAACTGTAGAAAAAGTTACCTTTATAACAGGATGTTGGCCTGGATCACACCCCGACTCACACCTCCCTTCCGACAGCTCGTATCCAGGGTAACACGAGTCACAGGATTGAGACAACCTTCCTAAAAACAGATATCAAGTTAGAAGAAATATCTTATAGAACTTCATATTTTTAGTGCTGTCTCAACTTAAGACTAGCTCATTAAAATGACTCATAAATTTTATCATTTAAAGCTGTTTGTTTTTATTATTGTCCATAATAGGAAAATATTCCCAAAATATGGGATTAAAGATTTGTTTATTCCCAAAAGAATACTGCCTTCAGTTAATACTGATGCATGGGCTGCATGGTGGCGCAGTGGTTAGCACTGTTGCCTCACAGCACGAAGGTTGCAGGTTCGAAACTCGGCTGCGGCCTTTCTGCGTGGAGTTGCGTGTTCTCCCCATGCATGCGTGGGTTTCCCCCGGGTACTCCGGTTTCCCCCGCAGATCGCAACATGCCCTATAGGTTATAAATTGTAAGTCGCTTTGGATAAAAGCGTCTGCTAAATGAATAAACATAAACATAAACATCATAAACATAAACATAATACTGGTCCTGTAACGGCTTTATCCATGAAACAATGTTTCTGTGGATTATTATAAAAGGAAAATCTGCAAAAAATCAATTCCCAAAGAATCCACCAGTCTCTGATGGCTCAACTTTATCCCACACTGCATCGTGCTGCCGTGCCTTCCTCACACCAGTACAGAACATGCACGATGATCTCAACAGAACGTGGAAGGAAATATGATTCATAAAGCCAGGCTTCTTTGATTCATGATGCAGCTCGGATGCTGGAGGCTGCTTTGTAGGTGGACAGGATTTAATGCGGACACAGAAACCAGCTGCAGATCCAGCTTTCTGCCATGTGTCCTGACACCTTTCAAAAGAAATTGTTTTCAATATCTTATGTCCTCGGAGAGCCTCCATGAGACTAACTTAGGAATTTTATGGAAACCCAAAAGTTGTGGATTTTCAGATCCGTGTTAACTGACAAGCTCAAAAACTGCTGCCTGAAGAGCTCAGATCCTTGAGAAGCCCAAAGTAAACACAAATCATTTTGTATCACCTGCTAACTTTATCTGGTACAATACCACAAATACATGACCAGCCAATAGGATGAGAGGGAAGAACGTTTAGACTGCTAAAGATCAAACTGAGCTCTTTCTGTTCATTGGTAGATTTCTTGATACCAGCCACTTCAGATATCTGTCGGTGGTACATCACATGTAGGGGTTTGTCCTCCCGCGATGGTATTTCTAGCGTCTCCTCCTCTGTTCGCCATTGTCTGAGACATTCACTGGCCTTGTCGTTGATTTACCTATTGATCTGGGATGTTTCATCCTGGACAGTGGCTCTCACACAGAAGCTCAGAGTAACGTTTCCAACACCTTGTTGAATTTTTGCCAGGAAGAATTAAGGGACTTCAGCTGTTTGTGATTTATCAACAGTCACAGCCCAGTGAGATAACAGCTTACGTATATCTGACCAAATTGGCGTCAGACATGCAGGTTGTGTCAACAACATGTTTAGCTTCACACAGCTTTGTATATTCTGAGAGAGAAATGAGTTCTATAAAGTCCAAACCTTCAATCTCGCATTATGAAACTACAACTATTTTTGCTGTGGACCTTCAGAGCTACGTCTTCTTCTGTTATAAAATACATTTGGCTTTGTACTCACCACATTCAGCACTAATGTATTAAACCAGAGCCTGAAAGGACCACTAGTACTGACACCTGAATTCATCTGGAGCAGTGTAAGCAGTTAGCTTAGCTCTTCCTCTCAGGAAAGCCAAGCTAAAGTTAGCTCTGGAATCATCCCTCTGGAAAACCCGGCGAGGCGCCTCTCTACCTCATTCTGACATCTTGCAGAGTCACTGTTTTGAGATGTTTTTCACACACACACGCACGCACGCACGCACACACACACACACACACACACACACACACGTATTTGCGGCTGGAAATGCAGGTAATTCCACACTCCTCCCTGAGACCTCCAGCCAGACCCCAAGACGAATCTAAGCAAGCATCAGTGTGCAAACTTCACAGCTAATCTAATGATCAGTTACTGTGTTCTCCTGAGAGTTCCTCACCTGTCTCTTCCTCTCCACTCTCTCACTAATATGGTGACAATGGTGTGAACACAAAAACAATCATAAAGATGCTCTCTCTCCAAGTTTCTACATTCTGACAACCGCATTTTCCAGAACATTCTTCTGCCTGCTCTGTTCTCTGCACAGACATTTCCTCTCTCCCAGCTCCAGCTGTGAGATGCATGTGTGGACAGAGAAAGTCTTGGCTGAACTATCCACACATTCATGGAAATACTTAGCTTCTTTAGCAGGGGGTGGGGGGGGGGGGGGGTGGTCAATGGAAAATGGCTCTTAGTTTGTTAAATATAAAGTGAAATTATCTGTAAACCTCTCGTACCTGAGCATGTCTTGCAGCTGACATGGCAGGACTCACAGGTGTGTTGGGCGGAGTCATGGTAGTACCCCTCAGGGCATGATGGGAGGCAGCGGCCTTCTGTCCTCAAGTAGACGAGACCTGGAACACAGCTCAGGCAGCCATCCTCCCCTCCGTCAGAGCATTCCGCACAACTTGGGTCACACTTTTCACACGTCCTGGAGACGGCGTTTCCATAGTGACTAGAGGACAGGTGGTGGAAGTAATGATAGATTAAATTCAATTAAATTAAAGGAGATTAGACTGTTGTCCATTCTCACAGGAAATTCCCTTTCACAGCCTCACATGTAGTTACACACGTACAGCTCACCATAGATCTGACACGACCAGCCGATGACACGGATAAGGGGAGGGGCTGCAGTCCCAGCTAAACACCTCCGCCCATAAATGAGCTGTTTACATGCGGCTCAGGATGACTTACCAATCATCTATATTCTGTTTGCTTTCCCTCGAGTATTTAACCACTCGTCAATTTAACGGCACATTAATTTATCTTCCTCAGTTACTGCACTGGGCCTCATGAAGGGCTTTTTAAATCTCCAGCTAATTTAGTTTGTGTCTCAAAACTTGTCCAGCTGTACCCCAGAGTCCATCATGACATTATGAGTCCAGGCTGAACCTTTGTTACAGAAGATTTCAGCTACTTTAATTTGTGATTCTGTCGAAAAGTCAAAAATAATTACTGTCTGGCCCGGTAAAAAGAGCTGAACGGCCTCAGTTTGGAGAAATAGAGCTTACATTCAACAGGACCAATGAGCTAAAGAGTATTTTCAGCTCAGCTGAGGATAAAAGTGCATTGTTGTCATTCTACTCATCTAATGTGCACACAAAGAACAAATAATGAGGTTTGTATAATGTTTGTGTGTGTGTGTTTGTGTGTGTGTGTATATATATATATATATATATATATATATATATATATATATATATATATATATATACATATATATATATATATACATATATATATATATATATATATATATATATATATATATATATATATATATATATATATATATATATATATATATATATATATATATATATATATATGTACAGTACAGTATACATGATACAAACATCTGTGGATCTCTTCCTATTTCTGCCAGAGTGAACAGGGAGAGTTCTAGCAGCTGTTTTAAAATGTTATTTAAAAATGTCCTATACTTCAATCTGTGAACTCTGTTTTATAAACCTACTTGACTCAACCCCTGAAGCACCATAAGTGTTGCTGCTGCTGATTTCTACTTCTTTAACTCATTAACTGCCACTGACGGCAAAAGTTGTCATTTTAAATCCAACCGTTTGAAAAGTTTTACTGTGTGGGCATCGGAAAGAGCCCCCGCACCATGAGAACCAAGACCCCAGCTCTAAAGCCGATCTTCATCCACGTACATCACACGTCACATGATCAGGAAGCATAAAATCCACGTTTTGGGCCGCTGCTGTAAAAAAAGTGAGGCATGAACCGGAAAAGCTTCTGCCGATCATAATTTGACAACAGATTATGGAAGATCGGATAAAGCTCGAAACGCGCAGACTCTTCCTGATGTAAGACGTGAGTCTCCTCTTTGTTTTGGTAGTTTTGGCGTTGACATCATCCTAGCACGCAACGTTCTGTGACTCTTAAAAAACAGTAAAACGCTGAAAAAGGCTGGCAGCAAAGGGCTTTACTGATTAGGCTGGCAGTGAATGAGTTAAAGAACCATGGAGTTTAATGGCACACTTGGCAGTTGTGGCACCCCCTAGTGTCCATTTATTAGAACCAAAATCAAAACGTGTCTCCTCGCTGTGCATTTGTCTTTTTAACACCTTAATCTAACAGCTGAAATGTATCTTCAGCCTTCCTTAGTGTCTACAGGAGTGCTTCACCACTAATTTAAACAAATCAGCTGTGTTTGTGATTTAAAACACACAGAAAAGCAGCGTCAAGTATGTCAGTCCAATAGGAGGCGGCCCACTACTCTGAAGTTGCAAATGTTAATATTCTGGCTACGGGAGGAGGTGGGGGTCTGAGTGACATTTCATTAACCTTGTAAAGGGTCATTTTAGCACGAACTGGTTAAAGAAAATTCTTGAAAAATATGAAAAAGTTGCATGGTATCCATTTAATTCAATTTGTAAGGCACAATTAACATTAGTATAAAGGTTTATAAAACCACACTGTGTGAACCTTTGTGAAAGCTCTCATTCGCTTGTTATTTCAAAACATTGGCAGCGGTCTCAAATATGAATGAATGTCTTGCAATCTTTGTGGAGAAAAAGAGCTCCGGCGCTCCAGTTTCAGGAAGTTGAAGTTGGCCGAAGTAGTAGGGGGCAGGAAATGTCAAGATTTGGAGTCTTACTCATTAACATTCATTATATTCGGACATCTCGCCTCTGACTGGCCACCAGCAATGCAACTCTTCCACTGACTCCATTCGCTTTGCAGCATTGATGTTTTATCTCCACTAATAAGCCTGGAAGAGTTCTGCCGTGTGGTGGAGTTGCTAATGTTAACGGTTAGCTTCTACTAGACTTTCTTTTCTCTCCCCTGGACGCTAAAACAGCAACAGCTTTTCTCGTCGTGAACCAAAATGGGTGAGTCCATGAATGTTAATTTTTAGTATGACGTAGATCTGACTGGCTTTCCTAATTTCCCCTTCATGCCCTTACGCCAAAATTGTCAGCAGTTCACGGTAAAACCTGTGCTAGGTTGTGTATTGAAGTATCTTTCAGGAGTTTTTTCCTTTCAGAAATTATGTATGATTTTCAGAAATCCGTGAAAGTGATTGTCTCATCATGTACTGTGATATAATCAGTGATGGAAAAAATGCATTTTATTTTAAAATTAAAATATTTGTTTCAGTAATGAGTAATCTAATTAATTACTGTCTTCTTTTATCATAACCCCATTTCCGTTACTGATAAAATGTGTGCGTTACTAACTCAGCAGTGCAATGTGTTGAAGCCCTCATCAGCTAATGGGAGCTAAAGAGGTGGATGTTTTCATCCAAGAGCGTCACGGCCCGTGAAGAATGAGGAAGATGTGATGAACATCTACGGCTGCAGACCCGCAGATTCGCTCCTGCAGGTGGGAATCTACAGCCGTGCCCTTCTTGGTGTGACAGCAGGACATCCTGAAGGTCTGCTCACCTGTTCACTGCTCAGACTTCTTCTTCTACCTTCCTAGATCATCCAGCTGTAACGTGTTTCTGATCATCTCTTTAGTCCCGCTGTAACACTGGTTCCATCAGTCTCAAACGTCATGGGCGCTCAGGTGTTATTAGAACTACCTGTGTGTGTTTACCACCCAGCTTCAGCTCTTCTGTGTTTGGTTCTGACCCAAGTTAGTAAATTTAAGTCCTCCATAAGATTTGTGCCTCTTCTAGTGTAATTTAAAATGATTTGTATTTATTTATTTATTTATGTAACCTTTACTAGATTACCAGCAACGGAAATGCTACTAAAAACATACAATTATGTGAAGCTGGAAAAATTTGAATACTGTGCTAATTGACATTTATTTCAGTAATTTATTTCATAAAAAACGTTTGGACAAACATTTTATTATGATCCAGTCATTATTCATTTATATTTCAGTGTTGTAGGACTTTATAGTAAATGAAGTAAGTTTGATTAAGAGAGGAACCCATTTTTCTTGCATTCTTTAATGAAAAAAAGTACTGAAATTGTTATTCTTCTTGGTAATTAGTTACTTTTATAATCTTGTAACTCAGTAAGTTACTGAGTTACTTTTTTGACAAAGTAATCAGTAACTATAACAAATAACTTTTTTAAAGTAACGTTTGCAACAGTGGAATAATGTAAGCAATAAGTCTTTTATTTTTTTATTTTATTTTCATTTAACGTAAATGTTGCCACTTCTTCAGATCTTATCAGTAAGTGAACAAATGACTAGTGATCAAGTTAGACTACCTGTGTCGGCAGGTCTCCACACACTCCTTGGCCTCTTGGAAAAGGTGGGCTTTGCAGGTGAGACACTGTTGGCTCTGCTTCCCAACACAGGAGTGGCAGGAAGCATGGCATGGCTCACATCTCTGTTTAGACTCCTCCGCATAATAACCTGTTGGGCAGCCATCTATGCAGCTTCCGTCTGTACAACACACACACACACACACACACACACACACACACACACACACACACACACACACACACACACACACACACACACACACACACACATACACACACACACACACACACACACACGCTCACGCGCACATGCTTAAGGAGCATGAAAAATGGTTACAACTGAAAAGCCTAACTTTACTCACTCATCAGAAGATGTCCCTGATTGCAGGTGAGGCAGTGGGCTTTCCCGGGACCTGAACACCTGTGGCAGTATTTGTGACAAGAGTGGCATTCCCCATCCTGGTCTGCATACTGGTGAGGTGAACACATGTAGGCTGATGGTACACAGTGACTGTAGTCATCCAGCCTCTCGCCCTCTCTGCAGCTGGTGCATGAGCCCATGGTGGGCCCAGTGCATGTGAGACATGACTCATCACATTCTGAAAAACAAACAATATTATATTATGACTGCACCACATATATAAACCAACCATAAATACACCAAGTAGTGCACTTGTTTAAAATTCACATTTCACTGGGTAATCTCCAATATTTTTTGTAGCAATAGCAGACTTGATTTAGCAGCATTTCTTTTTTAAACATCTTACTACTGGCTGCTGCTTTCAGCAGCAACTAAAGCAGGAACACCCTTACAACATATTCTGTGACACACACACACACACACACACACACACACACACACACACACACACACACACACACACACACACACACACACACACACACACACAAACACACAGCATCTTCTGTGTTTTTTTTTCTTTTTGAAAAACAAAACCAGAGCGGTGCGTCTTTCTCCAGGGAACTGTCGCTGTGCAGTAGCAGCGTTTGACAGCTGCCTGTTAACCATTGGAAAAGCGCTGCTATTTTAGTCTGAGTTGAAGTTAAGAAACACACTGAGGCAAAGTAGAAAATATAATTGAGAAAATGCATGAAGGGCGCCGGATGGGAGTGAAAACACTGCAGCAGTTTCAGAGACTTTGTCATACTTTGAGTCACTTGGTTTAAATTAGGCGAGCGCTTTTTAATGCCGCTAGTTTGCTCCATAAAAAGGAAAAAAAATCAATGTTTCACAAAAAAAATCCCAAAAGATAACAAAGGTTCTGTCTTATATTTAGCTCTGTTTGATGTGAGAGTTACCTTTACACTCTCCCGTTGTCGAGTCCCTGTACTGGTGGGAGGGGCAGGGAGCAGAGCAGGCTCCTCTGTGCAGCGTGGCCTCAGGGTCGATGCAGGCATCACAGTCGCTGCTGCTCGGGCCGTTGCATAAAGCACAGTCAGCATGGCAACGCAAACACTCTCCTCGCTCGGCGTCCTCAAAGAACCTCTCGGCACAGCTGGGAACACACAAGTCCTCTTGGAGGAAGTGGTTCTCCTCACAGCCTGCAAAAACCACATGGAGGAACACCACCTCATAAAACCGGCTCAAATCCACCAATTATTCACTGCATTACTGATCCCACTATCTCACGCTTAGCACCAAATTCACAAGGCAAACTGTTTTAAATGCCAGGTGAGACAGAATTCTGTCATAATGATGTCAGATGCAAAAGGAACTAAATCAACAACACCAGTTTTAAAGCAGAAAAACCAAATTCACGAGTGTCCAGGATGGCATCGTTAAACCAAAACTGCATTTCCTTATTTTCACTTCATACATTTAAAAACAAGCCTTTGAGTTTGTTGCATGGCGTGGTCTCTTTCTTTGGACTTCCCTTTTGGCAACTGAAAAAAATCATGAGCAGGTTTTGCATCTACCTCATAGCCTGCAGGTCAGCTGACTGGTGGAAAACCTGTCAGTCTATTCAGCAAGTAGAAGGATGTTCAGCTAAACTAAAAATTCATGAGGATGTTTGAAATAAAGATCAAACATGATCACGTTTTAAATAAAAAATGTAGACTAATATTATTGTAATCTTTAAAAGTATGTTAAAAAAAGCAGTCAATATTTGCTTTTTAATATTTTTTTACCAAAATGCAATATACAATACAATCTAACTCATCGTTTCTGCTAATGATTTAAATGACGCTAATGCATGCAAGATTGCCCTCATAATAAAGGAAAACTAAATCATTTTAGGAAACTAACATCACATATCACACATACTTAAGTCGTTCTCATGGGGGGAAGCTCCGGCAACCTCAGAGTGATGATTATTTTCTAAATTAATGAGTAAAAAATGGTTTCTCAGTGAACTTACTCTTTAAACGTTATTCGTGCAAAATTTGGCAACTACTTTAATTCAAGTTAGATCAGTTTTGCCAAACAAACAGAAGTATTTCAAATCTAGCGACGGTGGCAAAAGAGTCAAGTGCTCGCTCTGTAATCGGAAGGTTGCAGGTTCAAGCCCCGCTCAGTCTGTCGCTGTCATTGTGTCCTTGGGTAAGACACTTAACCCCCCTTGCCTGCTGGTGGTGGTCAGAGGGACCGGAGGCACCAGTGTACGGCAGGCTTGCCTCTGTCAGTGCGCCCCAAAGCAGCTGTGGCTACATTGTAGCTCATCATCACCAGGGTGTGTAAAGCACCTTGGGGGGTTCCAGGACTCTAGAAGGCACTGTATCAAATACAGGCCATTTACCTTTTACTGTCATACTTAAATCACAACACATTTTCACACCTGAAGCGGCTGAAACTGACGAAGGGTGACCAAGCGTTCGATTCCGACGCGTTGAGAGCCCCAATGCGTCGGGAGGCGATGCGCTTTCCGATGCCTGCGGTAAAACGGACATTCCACCGACATGTAACCTCTAACCTCTATCGATTTATCCTTCCCCTAACCCCGTCCTAACCTCAACCCCGTGTTTGAGAGGAATGATACAACAAGAAACACATTTTTGCATGTGCAAGTGGGTTAAGGTTGGGATGGGGGTGAGGGGAAGGTGAAATTGCAAGAGGGTAAAGGTCACAATTCGCTAAAATCTTTCTTTTACCGCGAGCAACGGAAAGCGATCCTCTGGCACAGCACGTCGCCTCCCGACTCATTGGAGCTCCCAACGCGTCGGAAACAAACGCTTGGCCACCCTTCGTCAGTTTTAGCCGCTTCGGGTGCGAGAATGTGTTGGTCACACAAAACCCATCCATGCTTTTGAGAACTCGGCCCATGCTTTTCTTATTTTTTTAATCTAAAGCAGGAATCACATTATACACTTTAACATATCAGATGTTACCTTTGCACCATTTCCAAAGAATAAGTGGTTTGCACACTACAACATCTAATTTTATTACTGCATTTTAGATGTTTGTTCAGTGAGTGGGGTTTTATTGTCCAGGTTTGAATTACTTCTCTGTACCTGAGCACTTCCCGAGTGGGGTACACTCCCGACAGGCTGTGGGACACTGTTGGCACTTCCTGTCCTGGACAGTGTGTGCTGAAGGACACTCGTCCACGCACTGGTGCTTGTGCAGGAGGAGAGGCTTGTCACACGTCAGGCAGTGAGTAGCGTTCTTCTCACAAGAGGAACATCCGGCTGCACAGCTGCGACACATCTGACCCGCAGGGTAACCCCTGTTGAGATGAAAACCCAGTTCAGAAAACGCATCGACAGTCAGGTCAGCTCCGTGAAGCAACCCAGGTTTTATGTCCAACAATCAGATTTTTTTTTGCTGAAATCAGCAGAAAAACATAATTATATTCAAATTTGAGACGATGCATAAAAATTATAACATTGTCATAACAGGAGGGCAATTATAATTGCATTTATTTTTCTATTATCGACAGAGAAAATGATCAAATGGGCTGTTATGAGTGCCACTGGGGTAAACAATCTAATGGAAATGCTCTGTGTTTCTGCTTCTCCATAAAAAAGGACAGCTAATGTTTCATCCAGACAATTCTGCAGATCTTAAGTGTTTGGCAGAGAGTAGAAAAAGACTGCGATAACAACCACACGTTCAAAAAATGTTAAATAGTCCTGTCAGTGCTGATGGAGACGGTGTCACAGTTTAATGGCTCAAAAACACATCCTATTTTCCCTCTGCCTGAAACACTGTGTGTGATGTTCAGGAGATGCAATTACAGCATCCTTATTTTCCCCTGCAGGCAGAGAATAAGGACCTGCCAAAAAGAACTGGAATACAGCAGGTGAGCACAAATAAATGAGTCAAGAAACCTGAAAAAAAGGGGAAACTCTAGTGGGATTGACCTCTGACCTGACACAGTCTTTAACACACTGTCCATTCTGCAGGAACATTTGCACTTTGCGAGAGGTCTCGCATCGACTGCAGTGCTGAGCATCAAAACACTGCAAGCAGCCCCGCGGGCAAGCCTCACACACGCCGCTCCGCTGACTGGCGAAGGAGCCCGCTGGACACTTAGACACACACGTTTGCTGCAAAGTCAGAAATCGCCCTGGAGGAGGAGCATCAAGCAGTAAACATCACTTCCGTGCAAAAACAAAATAATAACGAGACGTGACCAAACCAAAATAACGGGGGTGGAGTTAGAAGAGACCTTTTCCACATTTGGTGCACTGGTTTTCCTCTTCTCCGGAGCAGGATTCACAAGTAGGGTGACAGTCCACACACTCGTCACCATCTGGCGGGACAACATGGTGATTAAGGTGGAATCACACAAAAGAGGAGAGCTGAGCCCTGAGCCGTCACTGAACACATCGCTGGCTTAGGGTGGGCTCAGGACGGCAGACAGCATCAGCAGCAAGGAGAGCTCCTTTCATGAAATGCTAACGTGGCATCTCCACATTTTTTGAATAAGATTTGTGGAAACCTTCATTTTTGGACTAAGAAGAATTTTTTAAGACATTTGCAAGAAAATTCATCACTTTGGCAGAAAGATGTGAGTGGTCTTTATCTTGGAAGCATTTTGAAAGCAAGCTGTTTTCCTAAGAGTAGAAACAACAACCAAAACTGAGATTAGTCCTAAAACTGAGCATTCAGACTTTTGTTTCAGAGCCACAACTCTGGCTTCTCTCCCAACACCAGATAACATTTTCTTACGCTTAAAGTTTGTTTTTCTAGCAAAGATTCAAAGTTGAAGGAAAACTTTTTTCTGCGTGCTGCTTATGAACCTCTGTGCTAACCTCTGCTCTTCTAGCAGAGTTATTAATACTCCTATAATTAAGATATCCTGCCTCTAACTAACGTTGTTGCTTTAAAATCTGTTCAAGAAGGGAAGAAAATGTTCGGTGCATACAGTCAATTATTTTTGTGTGTTTCTGTCCGACGTTCCTCCTGCTATGAGTGCTTAAGTTGGGACAGGGTTCAGGCATGGTGGCACACAGACCAATTACCCTCCATCTGCCCCCCATGAAAGTTCCCAAATCCCTGCTTCATTAAGCGCAGACTGTCGGATTAGTGGAATATGAGTTCTTAGTCTCACCGCTGAGGAAGGTCTGAACAGGACAGACCTCTCTGACGGCCACACACTCCCCGTTCTCCAGCATCTTCCCCTCATTGCACGACAAACAATCGTCATCCTCGAAGCCGCCGCATGTAGCACAGTTCAAGTGACACTCCTCACAATCGTTGGTGTCGTCGTTGCCGTAGAAACCGTCTGGACAGGCCGAGACGCACTCCCCCTCTGGGTGAGGCAGAAAAAAGAAAGAGAGAGAGAGAAGATTCTGTTTGGTGAGATAAGAGTCAAATATTTATGCAACACGATTCCTGGAAAAGTTGACATATTTAAAACTGCTTAGGATTTGCACATCAAAGTGTGTTTACAGGATCAGCGCACGTGAGAATGAAAAAACAGGAAAGCCCTTTGTTGCTCCAGAGGAAGCTCGATGAAATGTGATGCATCAGTTGGGGATCAAGACGTTTGAAGTGTGAAAGCACTCAAAGCACTGAGGAAGCGACCCTTCACTGAACCCAAAGACAAAGACCTTTATTTGATGACAATATACATTTAACAGACTAATAAATATGTTTTTTATTTTATTTATTTATTTTTTTACTGAAATGCTGTAAAAAATCTCATCATGTCTTCAGATTCAAATCAGAAGTTTGCAACCTTTAAGGCTGAAAGACTCATTTTTTCCACGTGTCCTGTTTGGAGCCACAACATCAGCGGGACTCTTTAAATGAGGATTCAGGATTCAGGTTCCTACTTGTGAAGTTACCTACATTTGTAGGCGTTATCAAAAATCTGCATCATTTGATGCAAGAAAATGACTCTTTCCTACAGAACAGTGTAGATTTTTAGTCTTATTGTAAACAAGACAAAAGCTTTAAATTAAACCTTAAACGGATACTTTACAACATTTTTATATTTTTAAATCATTTTCTTGAGCCAGAATGTGCTACAATGACATTTGATAGCAGGAGTGGGCAATCCTGCTCCTCGAGGGCCGCTATCCATGTTTTAAATTTTTCTGCTACAACACACCTGATTCCTCGATGAATGACCTGTTCAGCAGCTCATCGGACTCTGCAGCGGCCTGTTATTCACCAACGGATTCAAACCAGGTGTGTCTAAGTAGAGAAACTACTGAAACCTGCTGGATAGCGACCCGCTAGGTCCGGGATTTCCCACGTCTGCTTTACAGGGTTAATGAAAAGCCCCCCAGCCCCATCACCCACTGTGGCCTCATTTGTACAGCGTCTTTGAGAAGTTAATAAAAGCACTTTATAAAACCTATGTATTATTATTATTATTATTATTATTGTTATTATTATTATTATTATTATTATTATTATTATTATCGCCATTATTATTATTATTATTATTATTATTATTATTATTATTATTATTATTATTACTATTATTATTATTATTATTACTATTATCGCCATTATTATTATTATTATTATTTCAAATCACCATCATAAGCTAATGTAGGAGAAATGTGTAGGAGACTATTTTCATGTTCAGCCTGCAGAAAAAACATAAAAAGAGGTTTTCAGTCACCCACACCTTTAAATGTTTGCAGCTCATTTGCATGCTTTTAAGTCCCGACAGAGAGACAAGTGAAACATCAGAGTCAGTTAAAGCTAACGTTATAATGCAGCCACTAGAGTGTTTTTATGGATCTAATTACTCTTATTCCTCTCATCTAGAATTCATTTGTTGAAAACATGGACTTTTTATGTTAGAATTTTTTAAAAGTCACATTGGACCTTTCTCACCTTTTATAAAAGCAATAAAATAAATTTAAAATGTTTTAAAAAGGTGACTTTTTTTTCTTCTGTTGAACAACTTAAACATATTTTATTGCCTGAGTACAGATCAACCAGTATGAAAAAAAAGAGACTCAACTAGACTATTACCCAGTAAAAAGAAGTCGGTCTCACACCAGTAGCACTCATGTTCATCACAGCTCACACAGCTGTCCTCACACGGGACGCAGGTCATGTCCTCCTCCACGCTGTATGTCTTGGCCGGGCAGTACTTGTAGCAGCCGTCCTGAAAGCTGATAATAAAGACAACTGTTGATACCTGCAGTCACACACACACACACACAGACACACACACACACACACACACACACACACACACACACACACACACACACACACACACACACACACACACACACACACACACACACACACACACACACACACACACACACACACACACACGAATTCCCTCTGCTCTCTCAGAAGAAAGGAGAATTCTGTTTTATTCAGGTGGAGCGGTGAAACGAAAAGCAGAGCGAGGGCAGAAATCACACAAGGCGACATGGAGGCACACGGCCTTACTTGTAAAAGCCCTCAATGCAGGACAGGCAGTGCCTGGGGTTATCTGTTGAAAGCACACAAAAAACTCAGCTCTCCTTTTAGCCAGGAAGACCCTCTGAACATGCTCTTCGGCACACTGACTCGAGAGCTATGTCCTCTTTAGGCAGCACTTCGGTTTGGGAAAACATCATTACAGCTACTGAAGTGTGACTTACACAAAACACACTTCTTGCAGCCTTCCTCGCAGGCCATGCAGTCATCATAATCTGGATCCTCCACCTCCCCTGAGATCACAGAGAGGAGACCAAATGTGTGCAAATGACATGTCGAGGACAAAAACTCTGAACAAACGAGTGAGAAGGGAGCCTACGGGGGCAGAGACACAGCAGCTACATCAAGACCGTGTCATTTATGATGCTGCAACAGTGTACCTTCTCCACACTCCAGCTTCACACACACTCCATCAGAGACGTAGTAGGAGGAGGTGCACTTTAGACAGTGGTCAGGGCCGGTGCAGAGGTGACAGTTCTCTGAGCAGGGCTGACACGTCATCTCTGAGGTGTGGTAGAAGGCCTCGGGACAGGCGTCCACACATAGGCCTCTGTGCAGGTAACGCTCCATCCCAAACTTATCTGGAGACACCCACAGACTGACATTAAAGGAATAAAGGGCTGAATAAAACAGTTACCTGCATATGGTGACAGAATAACTCGAAGATTCTCATCAGAATTAGCACAAAAGTAATTTTCCCTTTCCCAAACTAATTCAGTTCATGTCTTAATTAATCTGTTGATTCATCCTTTTTGTAGACATATCCAAGTCCCTGCAAAGGTCTGGCAACCTGTCTAGGGTGTACACCGCCTGCATGCCTATAGACTGGAGAAAGGCTCCAGCCCCCCGCAATCCTGCGAGGATACACGGGTAAAGAAAATGGATGGATGGATGGATGGATGGATGGATGGATGGATGGATGGATGTCCAACCATCCATCTATCCATTTTGCTCCGATTATCCAGAGTTGGGTCACGGGGGAGCAGCTTAAGCAGAGATGCCCACGAGACTTCCGTCTTCCTAGTCACTTGGGCCAGCTCTTCTGGGGAATCCCAAGGCATTCCCTGGCCAGCCAGGAAACATATTCCTTCCATCAACTGGGTCTTTCTTTAGGTCTCCTCCTAAGTGGACGTGCTTGGGAAAACCTCCCCATGGAGGCATCCAACAAGCATCCTAATCAGACGCCCGAGCCACCTTAAATGGCTCCTCTTGATGTGGAGGAACAACGGATCTACTCTGAGCCCCTCCCAGGATGACCCAACTTCTCACCCTATCGCTAAGGAATCTTATTGTCAGCATAATTTTTTTTTGCTTGGACATCAGTTTGCTCTTTTTTCAATCTCAGCTCTACTCAGCCTGTCACATCTGTGTCTCATCAGCTCATAAAACCAGCTGTTAGTCATCCATTAATCATTATCCTTGCACAGCTATGTTGTAGCTCACCAGCATCAGCGTGTGAACGGTTGAATGATTCACTGTAGTATAACGCGCTTTGGAGACCTCTGACTCAGAGAAGCACGATGCAGGTGCAGGTGATTTTTCATTTATTTTGAAATAAACAAGGTGCACGTTGCTGCCACAAGTCTCAATTCCTGTTTAGCTTATTTAATTACTAATTATCGAAAAGGACTCGGAATAGTGACCCCTCCCTGATATTGGAGCATCTCAGCTTATAGTAGCTTGAGCGGGGGATGGGTGGGTGTGGCCAGCTGCAGCCTGTTTTATTTAAGTGGCAGAGCCCTGAAGCGACTCATTCTGGAAGGTACTGGAAGTGTCAAGAGTACAACTGATGAAATCTATTTACGTGAGAGGGATGTAATGCAACAACTCTTCTTAAGCATGTATTTTTTTTATTTGTCAAACATAGAACGATTACAACTCAAAACCTTTTGTAATCATGATTGAAGTAAAACAAAACCCAAGCTGAGATCCTGTAGGTGAGAAGGTCATGAGACACATCATCCTGCTGGACTACACCAGCACATCAGGGCATAAATGATTCATCGGGATAAAGCGATCACTTTGAACAACCACAAATTAATTTTCCCTGGACCCAAACCGCAGATCTCCCCAACACAACATCGCAACAGAGCCTCAGGAAATGCTTCTGTTCATTTATCAGCCATCTGCTAAACGCAGCGTGGATTGTTTGTTTCTTCCTTACCTGTGTCACAGCTGGTGCAGTTAGCAGACCCTGCATCTACACATGTGGCACAGGTGTGGTCACACAGGTGACACTGGCCACCTGAGAGGAATTTGCCCCTGGCACAAGCCTCCATGCAGTGGCCCCCATCCAGAGCCCTGCAGCAGAAGAATAAGGTGAAATGAAACAAAACCCTCCATCAAACCCAGAAAAACCAACACTTAAAAATGATGACTTTGCAAATGAGTTGGGCTCATTTATATCCCAGCATGCACCATATGGCACATTTACACAGATGTAGTTGAGTGAGTTAACAAATGGAGATGAGACGGAGACATGGGGATAGTAGATTAAACTGAAGGCAACCTTGTGGGGGGGGGGGGGGGGGGGGGGGGGGGGGACTTTAGATAATGAAATTAATTATTTGAAATGGAAAAACACAATTTTCAAACAATCTGCTGAGCAGGTTCAGAATTTCTTTCACTGTTTAAACATTTGAGACATTTACCAGACAGACGGTGTGCAACCAAAGGGACGGATTGTTCCTCCTCCCTTTAGCGTTGGCATCGGTCTTTGTTTTGTCACCTCATTATTACCAGAGTTGTTTAAACATAATAATAATTTCCTCTTAAAGCATGTTCAGGGTGTGGATGAACTCTGTAGCACCAGTGTAACCATTGTAACCAGCATTGCATCTTCAGGATGAAACAGTAGTTTGGTCGTTTCGATTGTTCCAGATGTTGCTGCCATTACACTTTATAGATTGTTTCTCTTCCTGTGGAAGCTGTGCAGGTTTGAAATGTTTGTTTGACAAAAAAGACAAATCTGCACTCTCTTCACTAAAACCTCCAGGGGTTTACTCGGTCATGTTTCTGAAGCCATGAACACATATCGCCAGATATCTGACAAAACAAAGACATTTTTCTATGATTTGGCCTGTCGACAACACAAAAGTGAAGATAAACGGCACCAAAAACGATTCCTTCAAAAACCTCGGACCAAGGAGATTTGCTAATTTTCAGTTGTCAGTGATGCACAGGATTTTTTTTTTTTTTTTTTTTTGCTGGGTAGGACTTGGTGTGGACTTAAGTTTTTGTTTCCTAGAGAGGCAGGGGAGGATATTTGGTTTTACAAAAACTTGGCAGTGTGTGTACATGGCCTCAGATGTATTCATTTCCCCTCTCACCCAAAACCAAAAGTCAAGTTCAACCCACCGTGAAGAAGCACAGCTGATGCAGTCTTCAGATCTTGGCCCTTTGCACTTGAGACATGTTGCATCACAGGTGAGACACGCCCCATCAGTGTCCTGGTACTCTCCTGACAGACAGCAAGAGAACCCGACTCACAAATGAACAAATCTCTGATTTAAAATGAAAGGAATAAATTGAATCACTTTCATTTGAAAACTGAACACAGCTGATTTGTGATGGATGTTTTTTTATTATTTCCATAGTTGGCAGTTTGTGTCTCATTCAGAGAATTTTTAAAAATATTAATGCAATGAAGGAGTGTCAACAAAGCGTAAATAGGTTGTGTTATATAGGAGCAGAAGGTCAACATGCAGCAGAGGAGGGAGCTGGCTGACTGACCGTCTGTGCACTCGGTGGTAACGACACACACTCCCTTCTGGAGACTATGACCGCTGGAGCAGCTGGTGCAGTTCCCCCAACTTGGACCCACACAGGTGAGACAGCTGGCATCACACCTGAGGAGAACAGCACAGAGTCTGAATAAACACACGCACACACACACACACACACACACACACACACACACACACACACACACACACACACGCGCGCATGCACGCACGCACGCACGCACACACACACACACACACACACACACACACACACACACAGCACAAACAACAAACAAAAGTGGCAAAACAAGCAACATCAGACTGAAGCCAACCACCAGAAAAAAGCTTTCCTTCAGCCAATAAACAAACCTCCCACACCTGAACACACACCAGTGAGCTCACCTCCTACACATCCTGTGCTCATCAGCTTTCTCTGGGCTTGGTTCTGTGGCGTAAAACCCAGCGCTGCAGGAGGACACGCACCTCCACTCCTCCATCAAGAAGCCTTCTGCACAACGGCTGCATGCATCAGCACCAGCACCTGACACAAAAGGTGCAGTCATGAACAGATGATGTTATGATCAGGTCATTTATAAATAAAGCGCAAATTTTTACAGCTTATGTCCGTGACTCATGACTTCTCACCTGCACAGGTAGCACAGGCCTTATGGCAGGGTTTGCATTTGTCTCCCTGTGACTCATGGTAGAGACCTTCCACACAGCTCCGTTGGCACCGGTTCCCCTGCAGACTGGAGGGGGCGGAGAGAGCATGTGGCACTGTGACACACTCAGCCAATCACGTGATATGACAAAGATGAGTCGCTGCTCGCAGACTGCATGGCTCGCTTTGCCAACCCACAGCCATACCACCACAAGCGCTCAGCGAGCTGAGTCAGTGAACAGTGCAGGCCGGAAACTTCTAGCTCAACAATATGGCACATTTGTCCGGCGTTTGGTATACTCCAATGTTGATTTTGTGAAAGGAATGTCAAGAAACACATTTTTTTTCTAATTCCATTACTAAAGCGGCTGTGTGTGTGTGTGTGTGTGTGTGTGTGTGTGTGTGTGTGTGTGTGTGTGTGTGTGTGTGTGTGTGTGCGTGTGTGTGTGTGTGTGTGTGTGTGCATCAGTATTCTCAGCGATGGAGGAGAAGGAGCAGATTTCATGGAGGAGTTAATTCAAGCATCATCAGAGAATTTGTTTCACCTTGAGTCTGGTTTGCATTCTGTGCAGATGCTGAAAGAGGTGCACTTCAAGCAGTTTTCGCTGCACTTTCTGCACACATTTGTATCTGGTGAAAGAAAAGCAAACAACACCCACAGAATACACATCAGAGCCACAAATCAATCTAACTCAGGCGCCTCTCAGCCGCAGCTACAGCGACTGACTGCTTATTAGCGAGCTTGTATTCAGCACCACAGAAAAAATGAGCAAGCGGTGCATCCCATAAGCTTGAGTCAAGTGTGTGCATTCAGAGTATTTGAAAATATAATCAAGAAAATAAAAAAATAAACATTTGAGAGGACTGGTTATAAGTCCAACCATGATCTAGGAAGTAGTTCTCCCCGCAGGAGGCTGTGCAGGTATTGGTCCCTTCTGTCAGGTGGTGACCGGGCTGACAGGAAGTGCACTGGTCACTGCGACTCCCGCTGCAGCTCGCACACGAGGAGAAGCACCTCTTGCAGCGCCGACGGTCGCTCCAGGACCCCCAGGGACACTCTGACACGCACAACCTTTTGCACAAACGTGAAACACCAGTAGGAAGGAGTGAGTTTATTTCACTGTACATGACTTCACGGTGTTCATTTTATTTTTTAAATAAATAAATATGTAAAATATGTGTATAACTGCACAGTGTCACCACGTCGATCTACTGACAACATTCACCACTGTGTTATTTTACTGACCTTGAGCTGTTTTTGAACTTTAGAAAGAAGTGCAGACATGTGACACACTGCTGCGGGCCGGGCCCATCGCAACCGTCGTCACTGCATTCTGGGTCACAGGGTCCTGCAACGGCAAACAACGTCAAAGCACAGAGAGCCAATCAGAATCGTGTTTGATGTTTGTGTGATCACACGCTTCACTAACACTGGAAATGCATGTGAAAACTGCATGAAGCAGCTTTTTAAGGGTAAGTGGGGCGTTTGAGTCACCGTTGTATCCTTCTGTGAGATCATTATCCTCTGAAAAATCCGCTGATCGGGCTCGCCTACGATGCATATGATCCGGCTGCTCTGCAGTGCCATAAATCACCAGAGACCACTTCTTTAGCATCGCTGCGGAACGACAGGGAGCATGTAAACAGGTTTGCCCCATGAGGTTCCTGCATTGTGTTTCTGCTTGAACTTCAACTTATGTAAGTTTCATAAGGCAGCAATTCCACACAAAAAAGGGAACAAACCTAATTCTGAGCTCGCTTCCTGCCTCCGAGAAGGAGTATCCTTGATTTTCAAAGTCCACTCCCCCACTGCCTGCTCCCCCCAGCAGTGAGCAGTCATGAAATCCCAGTTCTGAAATCCCTCCGTGGAGTTGTCAAGAGGCCTAAACCAAAACATTACATGGTTACGAGCAGACAGCTTTGTGTCGTTTCTACTACTTTTAATTAGCAGATCATTAGAAAGCAACATTGTTTAATTAAAGGATTTATTTTACTCTAAATGAGTTATTCTGGGTGGATTACAACAAGAACCTACAAGTTGGGCCATGAAACCCCCTCCCAACTACTTTCTGTAATTAGAGCTTTCTTCTATTATTGTTTGAGAATTCGGTGCTGTGGGAAATTTGTTCCAATTGTCTCTCTATAATTTTTTTAACTGAGGCATATTTGGAGAGTTTTCCAAGTTTAACAGCCTGTTTAAACCAGAGGTTCACTGAGGAACGCCATGTTCTTTTTGAAATATGATCAGTCATTTTGCGTTTCACTTACGGGCTGAACGTGAAAATAGTCTTCTACCACTATTTCCTGCATTAGCCAATGATAGAAACATGCTGTGGTCAGAGGACGCCACATAGATACGACAAACTGTAAATTCTCTTTTTATGACATCACCAACTTGGCTTATGACCATGAAAAGCTGTGCTGACATTTTCCACAAGGAGATAGCACATTTAAGCTAGTAGAAGCTAGCAATTAGCACAAGTTACTCCACAACATGGCGGAACACAGTCAGGCTCGTGGAGGTAAAACATCAACGTAGCATTTTTATACCTGAGAAAGAATTAGTCATCATCACACACTGGTGAAATTATTTCTCAGCTTTGACCCATTTCCTTTGGATGATTTGGTGGTTTAACCCCCCCCCCCCAATCCAACCCTGGCCTTAGTGACCTAGTGGTAGAGAGTCCGCCCAGGGACCCTAGAGATCGAAGTTCAAATCCCAATCAGGTCATACTTTAAAAATGGGACCCAGGGCCTCATTGCTTGATACTCAGGGGTTGGATTGGGGGGTTAAACCACCAAATAACTTCTGACTCATTTCTATGTTTAAGAATCATAATTATGTTGTTTTTCACTCCCCTTTCCTTCAACTAACTTCTACTTCCTAAGGTCCTGCAGATGCAATCAGACCATCACACTCCTGCCACCATGCTGGACCGTTGGTAGGATGATCTTTTCCTGCACTGTTACTTCCATACTAAATGTAGTGGGATACTGATGAACTTTTTCGCCAAGGACTTGAAATTATGAAGATGTTTTGGAGAATATGAGATGGATCTTTGCGTTTGTTTTGGTCAGCACAGATTTTAGACAACAAATTCTCCCTCTTGCGCCATTTTTGCTACCTTTCATTTCCTTGTTGTTCAGTCTCTGACCTGAACATTCTTTTGGAGTAGAAGATGTTGCTTTATGAGACCTTTTAGCCAACTTCATGCTGTTAGACATAATATCAAATATATTTATCAATTCTACAGAAACAACAACAAAACATGGAAGTGTTGAGGAGGAAAAAAGCCACAACAGAAGAAGGAGACATTTTTTTTCCTCGCTGTGAACATCAGCCGCAATGTTTTAGGCGTCCAGGCTGACGGGGTGCTCGTACGCTTAATTATAAAAAGAAATAAGCAGATGATATCCATACATAATTGTGCTATATGTAGCTTCGTCAAGCAAATGCTATTTTGATGCAAACACACCTAAATGGTAACATTCAAACAAAAACAGGAAACAACTTAAATCAAAGAGAAAGTACAACTCCAGGTATCACACTGTTCATTCATATTATATAAATGAAAAGGTTCATGCTCATGAGTTCAATTAGGGATTAAATCAGGATTTTTTACGGTCTTCTTCACATTTCTAAATTTAGCCCAAGAGCAGAATGTTCATCAGTAGCTTGTGTGTACCCCATGCAGCTGCTGGTGTCAATTTGCCTTCTCCAATTAGAAAAATATTTCTCATATCTGACCCGCGTGGGACATGTGTGTCAGGTAGAATCAGAGCATTTAGACCAAACTCTCCAATGATCATGGAGGTAAATCTCATTCCTGCTAATACACAAGTTCTGGAGAGATGAATGAAGAAAATCCTTTGGAGCAATGAAGGGTGTGTTTGTAAAAATGTTTCAAGAGACGGACCTATTCTTCTGAATAGAGCATTCTGCCACAGAAGATATTTTGTGTAAAGTTTAGAAGACATTGACAACACATTTGCTTTAAAATATTTTTTTAAGTTAGAGTGATGGTGTGTATTTCCCCTGGCGATAGGGGGCAGTACATAACTAAATCATTGCAAGCAAGCAGCGTTTTTGTGTAATCTAGAAGAAAGAAAGAGAGAAAGAAAATAATTGTTTCAATAGCGCGTCTCAAGATAAAAATCACAAGGTGCTTCACAAGAACAAAAACTCTGCCATGTGGACCTCAAGGAATAAACCATCAATCCTGCTCTATGGTCAACTTTCCTCACAGGGTCACCTATGAAGACAGTGGGAGGGTTAAAAGAAAAGTTCTCTGCTGGCCACATTTAAAAATGGAGTCTGTATTCGTGTCGAACCGCAACTTGTTGTCTATCCAAGAACCTAGGTATTTGTACTTATTCACCATCTCAGCCACATTGCCTGAGATACCACACGAATGCCCCTACAGGGCTTTTCTAGTTTTTTTGCGCCCAAAACGTTTATTTTTTCTTCCAAACTTTCTGAGCTAAAATGATGCTCACACACACATACACATACACATACATACACACACATTAGGGGCATGTCCAGGGAGTAACCAGGGGTGGCAAATGCAATCGTCGAAACCTGATTGGCCATCCTAATTGCCACCCCACTGAGTGGCCACAAAAGGCTTGGGATTCAGATTTTTTTTATCTTTATTTAACCAGATGAGTCGATTGAGAACTCATTTTCATTTACAACAATGATCTGGCCAAGAGGCAGCAGGAACACACACATATGCCGCTGACACACCAGCATCGGCTCCGCTCCGCTCTGCCCGCCCCATTCTGGCCATGTTGTTCCACACTGCCTTAGGAATGCAAACGTGACTGAGCACATCTGTGGTCTGTGACGTCATAAGCGCATCCACGATAAACAAAAGCGGCCTGAGAAGTCTTGTTTTTGGAGACTCTCGGACCCTGATTTTGCATCCTGTCTGTTTACTGTGTCTGGCAGCACTGCGTGTGTGTGTGTGTGTGAGTGTGTGTGTGTGTGTGTGTGTGTGTGTGTGTGTGTGTGTGTGTGTGTGTGTGTGTGTGTGTGCGTGCGTGCGTGCGTGTGTGTGTGTGTGTGTGTGTGAGTGTCTGTGTGTATGAGACAGCAGTGAGAGAGAGCAAAACGGCTTCAGTCAGAGGCTTGTTAACTGTTCCACTCTGATTGCTGATCCAGAATGATGCGGGAAACCCCAACGGGCTGATTCTATCTGCCAATCGAAGTCTCCACCTAATGGTAGGCATGATTTTGAACTGGCCAATCAGCCAGCAGTGGGTGTGTCCAGTGCCCTGCTGGGCTCCAGGCAGACCGCCTCAGGAAGAGGGCTGAAAAGATGTCCAGGTTTGTGCGGGAACATCCTCAGAACCATCCCAACCCGGTCCTGGTGGAGTGGAGCCGATGCCAATGTGTAAGTTCCAATAGTTAGTTTTACACCAAAGAAAAACAGAACAGATAAAAAGATTCTAGATAAAAGTACGATAAAACTGTTAGACATAAAGACAGAGGACTGTTCTCATATATAATATGTACAAGTAATCAAAACATACTTAAAACAATCTTTAGATACTCAGAAGCCCGCCTTCCCCCTCATAGGTGCCACCCATGCATAAACAAGTGGGCCAACCCATTTTAAAAGGCCTGGACACGTCACTGACAAACACACACACACATTGAAGATGTGGGAGAGCGTTTCCTGTTACCTGTTCAGCAGAAGCTGTGACACAGTGCCTGAAGGTGATGTGAGCGTAATGGAAAGGTCGCCACGACGACCATGAGCGATGGTTACACGGATTACCACATGCTCCACGTAAACAACGCGCTGCAGGGCCTCGCTGGAGCAGCCTGTTGTCTGGTACACAGACGTCAGCACCGAGCCTGGGTGAATTATTCTGTGTTGAAACAGGCGAAGGGGAAACGAGTAAAGACACACAGCAAGCATCAGAGAAAGGATGGAAAACAAGAGAGTTATAGAAAAAGAATAACATAAAGAAGCCCATTAAAGAGTGTGTAAGTGAGTGTGTGAAGTGAGACAGAAATAGATGAGGCTGATAGTGAGAAAACCAAGGGAAGCCCCGACTGGAAACAAAGATCTTCTGCTGTATTGTTGGTGTGTTTACCTGCTCAGCTGGGGAGCAGCCTCCTCCACACACTCATGCTGTGAAGGGACTTGTTTCCAGCCTTCTGCCTGCTTCACCATGCTCTCAGCATCCAGCAGGCCGAAGCCATAAAGGTGGCTCACTAACAGGCACACGCACACCACATTAGCCGGGGTAGAGAGGGCATGTAGAGGCATGGAAAAGACTTCACATCCCCCTGAGACTCTGTGGGCGTTTATTGCTATTCTGCTCACCGTACCTCGTTAGTTTATGATACGCTCACTGCTTTATAGTTTCCATAAAAATGTTAAGAGAAGCTTCACCAAAATGTGTCAAGCTCAACTTATTGTTCCTCCCAGGGTTTTAAAGAGATTTTATGAAAAACATGTGGTTCGTTTGTAAGATTTGTTCTAACAATTAAATATATATTTACCAAAATAAAAGCATTTTATACAAAATAAAGACAACAACCAACATTACCTCTGTATCCAGCTCCATTAACGTGCCAGTCTGAAGCAATAAGATGACGAGCGTTTGATGTTTGCACTATAATGTGCTGCACATCCCTCCAGGTCAGTGAGGGACTATGGAAGGGTCAAACAGAATGGAACAACAGATACTCGGCCAGCGTTGCTTCATTGATTTCTACCTCGTCTGAATGTTGGATTGTGACTCACTTGGCCTCCAAAGTGAGAGCGATAATCCCAGCAGCCACAGAGGAGGAGAGGGAAGTCCCTGACCGAGTCCTACTACATCTCCGCTGTGGTCCAAGAGTTACCTGTCCAGGACAATGAAGTGTAACTTTAGGTTTCCTCTGTTGCAGGACACATCTGTGATTGTTTTCTCAGTGACAAAAATACAAATAGGCCGAGCTGGATTTTTAACCGAAATACTTATTGTGTCACAAGCAACATATGTTAGCCTACTTTTGCAACCAGTCAGATCACAGCATTTTGGAGATTCTTGATCTCATTTTTATTTTCTCGCATAGTTTAAAAATCCAAACTGCATCATGGAAAAATGCTGGAAGAAAGTAGAACTAATAGTGAAATTACGTCATGGTTTTTAAAAACGTAATGAATTTTATTTATATAGCACTTTCACACAAGCATGAGGTCGAACAAAGGGCTGAACACATCAGAGACAGTAATAAAAATACCCAGTATCATGAGATAACGTCAGGGATTAAAACAAGAATTTAAAAGAGACCGGCGGTCACTGTCGTTTGTATAAAAGCTCTGGAGTAAAAATGAGCCTTCAGTTGACTCTTTAAAGTGTGGAGCGAAGGCGCTTGTTTGATTCTTGATGGGAGGTCACTCCACAGCATCAGGGCAAAGACTGAAAAGGCAGTTCTCTTTCTCAATTTAATGTATATTGAGACTGCCAACAATCAATCAATCAATCAAATTGTATTTGTATAGCGGCTTCCACTGCCTTTATGCTGAACATGACAAAAAAATAATAAAAGACCAGAGAACAATAAAACACATAAAGCAGCATGTAAAAATGACTAAAAATCATAATGCATAAAAGCTAAATGATAAAAATGAGTCTTCAAGCGATTCTTTAAGGCCTGCAGTGATGTGACTGTTTGATAACAAGTGGGAGCTCATTCCAGAGTGTGGGATCTGGGACAGAAAAGGCCTGATCACCTTTAGTCTTGTACCTTGTTCATGGGACTTTTTGTGATTGTTGATCAGCTGAGCGTAGGAAGCGTGAACGGGCATGCGTTTGTAGTAACCCAGCCAGACATGACGGGCCACGGAATGGAGGGACTGGAAAACGAACAAGACTTTGCCTGATAAGCCACAGGCGGCCAGTGCAATGAGGCCAGCACAGGCGTAATTTGAGCTGTTTTCTTCGAGTCCGTCAGTAATCTAGCTGCTGAATTTGAAATAGCTGTAGCTGTTTCAGTGCTGCCTGACTTAGCCCAGCATAAAATGCATTGCAGTCATCAAGCCATGATAAAACAAATGCATGCAGGACAGACTCAAGATGTTATCGTGACGACATCGGCTTGATTTTAGTGAGACGGCACAAGTGAAAAACAAAACAGTGTATAACAACCATGTTGATGTGGCTATCAAATTTGAGTTCAGAATTGATTACCACCCCCAGGCTTGTGAGAGCTGACTTTTAGCATGGTGTCAAAGGATCCAAATCAAGAGCAGAGCTCACTCCCCCTTAGTAGGGAGGAATGAAATAAGCTCAGCCTTGCTCTTATAAAGATGGAAGTAATTTGCTGCAAGCCAGAACTTGACCTCTTCCAGACAAGTCAGGAGCTTGGCAATGGAACCTCCTGCCCCAGGACACAAAGGACAGTAAATCTGGCAGTCATCTGCATACAGACCAAATTTAATACAATGTTTGGGTAAGATTGCTCCCAATGGGAACAAATAAAGGGCAAAGAGAAGTGGGCCCACGACTGAACCCTGTGGTACCCCACACCACAGGCCTTCCCAAGAGGACACAGAGTTGCCCACCATAACACAAACCCTCCTTCCCTGGAAGTATGGCCACAGCCATTCAAGAGCTGACCCCGAAATCCCCACTAATCATTCCAAGCGATCCAGTAGAATGCTATCATCAACCGTGTCAAAGGCTGCTGTTAAGTCTAATAACAGCAGTACCACAGCTACACCCTGCTAATAACGGGCGTAGTCTGTCTCATGTGAGTCCCCCGCGACAGCACAGGCAGCCAATCATACTGGCCATGTGCATTACGGAGGTGGGACTCGAGGAGAGAATGTCATATAGCCCTTTTTGCACCTATAGGGTAACAAGACATTGAAAGGCTTGTTTTGTAAAGTGACAGAGAGTTTTTATTTCCTGGCAATAGGGGGCAGTAGATACCTAAATCATTGCAAGCAAGCAGTATTTTTGTATCACAGTAAGGCCTTACCAACTTGCCAATTAGGGTCAAAAGCTCTGGGGAGTGCAAACGTTAGCAAAATAACAAGCACATCAGACTCCCTTTCATCACTGGCAAACATGTGAAGAGGTAAATGTGTGAAACAACATTTAACAATGATGAAAGTTTTGTAACCGTTTGTTACAAATCAGTAAAGGCATTTTGTTCTCATGGGCTCCCATACAGGGAAACATGGCATCTAATATGGCATCACCCAGAGACTTAGACCTGCTCCCACATATTTTAGACCTGATTTTTATGGTTATATGTTATGAAACCACCAATATTTTTCAACAATTGGGCAGAATTTTCAACAACATTTTGATGGATATTTTCAGAAATTAATGGTAAAAATTTCACATTGTCTTTTTAAAGGAGGCAGTGAAATTATTGGTGGGGAGACGTCACCTCTGTTCTTGCCAAACCTACGCCATTTGACATTGACTATGTTTGCTTTGCAATGTTAACATTTTATCTCCGCAAATAACACGAGCCTGAAGGAGTTTTTCCATGTGGTGGAGTTGCTAATGCTAACAGTTAGCTTCTGCCAGCTGGGACGTGCTGTCCTCTCTCTTGGATGCTAAACCCACAACAGCCTTCCCTGTCATGAGCAAAGATTTCCCTGTGATACAGATCTGTGCGGCTTTTTCTGATTGGAGCGTTTCCCAGTCTATTCCAGGAAATGGGTGTTGCATGTGAAACTCAGAGGGACTGATCGTATTTGACAAATACCATGACGAAACATTTTCTCAGTGAACTTGCTCTTTAAAGACGGGAATTACATGTGAATCATGTCGATATATATACCTATACTGTATGCCTGGAGTTGCTTTAAAAAGTACTCAATAGTCTTTTAAAATGAGAACAAGGACTTTTTTAATTATTTAAAAATGAACAAGTTCATTTTAGATTCACTGCAAGTTTAAAATCTAGGTTTTAAAGCTGGAGTTGAACTTTAGAGAGAAGTAGTTTTAAGTACTTTTCAAAAAGGTTTTTTTTCTTTTTAATGAGTCAAAATTCACCCCTCTCTCCTCAGTTAACTGTGCAGAGGGTGCTTCAAATACAGTTTCATTATATAAACACAATCATTATGGCATCCATTACTTTAACATAAAAGCAGCAGGAGAGCTTCAACCTTAACACAATGCATGCTGGGATTGTTTTATCCTTCAATGAGAGTGAATATGACGTATCTAATTGAATTTACAGATAAAAGTGTTTATCTAGTCTAATTAAGATTTGAGCATAATGAAAATTTGTTTTCAGGACTTAAGTAATCACAGTGATTACCTGTGACAGATTAAGTCTGTGTGTTTTAATAAATGATAGAAAAAATCATTTTATGTATTTATTCTTGTTTAATATTTTTATTTTATAGTTTTCTGTGATCTGATTAATTGCTCCAGGCATTATAATTAAATGTCTTCACCATGTATTTATTTTTCTGAACTAAGTCCAACCTTTTTTTTAGCAAACAGGAAAAGCTGCTGTTGAATTATAATTTTTTTTTTTTAGGAATAGGGCAGACACTTTTTCCTCTATCGATTTAAAAATCTGGAATTTCATTGTAATTCTAAGGTAAATAAGCACACTCAACAAAAATATAAACGCAACACCTTTGTTTCTGCTGCGATTTTTCATGAGATGGACTTAAAGATCTAAAACTCATTCCAGATACACAATATTACCATTTCTCTCAAACATTGCTCACAAATCAGGCTAAATGTGTGAGAGTGAGCACATGTGCTTTGCTGAGATATGCCATCCCACCTCACAGGTGTACCACATCAAGATGCTGATCTGACATCATGAGTAGTGCACAGGTGTACCTTATATGCCCACAATAAAAGGACACCCTGGAATGTGCAGTTTTTTGCTTTATTGGGGGTCTGGGGACTCAGAACCGGTCAGAATCTGGTGTGACCACCATTTGCCTCATGCATCTTCTTTGCATAGAGTTTATCAGATTGTCAATTGTGGCCTGTGAAATGTTGGTCCAGTCCTCTTCAATGGCTGTGCGAAGTTGTTGGATATTAGTGGGAACTAGTACATGCTGTTGTATACACCTGTCAAGCACATCCCAAACATGCTCAACGGGTGACATGTCCGGTGAGTATACTGGCCATGCAAGAACTGGGACATTTTCATCTTCCAAGACTTGTGTACAAATCCTTGCAACATGGGGCCGTGCATTATCTTGCTGAAACATGAAGTGATGTTCATGGATGTATGGCACAACAATGGGCCTCAGGATCTCAACACGGTATCTCTGTGCATTCAAAATACTATCAATAAAATGCACCTGTGTTCTTCATCCAAAACAGATGCCTGCCCATGCCATTACACCACCACCACCATGTGCCATTCAATCCACAACATTGCCATCAGCAAAGCACTCACCCACAGGACACCACACACACTGTCTGCCATCTGCCCTGAACAACGTAAACCGAGATTTATCTGTGAAGGGAACACCTCTCCAACGTGCCAGATGCCATCGAATGTGAGCATTTGCCCACTCAAGTCTGTTACGGCGATGAGCTGGAGTCAGGTCAAGACCCCGATGAGGACGACGAGCACGCAGTTGAGCTTCCCTGAGATGGTTTCTGACAGTTTGAGCAGAAATTGTTTGGTTATGCAAACCAATTGTTTCAGCAGCTGTTTGAGTGGCTGGTCTCAGACGATCTTGGAGGTGAACCTGCTGGATGTGGAGGTCCTGGGCTGGTGTGGTTACTCGTCGTCTGCGGTTGTGAGGCCGGTTGGATGTACTGCCATATTCTCTGAAAAGCCTTTGGAGACGGCTTATGGTGGAGAAATGAACATTCAATGCACGAGCAACAGATCTGGTTGACATTCCTGCTGTCAGCATGCCAATTGCACGCTCCCTCAATGCTTGTGGCATCTGTGGCATTTTGCTGTGAGACACATCTGCAGATTCCAGGGGGGCCTTTTATTGCGGGCAGTATGAGGTACACCTGTGCACTACTCATGATGTCGGATCAGCATCTTGATGTGGCACACCTGTGAGGTGGGATGGCTTATCTCAGCAAAGCACAGGTGCTCACTATAACACATTTAGACTCATTTGTGAACATTGTTTGAGAGAAATGGTAATATTGTGTATCTGGAATAAATTTTAGATCTTTAAGTCCATCTCATGAAAAATCAGAGCTGAAACAAAGGTGTTGCGTTTATATGGAATGTTTATTATGTGAAGTGCCTTGAGTCGACTCTTGTCGTGATTTGGCGCCATATAACTAAACTTGAATTGAATTCAATATTTTTGTTGAGTGTGTGTGTATATATATATATATATATATATATATATATATATATATATGTATATATATATATATATATGTATATATATATATATATATATATATATATATATATATATATATATATATATATATATATATACACACATATATATATGTATAGCATAAGTATCAGCAGCTTACTTCTGCTGGGCCAAACTCACCAGTTCCTCCTCACCGATGTGAGCTGCAGCCAGTGTAGAGGAACATTGTTCCAGGTATTTTGGAGGGATGCCTCTACGAGAGACGCTGCTGATAGAAATGGTGTAAATGCTGCTGCTGTAACCATCACAGGAACAATGGTCACCTGCTCCACCTCCGTTCCCCGATGGCCATACAAAAATTGACCCCCTCCCATGCCGTCCCTGCAATTAGTTTGGAAAGCAGAAAAAAACAACTGGTTCAACCCTTTTATTGAAATAATGACAAGTCCAATAAGGAAACATAGCCAAAAAGTTCTGTTTTCTCTTCTCTCTGAGAAACTCTCACTGTTTTAGTGCCGATCTGTAGAGCAAGTCGAGTCAGAGGCCCCGGTCCCTCCAAAGAGGCCCCATTATCTTCTGGTCCCCAGCCAGCTAAATAAATATCAATATACTGTGGCCTGAAACTCAGCGATTGGGCTTCTACCATATCGGTCACGTCCCCGTCCAACATACGGATGCCTGCGGAGACGGTGTGGAAAAAAATAGTTGGACTCCTTTACAAAACTCTAACATGACAGAGACCTTCAGTGTGCAACTTTCACACCATCACATGAACTTGCCTCCTATCCGAGCTTGGAAAGAGACTCCAACAGTGCACTGTGACTTATTTGCAGCTGCAGCCACCGTCCCTGCACACTGAGTCCCATGGCTTCAAAGATAGGCGGAGAACAGAACATAAGCTCAGATGCATATGCATGAAGAGGATATGGGGTACTTCCATTACAACAACAACATTCAGAGAGAAACTTGCATATCACACATGAAAAAGAAAAGTTTGCATTGATTAACATTCAGAGAGATCTAGAGATGATATGTGCTTACAAGTTAGCAGCGCTGTTGGAATAACTTGGAGAGGGATCTTGGTCTTGTCCGTTTACATCATAGCTGGCAAGTGGATCCTAAATCAAGCGAATAGTAAGCAGCAGCGGCACATAACAGCTGCCAGCAGCTATCTGTCTCAGTTTCCTGAGACAAATCACAAAGAGCATTATTCACCGGTCCACTACACAGTAAAGTGGATCAGACATTTAATGTCCATTCCAATACTCTTAACCGGCCCTTCCAGACCTTTAACCCAGATGCTCCTGCCTGAAATATCCGTCTCAGCTCCTTGCTGTTTCACTAAAAGCTTTGCCAGATTGCTCATGATTAATGTCCCCTTCCTGAAAAGAGCCTCCCATCCCAGGGCACTTACATAATTTGGCCTCAGATCAGGGTGATCTTGTTCAATGCCATCATCTAGGACAGACACCACCACGCCCTTCCCACTGTAGCCTTTATTCCAGGCTCCCACAATGTTCATGTGAGAGCGACAGCCTCTTGGCTCATCTCTGCAGTGCTGTAAACAAACAAAAGAATATCAAACTTAATGCTTGAGAGTTTAACAATGAATTATTTGCTCTTTGTGTTGAAGTTTGATTTCCCTTGGTTGCCAACTATAGAATTAACAGCTTTCAAATGTAGCTTCAGATAATATCAACAATTTAGAATTAATATTTAGATGCAAATAGAAATATATGAAAGCTTTTGTAAGGCCAATATACACCTAAATATAAAATTGTTGTTCGCTATTTCATCTGCAGGAAAAAAGATGTAGCTAAAATAAAGGTTGAGTGAAGAGATCTATGAGCAAATCTATTTATTCATGCAACATGCATCTATGTGCAAGAAGAACTCCAACCATAGTATCGATGAACAGATTAAACAAATTAAAGGTATTCTTGTAAATAAATGGACCCAATCCAGGAGATCTCTTTACCATGCTTTTATTTTGGAGGGCTACTAATATGTTACACTAGCTTGAATGGAGCTTAAATCTTCTACATTTATGTATATATTACAATATTTATGTACAACATATTCAGACTTGATTCTGAAATGTAGGGATTACTTAGGCAATTTGGATTCATCTTTAAACATTCAGACAAAAATATTTTATTTTCTTAACATTTGTAGAAAATGTTCCTGGAAAACGAGGAGCTAAATGTGAAATTGTGAGTTTCTTTATAATCCAGACCGTTTAATTTTTGCAATTATAAGAAACGACGTACAAGGTACCACAGGCTGTTCCACAAGGCACCACTGAAGGGCTCGGTCCGGGTGCTGTTAGACTGATCGTCTCTGGTGGTGATATCAGCAGCATGGATCTGACTCCTCCTAAACATCCTCTTTGTTCTCTTCTGGACCACCTGCTGCTGGAGCCATTCCACCTTAGAAGAAACACATCAGACATTTGACAAAGGGAAATGATTTTAATAAATGGAGCTTGGAAATCTAGACACACAGTCACTGAAACAAAATGATCTTGCTCTGCATGTCGGTCTAGCCACGCTCCATTAGAGCCTCGGCAGGCAAGGCCAGTCCTGGGGCTTGCCAATCACAGTGATCTATAGGATTGGTGGGTGGGATGATGCGACAAAGCAAAACTAAGATTGATGACAGCTCTTTTGAAATGGCTTTGGCATCAACTCTGGAATATTTAGATTTGGGCTTTTCTTTGAGTCAAGAGCAGATAGAGGTACTTAAGTCCTTTATTTAGAAAAACGATGTATTTGCGTCTTGGCTGACTGCCCCTTTGGCTGACATCCGTAATGGTGAGTATGTCAATGTTGTCCAATAGCATGCAGAGACAGAAAAACCATTAATCCTGCCCCATGAATGAGATGTTTTAATGTGTCGTGACCAGACATTCACCGGAGTTAGCATCTTCTCAGAAGTGTCTTTTGATGAGAAGTTAAAGAAAATCGCCATGCAAGTTCACTGCAGTTATCTAAAGCGGTAGGAAGCCAAACGGAAGTGACCATTTTCCGTGACATCAAACTGCACACACTGCGGAGCAATGGCATGCATGGGTGTCGTCCACGAGGGAAGCCTCTCCTAAAGCATATGCACAATAAAGCATGCATAGGGTTTTTTTAGGACCCAATGCTGAAAGGGATGAAAACTACTGGGACGCTATGAACAGGAGTGATAAGACAAACATCACTGTTTTAGGACCAAATGGTTTCAAACGTGTATGGTGGCGTAAAGGTGAAGATTTCAAAGAGAAATGCACGGTGCCTACAGTGAAGCATGGAGGTGACGGTGTCATGTGGGGAAGCATGAGTGCTGCTGGTGTTGGGGAGCTGCATGAACTCAACAATGGACTGCTCTGTACTGAAGGAGAGGATACTGCCATCACTCCGTGCTCTTGGTCATCGTGCACTTTTCCAACACAACAATGATCCAAAACACACATCTAAAGCTACTGTTGCATTTCTGAAGAAGAACAGGGTGATGGTCATTGAAAGACCAAGTATGTCTCCTGATCTGAACCCAATGGAACACCTGTGGGGAATTCTGAAGCAGCAAGTTGAGCACAACTCTCCATCCAGCATCCAGGCTCTAAAAGAGGTTCTTCTTGAAGAATGGAAAAAGATAGATGTTGCAATGTGTTGCCAACTTGTTCATTCCATACCTAGAAGACTCGGTGCTGTCCTTGAAAATCACTGTGGTCATAAAAATACTAGATGTAGTCATTTTTGTTCATTTTTGCTTCAACCAAGTTTAGTAAAACAGAAGATTTTGTGATCTAAGTTATATTATTGACCTTAATTTTATGTTATGGAATTAAACAAGTGTTCAATAAAACCCAGCCTTGCGAAAATTCTGGAAATTGTTATTTTGTTCATTGAACTACTGATTAAATTTGTACTTTTTAAAGGGGGTGTACTCATTTATGCTGAGCACTTCCCAGGCTAGTGTTTATGTAAATCTAACAAATATGAAGGAGAAATGTGGAGCTAGGATTGGAACAACATTCAATGTAACTTGTACCAAGTTTTGTAACTTGGAACATGTTTCATGACATGTAACTTTGGATTCGTAACTTGTAACTTTAGTTTTCTAACTTGTAATTCTCAATTCGTACATGTATTTCTTGTTTTGTAACAGGAACTTTTCATTTTGTACATGTATTTTTTTATTTTGTAAAATCAAGCTTTGATTTTGTACATTTACTACTCATTTTGTAACATCAAACATTCATTCAGAAACATGAAACTTTCATTTTGTAACTTACATCTAACTTTAGTTTTGGAAAATGTAATTCTCCATTTGCACATGTATTTCTCATTTTGTAACATGAAACTTTCATTTTGTACATGTATTTATTATTTTTGTAACATCAAACGTTCATTCAGAAACATGAAACAACAGGCCCTACAGGTAAAAAATTGTACGTTGCCAAATAAATAAACATAAATATGATAACTTTAAAAAATATTATACGTCCCCTTTAAAACCAGGTTCTATTTATTGTTTTGTTTAAAATGCTGGCTAAATATGTCAAATCAGTAGTGATCGCGATTGGTCGACTTTCAATTTTCTGACACTTTGTGCAAGCCAGAGATAATATCTAAGAGAATTTATGTGCTATGTGTGCTTTTTTCCCCCAAAGCAACTTACAATCAATAAGCAATGTTTTTTTTTCTGTTTTCTTGCTCGTTATTTCTGAGCAGCAGTAACCAACAATTTGTGTCAGTGGAATTAGTTCAGCTCGAGTTCTCAGAGTTCTCCAGTTTGATTCAAAATCAGGATTAAAATGTACTTTTTTTGTCTCATCAGAGTAATTACAGGTAATCTGTGGGTGCATGTTCTGTTTTTTAGTGTGCTAAGTAGCAGTTTGTTAAATATTTGCCGCCTCAAGCTTACAGCACAAGCAGAAATCCTCTCCATCGTTAGGAATGAAAGCTTGTTCTTGTACACCCCACAAAAAATATGCTACTCATTAATATTTCAGCAGAGTCCTGCATCTTGACTCGCATCGCATTACTATACCTTGGCCTCCTTAGCGATGTGATTAGTCACTTCTTTGTTGCTGGCAGTGGAACGATTTGCCGTGTCATGGTGGTGGAAGCTGTAGTAACTCTTCAGGCCTGTGATCTGGGAAATGCACATAAATCCTATAATTTATAATTAATATTACTGCAAAAAACATATAGAGAAGTTCCTTCTGCAATATGAGATAATAAATATTTAAAACAGCTGTTGGTGTCTTTCATTCATGGTTACCGTACACCTGTGATAGTATTTCAGGTGATGGCAACCTGAGCTGCAGGACCAAACCGCTGCTTGTGTTGTCAGAAGAGTGTGAGTCCTCATTTTGCACATGTGGATAATTGTGCCACCATGTTGACAGGTTTTATTTTTCTTAAAACTAAGCAATTTATGTTTACTTTTTAAAAAGCCATTTTTTTGACAGAGGAGAAAAAATAATGGCCTTGATTTATTCCCTGGTGACTCCGTAGTAAAATCGACAGATTTTTTTTACCTTAGTTTAAAGAAGCTTTTTTTCATTTTAATTGGGCTTCTTGTTCATTTTTTTCCGCAGCAGACCTGAAAGTTTCATTACAGTAACTAGCCCACGAGAGTAGATGAGTTTTATGAGCACGGTTTATTTATCTGTATTCTTTAATTATTGATGGGATCATTCAGTGAATAAAACAGTGAACTTTATCACTGTTTTATTTAAGATCTTGCTACCTTGAACAGAACCACAATGTAGTTAAAGAATTTATTTCTGGAGCGTTTAAGTGCCCAATTCATGTTTTATTTTTTATGTTGTGCTTAAAGACCCACACACAGTTCAGCATTAGGAAATTCCTTTTATCTTGATATTTCCACCGACAAGAGAAAATAGAAAAAATGAAAGCAGATCACAGAACTAAATATTTAATTTAGGTTTTGCAACATTTGTATAATTTTATTTTAAAGTGAAGAACCAATTTACCAAGTTTTGTTCTGGATTTTGTTTACCGTGAAGCAAAGTTTAAGTCTTCACTATTAATTGGAACATTTTCTATGTGGAAAATGAACATTTTATGGTTTTCCCAAAATATTTAAACTACTATATTTTAATACATTATTACAAAATAGCTTTAGGAATAATTCTTTCTTTGATGAAACGGTATTGATGATTGCCTGCGAGGCAGTATTTAGCATGAATACCCACACTTTTCTATTGACTTAAGTCGAAAACAAAACTGTTTCTCATGATCCAACACACTCACCTGACCCATGTTGATAAATCCATATTTCTCTGCTATCCTGTCCACACTCTCCTTGTCTCCTCTGACTTTAACCGCCCAGTTGTTTGTGTAAACAGCAGCGTGACAAACTTGTAGGAGTGTTCCCATCCACAGCATTAAAAAATGCATTATGTCTGCTTGTAAAGAATAAGAAACCAGCTCCCTCTGAAGATTCAAACGGTGCTCCTGTTCTTGGCTTTACTAAAGAGGCTTCTCATGTCTAAAGGCTTACGTTGTAAGTGGTGAAAACATAAAACATGCTAGTGATGTTCTGCAGAAACAGGATGGTTGCAGAGTGAAGCTGTCAAGTCTTGATTCTGTCTCGCTGTCAGCAGTCTGCTATCAAATTACTTCAACATTGGAGCCGTGGATTATCTCATCCTGTCAGTGGCTTTTTGCGATCTGACCTGTGTAGTTTGTCTGCGTGATTCACTTCTAACTCATAGACTCCTCTTTAGCTTTTAGTGTTCTATCATCGTTAGAAACAGGAGGGTCCTAGTTGAAAATGCTGTAGCGATGACTGCAGACTAATAAAAGTTTTAAAAGATACCGGTGAGATAACAAGAAGCATGATGTCATACACACCCTCAGGGGTGGCGTTAGGCCCGGCTACTGGGGCTCAAGCCCCAAATGTTTTATGAAAAGCCCCAGATCTAAAACATGGAAGTAACGTGCAGTACCAAAGTCCAACAGAGAGGGAGCAGCTGGCAGTAGTTTGTATACAGCCTGTCGGAGTCTTCACCACTGAAGAAGAAGCCCTTCAGCAGCCGGCTTCTTCTACAGTCTCTGCCTGAAACGCATGAGCGTAGATGGACAAGGATGTTTTTAGACCAAAAGTACAGTGACAGAACCCCAGCTTTGAGACTGGTGTTGACTCAGGTTTGTGAGTCTTATTTGAAAATATTTGTTGTGCTGCTGGTTTGCCTAAAGTTAGCTTACTATCAGGTAAAGTTGCTGGAGAAAGAAAGGGAATATTTACTATCATCTCACACTAAACACTCACAGGAACAATACTCTGCCCTGAAAATGCTTAATATGTAGCTTCAGATTAAAAATTATGCGGTACAAGACATATATGATGTTGACTAGTGTGTGTCACGTGTGTGTGTGTGTGTGTGTGTGTGTGTGTGTGTGTGTGTGTGTGTGTGTGTGTGTGTGTGTGTGTGTGTGTGTGTGTGTGTGTGTGTGCACGTGTTAAGCCCCGGATCTTCTTCAGTCCTAAATCCGCCCCTGCACACCCTAATGAAGTATTCAATTTAGTTGTGTCATCTTAACCTTGTTGCTTGGGTGTAAAGGGTAATAAAGATTTGTATATCACACTTAACATTTAACCAGTTGACATAACTTAGCTAAGTAAAATAATCAATTTATTTTTAGAGTGTATAGTTTCCATGGTAGTGCAATAAATTATACACAGAATACTGAGATTTCAATCAAGAAATTATTAATTACAATTTTTCAGTGAACAAAGTCTTGTTTCACCCAAGAGTTTATTTTCATTAATCATCCAAACAGATGCTTGAATATAAACCTTTGAATTAAAAAGTCAAAATAAACTAAGACTATCATTTACCTCCTAAAATTCAACTCATAGTTTGTTTTTTGTTATTCTGTTATGTCAGAATGTGGTGGAGGTGAGGACCCAGAAGGCAAACATGACAAATGCAGGTTTAATAAGAACTACCACTTTAATAATGAATAAAACGAGCTGGCAGGGCTGCTCAAATAAATGAATACAGAAACAAACTAGGCAGATTTAACCTGAAGCATGATGCAGTATCCTGCATGTTTTAGGTGTTTCCCTTCTTCAACACTTGATTTGGTGGATTAATTTCCTCCCTGACAGGGTCTCAAGTTCTGCAGAAGCCTGGAAATCACCTATAGATTTAGTCAGATGTGTTGGAACAGAGGATCATCCAAACTTACAGGAGAGTGGTCTTCAAGGACCCGAACATCACATCACAGTCATCCAAATGCAATAGAAAAAAATAAGTCATGTACCCAGTACGCCCATGTATGGCCTTTCACATCCTGACTCAAGGCTATAAGTAAAATTAATAAACAGATAGATAAGAAAAGGCAGCTTTACTTGTATTGCACATTTCATACACAGAGGCAAAGAGCTTTCCAAGAGCAAGAACAGAAAAATCTAGGTGAAAGCGTCAATTAAGACACAAATAAACTTAGATCTAATTAAATACACAATTTCAATTCAGAATTAAGAATCAGATATAGGGCAAAGTTTTAGGGTGAGTAGTTACAGTGCAGAATGTGCAGTGGAAGAAACATTTATTTGAAGGCTGATGAATACATGGACGTTTCTAAATTAGATTTAAAAGTTACTATATTTGGGGCACATTTGAGGAAGCTGACTCCATTCTACCAGCTGACTGTTTCCTAAGGATCTTAGAGCCTGCTGGGCAAACATACTGGAAGAAGATCCAACATGTATTTTGGTCAGATGCCATTGAGTGATTTATAAACTAGTAGAAGCACTTTTAATGAAGGGTTAGGGCTGGGCGATATATCGAAAATGGGTCATTGTCAAAATTTCTGCCTCTAATCAACATCGTTTTTCCCTTCTCAAGAAATTCAATACTAAAAAAATTGAAAAGCTGGATGTTGGTTAGCCCCGTTCATGCCGCTTTAAGAAGCTGTACTACCTTGAGTCACATGACAACTTGACTCAATTTAATACACTTGACAGCCCCATCTGGTGGACTTTTTTTTTGTTTGTTTGTTTGTTGCACAAACCTGTAGTTATCGTCCATTTATCGTTATCGAGATGAAATCCTCAAACTACAGTGATACTGATTTTAGGCCATATTGCTCAGCCGTACTGGTAACGAGTGTAGAGATATAAGAACAGGAGCAATGTGCTCGGCTGTCTTAGTTCTCAAAGTGATCCAGTTATATACAATAAGAATTTACTAAGGCAAAAATAAACAAAAAGATGCCAGTTCATTTCTTAATGAGTCCTGAAACTAACACAAACTGCTGTTTGAGTTTTATTCATTTTTATTTGGGTTTATTACATCTTTAAACAGAATAAACTAATCTGTCTTCAGTATTGTGACACTAGGCTTACAGAGGTCACCTTCAGGAGCTCTGCTGTTTCTGAAGATTCTTGGTGTTTCAGCCTCCTCTATTTTTAACACTGAATCTATTGTTTTAATGCGTTTGAGAAGAAGCAGACTCTTATCTTACTTGACACCATCACATACGTGTTGTTTTACTTGTGTGACCTCACTGCTATACTTTAATTCATCTGCATGCTTTCTGTGGAGAGCCAGAACCCACGGCATGTGTGAGGAATGTAAAAAAGGCTTGGAGACAGTTTGCAAACTCATTTTTATAGTAATTATAATTATATATTTATCATGTTTCTGGCCAGACGCCTTCGGTCTTGGAACCGCAGCAGTTTGCAGCTGTGAATTTATATCCCTGCATTTGGAAATTTGTCACTAAAACTGGGTCAGTCTGAAGCAATCACAAGAAAATCCTTCATGGCTTTTACAACAAAACCATCAAAATATCCTTAAACTTGACACTTCAACTCTCCTCAGAGTGGGACGTTGGGTTAACGGAGTTGTGATCAACATGTTCTAAAATAGAAAATCATCAATTATATGGGTGCAGAATTTCTATTGTAGCCTATTTACCATGTTCACAGCTTTCTCTTCATGCAGCATCTTTAGTTAGCAGTCGACGTGATAAACTAATATTTGTAATTTGTGCACATCGGGAAACAAACAGCAAAAATCTGTTTCAGGAGTTATTTTTGTTACAGTTGTTGGCATAATTCTGAAAAACAAAACAAGTAAGTCAACTATCTTTTTATCTAAACCATGAAATTCGTAGGGGATAAAATTATACCTTTAATTTAGTTTAAATAAATTATGATGTTTTTTGTTTTGTTTTGTTTTTACAGAAACACAACTTTTACATCTATTTAGAGATATCGGGATTAGTTGAAAGAAATTATTTTGTTTATTTATTTATTCATTTTTGGTTTATTTGTATTTTGGATTGTTTTGCATTTGTAAAGTAAAGTAAAACAACTTTTCTTTAGTAAATGATAAGTTATGGGGTAGTGTTCAATAATGCATACTCTACCAACTCCTTTTTCTAACAAATGAATGATTAGGATTGAAATATCATGTAAGTGAATAGATGTCCAATACTACTAAGATTGTATCTTGTCTGAGATCATCATCCTCATAAATTTGGGAACAGGTCCCACCTGATCCACCTTAAAGCAACACACATTCACTCTTACTTCATTTCCACATTTACCAGTGTGGAAACCCCGAGGAAGGAGATGGTTTAAATTGTGCAACCTCTGGGCTTTCAGAAGCTCCTGTTCATCTTGCTACTGTTACAGCAGAGCAGCACCCCAGAAGAAAAGCCGCCTCATCCTGAACCAAAGAGCTTGGTTTACTTAGCTTCACAATAATCATTGAAGAAGTGAAAACGTTGGTGAATGATAGGATCTGAATAAAGATTACCCACATATGTGACTAAAGACATCCCTGTTTCCCAGTTAATTATAACTCAATCTGTTTTCATCGCAGCAGAAGATGAGACATTCTTTTTAGTTTGTTTTGTGTTTCATCAAAGTTCCTGCCTTGTTGTGGAATTGTTCTAACTCAATGAAAGCAGCCTTCTGTTGCTCTATTGATGAAATCCGACAGCAGGGAGCAACACTATTTTAATCTGTTAAATGCAGAGGTGGAAAGTAACGAATTACATTTACTTGCGTTACTGTAACTGAGTAGATTTTTTGTGCATTTATACTTTTTAAGTAGTTTTTAAAATCTGTAATTTTACTTTAACTTAAGTATTGTTTTTTGTAAGTATTGTATTTCGCTACATTTTTTATCTTATCCGTTACCGAGTAAAAAAAAACAACATTGCAAAATACTGTGTCGGCACGGTTCGCACTGGATTCAGACATAACCACAGAGAAGAGACGAGAGTATAAACATATACATATGTAGAAGTGTCTTAATGCACTCGACAGTGATCCAGCGCTTAATGAAGTGTCTATGTATATATGTCTATACTGGTTAGACTCAAACATGGAAGTGCTGCGGACGCTGAAGGCGCGCACCAGAAGAACTGAGTGCTTAAGTTACGAGAGTGTTACGGGGTACGAAGGAAAGGATAAGAAACACTAACTGACTACTCGGAAGACTGGAGGATCGCCTAAGAAGATCAAAGCTTGTGAGAAGGAATGAAGAGATGTCTGAGCGGTCAACAGGTGAGTTGAACATCTTAGTGTGAAGCATGTGTTCAGTGACCTTACAGTGCAATGAATGATGGGTAGGAGAAGAAAATAGGCGCTAATGGTACGAGAAAGACAGCCTGGCCTGCCAGACTCCTGTTTAATTCACGTCATACACGGCGATGCTCAATTTCTCATAAACAACGAAGACAGTGGTGGAGTTCACTGTGGCTCTTTCCTCTGTTCTAAATGACACAGATGTCTTTAAAACCACAAGTAGAAGCACTAAAAGCATTTCTTCTAAAAAATAAAAGATGTTTGCACCATTGCCAGACACTTTTTTTTTTTACTACAACTAGAAATCTACCGCGTCGTGGTACAGTTGGGATTTCCTTCTTTTTTTCTGATTGGTCATTTTTGAGCTTCCTAGTCCCGCCCCTCAAGTGATCTTCCAGCTAAAAGAAAAACTCAGCAGACTGGAGACTGTCTCCAAGATGTGTCTGCCACTCTTCAGAGCCATTCAGGATGGTGTCCAAAAGCACTTTGGTGAGATGATGGAAGACCCTGAGCTGACTGCTGCTGCAATCCTTCTTCCAAAGTTCAAGACCACCTGGACTGAGAGGCACGATATCATTGAAGCAGGTAATTTTTAATAATTTAATATCATACCTTAATCTGCTTCTTATTCATTTCATTCCTGTCAACATACTTAAAGTTCAATTATACGAGTCTGTTGACACAAATTATATTATTTGTAAGGTATGTATTACTAAAAACAATTCTTGTTGCATCTTCTATCAAAACGTAATTACCAGATAAATTACATATGTGTTATGTATTTGTCATTCAACAGGTTTG